TAAAGAACCTATTATTTACCTAATATGTATTTATAATTATAATGAAAACTGTTGCTAAAATGTATTACCTACTAGTTTGGCCAGTGACATTGCCTGTACTAGGATAAAAAATACTACCAGTAATTCCAGACTATTATTATTATTATTATATACTTGAACACACTAGCAGCTTAGAAAGCTGATGCGTGCGTATTAATGGATTTGGAGATTTTGTCGAGTCTGTTTTTAAAAGAATTAACTGTGGGTGCTTTTATCACATTTTCTGGGAGTTTATTCCATTCCGTGACCACCCTATTAGGTAGGAAGTGTGTCAAGGGATTCAGTTTTGAGGATGTTCTGCATAGTTTTAATGAGTGTCCTCTCAAATTTCGATTTTTATTAAGAAGATACATATTCTTAAGTCCAGGAACGTTGTAGCAGTCACTATGAATCTCTATGACAAATTTAATTCAGAACAATTCAGTACCTAGTTTTTATGTGAAAGAGTAACAAACATCCTTCCATTGCTGTAAACTTTTGCATTTGTAATGATTAGTAGAATCATAATATTATTATTTTATTGAATGCAGTTCATCATCATCATCATTTTCCTGCCCTTGTCCCATTTTATTTGGGGTTGGCGCAGTGTATTTTTTTCTTCCATTCTGTCCTGTCACCCGTCACGCTATCACTAACTCCTCTGTCTTCCATATCACTTCTTACACAATCCATCCATATTTTCTTTGGTCTCCCTCTCCCTCTCCATCCCTCCACATTTTATTGAATGCAGTTAATCTTCCTTATTATTTCTGTTTATTTGCTTTTCAAAGTTGGTACATACAAATATAATCAAGGTTATTTTTTTTTTGATGGATGGATTACCTGATGGTAAGCAAACGGCGCTACTCATAGACACTCGTAATACCAAAGGAATTACTACTAGTGTGGTGCCAGCCTTTTGTGTGTTAGTAGGAATTTAAGGTTTTTTTTGGGTAGGTTTGGGGGCACACCATAAGGACGTTTTTCACACTGGTACTCTGTGAGTCTGCGGTATGACTCTGATAGATCTGGCCCAACCGTGCATACCCATGTCTAAGCATAGTTCTCTCACATTTGAAGATAACAACTAATGCTTTAAGTATGTTAAAGATGACAAGTAATCAAAAAGTCGGTCCAGGCGTCTTCGAGTAATTGGTGTACGCGACGTAAAATACGCGTCGAATTGAGAACCTCCTCCTTTTTTGAAGTCGGTTAAAAATCAAAACCTATATTGGCTTTGTAAATGAGACACAACAGTAAATGATTTGTGTGTGGTAATTGGATGCTAAGGAGAGATCTTGAGAAGAGGCCTTTGCTCATCAGTTGCCTTAAAGGCTAATAATGTGATTATGATGACTATGTGCAGATAGGTATAAAATATTAAATAAATGGACTATTTTGTATTTTGCAAGTAGATAAGGCACACACAATTTATCAAATAAAATAATTAAATATATTTGTTTATATTTATGTTTTTAATATGGATACCAACCTCTATAAGTACCCAACAATTTATGGTATATCAGAGACAATAGGTAGATAGCCTCTTTTTATACAGGGTGTAAGGGACAGCCCTCCACAAATTAACAGGGTGCATTCAGCTCCTTATTCTGAATCATATTCCAGTGAAAATTCTTTCAGGAAAATTTTCAATTTTTTTTTCGTTTTTTCAGTTCCTACACCTCTATTTCAATGTATAATTACATTCTATGTATGAAGAATAACATTAATGTAAATGACACAGCTAAAACAAAAAAATACGCAATGGTTGTGTGAATTCTCTAAAGAACTACGCATGAAATCAGCTGTTCAATTTCTACCTAGCGCGAGTCGTTTGAACTCACCGCACCGCGGTCACGGCGCAGCGGCTCGGCGCCCCACCGCGCCGATCGCCGCGCCGCGCGCCGTAGGTATAATACCTACGATCCCGTCCAACGTACAGAATAGCTGCGTCCCTTTCTATCGCCCCGCCTCCGCGTCTCCCCGTCTCCCCGATTCTTTGCACAATGTTTGCCCGATTGAACCAGTGTTGCCAATTTTTAACTTTTGTTACCTCAGGTAGTAAACGAAAATGTTAGAACTAGCGAAATTTATCTAAAACTTGAGAACTCCTTTGCATTCATAATTACATTGATGAGATTTTCATTAATCAATAAAATTAATGAAAATCTTGTCGCGCACATAAATTGAATAAGAAATAAATAAAGATTAGTCTAGTTTTAATTTTAAAGCATTTACAAATACTACCTAATTTATTAATTGATTGTTCTTTTAAGCGATTACTGGCTAGTTTTTAAACTACTTACAGATTTTTACATGGCTTCACAATAGCCATGAATTGATAGTCGAGCCAGAAATTAAACACAATCTCCCTGGAATGGAAGCACAGCTTTCTATCACACTGCACTTTTATTATTCTAAATTAACTAAACAATGAAATTAGAATTAAATTGATTTAATCAATTCATTTCTCTACAAAAAATAACAGAATGATAAATTACGACCATGCATAATTTTTTATTTTTTACCCCGAAATTTTGTAATTTTCGTGTAATTGGCAACAACAGATTTATGTTTGTGTGTGTCTCATCACATGCAGTCGCCATTGTGCCTTGCTGCGATGTTATTGTTTGTGTACCGCGAGCGTGTGTCGGCACGGATCGCTCGCGCATTCGGCTTAAAAGTTTTGTTATAAGTAGTGTTGTTAAGTTTTATTAGTTATGTAGTGTGTGAAGTGTAGTGAAGTTTTGTTGTAGAAATTGTGCGAAATTACTACCTAGGTACGTTTAGCGCGCGTGATTATGGGGAGATGATAATGTGTTGTAGTAGTGTAGGTATCCTGACCGTCGCCATCCATCAGACTCCAGGATAATTACTGGTGACTATCAACGCTTGCTAGAAAACCAGCCCATTGTTCCCAGACAAAAAGGCGCCGGAAGACCAATACCTACGTGGATTTTGGAATTGGTTCGCTAACGTAAGGAGACGCTACCACTTACCAGTGCTTTCCTATTTAAACGTAGTTTAGGTAGGTTTGGACCGCAACCGTGGCCAGCACGATCCCCAGACCTAACCCATTTGGACCCCTTTTTGTGGGGTTACGTAAAAGAAAAAGTGTTTGTGAGTGCGTGTGCAAGTGAGTACGAAATGCGAGACCGCATCACAAATGCTTTCCAGAGCCGGAAACCGGAGCGATTCTAAGGTACCTACGCATTTTTCTTTTTTTATCATTTATCAGTTAAGTACCATGTTATGATTGTTAGATTTTTTTTTTGTAAGTAATGCAGCTATCTTTTAAATAATAATTTATTGTTATTAAAACGTGGCGCGAGCGCGATTATTACATTGTCTTTTGTAAGTAATGCGGCTATCTTTTAAATAATAATTTATTGTTATTAAAACGTGGCGCGAGCGCGACCGTTTGTCTGAACGTAAGGTCGCGGCGCTGCCCATAGTGTAAAGTAATAATACTAAAAGCGCTGCCGTTCGCTGCGTGCGTTTGCGGTGGTAGCGATACATTGCGTGTAAGGTAATGAAACAAATAGGTTTAATTGGATTCCCATAACGTTCCTGAAATAATTTCATGTACCGGTCAACTTAAGACGATATACTGAATCCACCCTATCAGTTTGCGGAAGGCTGTCCCTTACACCCTGTATATAAATAGTAATGTTTGCCTTACATGCACATCTTTTAATATTGTGTCTTATTAAAAAAAAAACATTTATTTGTTTATATACAAAATATGTAATATGAATGCTTTATGCACATAAGTAAATTGTACACAAGTTGGACTTAATACCACAGTCAACCAATCAAATTTACTATTCGTTTTATTTATTTATTAGTATGTAATATGTACCTGTCAGAATATTTGTGACAGTTTTCTTAAATGTTTAGTAACTTTGTATTTCTAGTAATAAAATAATAAGAAAGCAAAAACCCAAATTTATGAAAATTTAGATTTGCTTATAAAATATTCCACCTCCTTTGTCAATTTCATTGTTTATAAAGATGCGTGTTACATACTCTTTCAAGTAGATACTACTAATTTGATCAGAGTGAAATTTGTCATAAACATAAAAGGTATGGATGAGTAAAAGTCTATTTTTTAATCCAAGGAATACAAGCAATCATGCTGGCAGAAGTTTTTGGGCCTTTAACTCCTTATCTCAGCATAGTTCAAACAGTAATATGTTTACTTTCTAACAATCTGTCATTATTTTAAGGTTTTTTGAACTTTTTCTTCTTTTTTCTTCTTTTTTTTCGTCTTTTATGCGTCCCAGACGCGAATAAATACTTTTTGTTTGTTTTTTTTTGTTTTGTTACATAACAAAGAGGACCATTACCAAAACACAATACATGTTCATAAAATTAAACATGTGACTTTGTTTTTAGGAAAGGCACAACCATTTTATAAATACAGAAATATTTTATGTATACAGAAATTGATTTGTAAAAAAATAAAAAATCCTTATATTGATGAATCAGGAAAGGTTTGAGTCAGCTATAGTAAAAGAAAATATAGTAAGAGGCAAAGATATACATTATACAGCTTCATGTTTTGAAAAATATATTGACCTTAGTGTAAAATGTTTATTTATATTGATGACCTTAAGTTTTATCATTACATGACTGTTTTATTTTGTCCAGTTACACTGTAGGTGGCGTTATTTAATTCTGTCAAGATCTTAACAAAGTGTCGAAGTCTTGCAAAGAATAATGTAAGTTTTAACAAAAGAAATTACGATTCATTTATCATTGTGTGGTTTATTTTTAAGTTGTTAAGAAAAGTTTCAAAAGAGGTCATGTAGTGCGACAATAAAAAGATTTTAATAACTCACATAAAGGTCTTTTCCGTGTGACAAAGCAATAATTCGATATTGTTTTTTATGTGGGTAGAGATTGGGATAAAAATTTAAAATTAGAATAACCTAATATGTAAACATCACAAACAAAGAAAAAGCAAAATATATACTTACATTGTGTGGCAGAAGCAGGAAGGCATACAGCCAGGAGTCCAGCGAGAGCAAGGAGGATGGCCTTCATCTTTTATTTTTTATTTAATTAAATCACAGATACTTTGACAAAATAATAGAATAATGACAAGCAGTTCCGTAACGATCGAGTACTCGCGAAAGTCTAGCCTTTACACACACTGGCGCAGAAGGCGACTTATCAGAACGCAACAAAATTGGAATACAAGTACTATACACGTTGATGCCTCTGATTAATATATGAAAATAATGAACTACGCAGCGATAACAGAACCATCTCGTGTTGACAAGTGCTTGGAGAATGACACGTTAGAGCGAGATGCACGATATCATTGGTCGTTGCACAACAAAAAAATCCCTACCGAGGTTTCGTGTTCCGAACACACTCATGGAATATTTTTCGACCTCATTTTGAATTTTAGCCACTTAAGGCCGCTTTTTTTGATCTTGTTGCATACAAAATAATATGATATCATAACTGGAAGCATTCCTTAATGCTTAAATTGTCTTATTATCAAGAAATATCGAAAAAGGAAGAAGTCTCTAGAAACTCAAAACCTCAACATTCTCAGTATGACAGCCATGACAGAGCCTTACTACGTCATTATTGGGCATTAGTGAGGGGGGTTGGCGTAGAGGAGGGCAGGGTACTAATAATACCAGCACTCAACATTTACCGCTGATAATAGAAAATTTTTGCGTGACAACAAATTTTAATAAATAACAGTTAAGGATTTTAATTGGTCTTGAACATAACAAAAAAATATAAATTAGAAATTGAAAGAAATTAACACATTTTGGAACGTTCTTCCTCCAGATATGTAGAAAATAAGGGTAATGTGCGTCATTAGTATGGCCACCCAACCCTGAAGTGCTGCCAACTTCACGTGACAGATGAGATTTTACATATTATCATTTTGTCGTTTGCTATCAGTCGAACTGCGTTTATATAAATTTTAATTACGTGTGCTCTCCGACGAACGGAGCTTTATCAATTTAATAGTCATTGTTGGAAGCCGCCTTCTGCGCCAGTGTGTGTAAAGGCACTTTCGACGAAACAATCTTATTTGTTGCAAGAAATATTTTCTATTCGTCTCATAATATTATTTGGTGAGTCTTTTATTATTTAATTATGGTGATTTTATTTTGTTGTTCTTAATTTTCCCCGATCTCTTTTTGTTTATATTTATCATTAATTCGTGGTTTTTCTATTTATATTAAAATTCCAATTTCGAAATTCGAATGTTATGACAGTGTATTTGGTTTTGTTTTTTTTTTCTTTTGTCTCACGGTTTGACGTTTCAGTTTAATTATGCCAACATGGTTTTTATTTACGATTTAGTTTAATAATAGAAATATTATAATTGGATATGAGTACAAAGAATTCAATAGTTAAATATGCGTAAATACATAGGTGTCTACCTACATAGGATTTATTATTGACATGTGCAAGCTCTTTGTCACTTCATGTTTATCAAAATATCGCGATCGAGTACCGACGGGACGGGCTCAATGACAAATTACCATTCAACTATAGCCAATAAGACTCTTCCGTTTTATTTTTCTTACCAAATGTGTGGGTATTGTTTACAAATAAATAAATCAGTGTTAAGTACCTACTTAATATTTGTCTATCTTTCTTGTACTTAGTTATCAAACCAATTAAAAAATAATCTTGTAATATGACATTATTAAAAGTCTTTAATCCATTTTATCAATAAGTTGTTGATTCTGCTTTATTAGTGTAAATTAAATGATAGCAATCTATTTGTGTAATTACTATCTATGTCAGATTAAAGACGACAATTTTATTTAAGTACAATAGATAAAAGTTATAAAAAAGTTACCTATTGGCTGAATGATTTGTTTTGATGCCATTTTTTGGTATTAAAAAGTAAAAAAGAAAAATGGAGGGATCAGGGAATATTGAAATTGGCACTGTTATTCTTTTATTAATTCAATTAATAGGTACCTACCTAACTAAAGTATAATAATTTGATTTGACCTGAATGGTCATGTACATGATTAAATATGTAGTTTATTTAACAGAGAAGTGCACATATTAAATATATTATCAGTGTGTGTCTTTTATAAAGGAGTTGGACTACTATTAAAGTACTAACCTTGAGTATGAAATGAAAAAAACAGAAGTGCTTGAATTTAACTGAATTTATAATGTTAAAAGAAATGTGTTTAAGAATTTGAACATTAAGCTAGTTTTTTACCTAGTCAAAATGCATTCACCATCAATATTAATGTTGCTGAATTAAAGAAACATTAATAATGAACCCATCAATATAATTAAGTAGGTATATGCACTTATTCCAATCCAATAAAGGTACATATATTTATGTTAGTAACAAATAAAAGTAGGACACTATCATGTTGCATCATTCTTTTACTTTTTACAAAACGCACACACAATATTTAAGGTCATTATTAAATATTTATTCTTTTCGTATTAAGAAGATCCTAGATGAAGAACACACAAAGTTTTTGAATAAGTATATTGTTTTTTGTTTGATTTTCAAAATTGTCTATACTATTTTTTGTTTATTTCAAATAAAGGATTTGACTATTGAATTAGTTAGGTACTTACTAAGATTTTCTAAAAATATTTTCTTATATTCTAAAATTGAAATAGGAAAGTTTTTATTTTAATGTAGGTATGTATGTAAGTGGGTACCTACACATTATGCTGTATCTTGATTTTTTATTGATTGGCTGTCACAGATAAGTTGTTCCTTCTAACTCTAGATAGACTGTACTATAGAAAAAATGCTGATAAAATATTGCAAAGTTATTCCATATTTAGGTTTTAATCTAGGTATATATTACCTTAGTTCTTCAAATAATGAAACTTATCTTTAAATCAGCAATTTCACAAGTCAACACCATATGTTATTGTGGTATTATAAAGAATAAAAAAAATAGATGAGTCATTATGATGACTCATATGTATTATATATAGTACTAGCTTTAGCCCGCGACTCTGTTTGCATGGAATAATGAGTTCCTGCAAATTTTTTGTATAAAAACTATTCAGAGTTCCAAACTATGTCTGTACCAAATTTCACATAAATGGGTTCAGTATTTTAGGTGTGAAGAAAAGACAGGCAGACAGACAAGTTACAACTAGTTTGGATTATTACTCTTTTTTCTATGTTTGAAATATAATAATTTTCCTTAGAATTTTCTAAGCCTAACTGTCGAACTGGGAATCTCCTTTAATCAACTTTATTTGGTGTAGGAAGTGTTTATAAATAAATAAAAATTATAAAAACATGTTATTATACATATAAACTTTCCTCTTCAACCAATAAGTGTTAAAAAAACCACATCAAAATCCATTGCGTAGTTTTAAAGATAAGCATACATACGGAGAATATATAATAATAATTATTATTGCTTCTAGAAAATATCAAATAATAGTACCTAAGTAGTAAAAATGTATGAAGATTCAAAATTTAACAAACCTCTTTTCTCCATTTAGAACCATGAAGGTCATGATCCTAGCTGTCTCCTGCCTCCTGGCTGTCTCTGGAGCCCAAGCAGCTGATACCTGCTACCAGGATGTCTCCCTGGACTGCGGACAGGCATCGAATAGCCTTGGTAAGAGAAATTTGATTAAAATAATCAAAATGTAACTAATTTATTAAAATTTTTTGTTTTTTTTTTTTATAATGAAATGTACTGGCTAGTGGATTATTTCTGTTTCTTGTTTTTTTATCTATTTTTGGGGTGAACATCATATCTAAATTTTCTTTCTGTAATTTATACAAACAAAGTTGTACACTATAATATTCTTGGTTGTTACACAGGGTGTTTGTTTTATACTTATAGGGTGTTCAAAAAAAACTTTCTTTTATTAAATATTTTGTTATGAATGAGATCCTATATCTCTTTATAAGTAATAGTAAATGTTATGGTCCTCTGTAAAATGGGTTATTACATTCATATAGCATGGATTATCCGTTTTGCGGAAATAGTAACATATTTATGTATAATATCAGAATGCTAGTACTAAACTCTTATTTTGCCTATATATATATGTATGTATGTTTATGTATATAATAATTATATGTTCTTACACAAACCCTCTATATTTCTTTCAGTGTTTAGACGAAGTGTTTGTAAGTAAACAAATATAAAGAAAAAAAAAAACATTTTTATTTCTGTATGTACTTGTATGTATTGACACTAACATTGGTTTACGAAAATATCGATATCATTGAAATAATTGGGTCTCATTCTCATTATACATATGTATGTATAACATGCATTGTTTACTAGCCCTTATTCCTAATTACTTGGTCGACATAATAATAGGGTAGTTTCCACATAGTCAAATTCAGAATTTACTTATTTTTAGAAAAAAACGTTGCTTCTCATTCTACAAACGTACTAATATTCAAATTCATCCATCACACCCAGACTCGAAACAACAACATAGTGCAGGAATCGAACCCGCGATACGTTGCACAGTAGCCAGTTGCCCAGTCACTGTACCAATCGTGCAGTCATATTTTTCCGAAATGTCAAAAATTACATTTTTCTATGTATTTTGTATGATATACGCACGTTGTGTCGTCATAATTTTGTTAACGTCTAATAGTAGAAATATCTGTTTATTTATATTTGAAAAAAAAAACATTTTGAGTTATAACTGGGAATTTATTAATGGACGTAATAATTTTCGATCGTGGAAAAAAAAATCTATTGGTTTTAACACATTTTTAAAATGTCAAATTCATCAAACATTTTTTATGAAATGTCAATATATCGGAGTCTAGCGTACTCCTATTAATACCTATCGGATGTGCATACTTAACATCGTCAGTATTTAATAATTAGTCATTATTATTCATTCATTCATCATAAGTCGAGAGAGAGAGAGAGTGTCAAATTCTTACTAACTAAAAATAAAAACCCATGTTCCTCTCCTGCTCTGGACCGAAGCCGCGGTACCTTATTGCGCTTACCCGGCAACCACAGTAAAAATATCATACAGTATTGTAACTCGGCCGCTTGAAAGAAATAAATACCTACAGCCGCGCGGTACGTAAACATGCGTTAGGGCTGCTCGTCTCCAGTATTTTAATTACCTTTGTCTACTTTCTGTTTCCATTTAGTTTTGTGATTGTAAATATCCTTTTTTTTATATAAACAAATAAAGTGCTTTAAAAATAAACAAACAAAATTTCTTTGGCCACCAATGCCGAACTGAACAGCTGACTACGAATGTTCTAAAATCACAACCCTCAAACATCAAAATATTACATGAGTCTAGCTGTTATTATTGTTGTTATTAAAACCGAGAAAAAAAAACTGTTTTTATTGGTATAATGTTGATAAAGCAGCAGCAAAAACTCTTTATGAAAATTTCGAAAACACAGAGACTGTCAAATTTATTTTTTCTAGTATTATTCATAAACACAGATAATAAACAAATATTATTAATAATAAAATACCACACTCTCTACTTTGAATTATATAAACTAACAAAACATACATGAACCGTTTTAACACAAGCGTAAGTAGGTAGGTACCTACCTAACGTATCATGATTCATTCAGAACCAGAACCGCCTATAACTACCTATTTCACTCGTCTCAATAACTTTATTCATTTTATTTCTATATTCAAACACCTGTTTTCGTGAGATAAAAGGAAATAATGATCCATTATAAAGATACACATTATGTACCTACCTAGGCTACTAGTAAGTAAAATTATTTTATAGTCTTATATTTCAGAGTTTCCAGGTAATTTAAAAAAACTTATGTCTGGATGCGTTATTGACGAATTCATGCAACCAAACACAGCACAATATATCCTATTCGTCATATTAAATAATGTACTCGAGCTGATTTCTAAATAAAAGACAACACATCGTCCGTTCGTCACTGCGGTACAGCCGCGTCTGTCTGCGTCCCGAGCGCGCCTCGACATCGGGCGCGTAGGTATAGTTCGCGTTTCGGCCGTTTCTATGAAGTTGGAATACTTGTAGATATTATTACCTTGCCGCAACCTTAGCAAAACATCTGCCCTAGCCTCAATAGGGCCCCGTCTGTGGTGGTCTATTGGCTCTTTGAGGCGCGCGACGATCTGACCCTAACCCTACAAGCTGTGCTAAATCTTTAAAAATGACACTAGCCAGTATATTTAAAAGTAAAAAAAAAACATGCAATTGCGAAATTTTACATTAAAATTGTGAATTAACAAAACTTATCTAACTAAATATTTGTTTGTTACTTTGATTTGCAGAACCGACATGTAAGTATTAATTAGATAATTAAGAAATTTGTAGTGTTTTTTGCATTCTCCGGTCTAGATTTGAAACGTAAAAAATTTAAAGAAAAATTATTAAGCAAATCTATTAGTACAGATTGTTGCTACTAGATGGCGTTGTTAACATATTTGGCAAAGAATTTGTTCGAAATTTTAAATGTTACCCGACTTCAAAAAAGTTTGAGTTCAATATTTAGACCGCAGATTAATGAGAAATTGCTAGAAATTTCTTTGTGTATATTATTCTGGTACTTATCCTTTATGCTATCTTTATTTAACGAATACGGCATTGATTTAATTTGGCTATCCTTTTAAGTCTTTTAAATTACAAAGGAATAATTAGTTGTCTATCTCTCTTTTATTAACCGAAAAATAGAGATAACAGTATTTATGTCAGTTTTATTTCGATAATATTTTTTATCACTGTCCAGCATGCTTAGAGTAAAAGAGAAAATAGATCGAATCAGTGCCGTACTTACTACTGCATCGTGGCCCATTACTACAATTTAAAAATAAATAATTATTAGTATGAAAATCGGTATAGATTTGCTACCTACTAAATTGGTTTAGTCCACCTTGCACATAAATGTTTGTGCAATAGCTTAAATAAATAAATGAAATGGCTATTTGACAATTTTATTAGTCAAATCCAATAATATTTCTGTCTTTCAAAGTGTATAGTTTTCTATGAATCTTGTTCCGGTATATTTATTGTACGTCACTGTTTTGCGTCAAATAACGTATTTTTTCGTATTCTAAAAAAAAGGATTTGGAAAAACTAATACGGAGTTATTAAACATATCGTAAAATGAATTGATGAAATTGAGATTACTTTTTTAAATAATTTATTTATTATTAAGAATATTTCTTAATGCAGGCTCTTTTTTCAAAACGCTTAATTCTAAAGAGTATCTAGATTTCTATTTGAAAACTTTGACCTGTAGCTATTTCACTCTAACACCGCTTTTGATAGCAATGACGTCACTTTTTATATCTTGCAACCCTTTCTGGCCTAACCGACTTTTTTACTCATCACATAAATAAAACTCATATTAATTTAATAGTATTGTGAAATAATCCTTCCATACATATATAAAAATACTTGTGTAATGCATGGGTAATGTAGATATGTAACATAATATGCCAGATACATACAATATTCTTAACACTTTGTTGCATGCCATATTTAATGTGTACATAAAAAATGGTAATTGGTATGGTAGACATAACCCCATGACGCTGCCGGGTAAAGCAAAGTAAATTACAATACAATAATTACAATATTATAATAAACATATAATGAATTTTTACATTATATCAGGGGTGATAAAGCCAGTTCTAGTTCAGAAAAAATAGATTTAACTTTTATTGATTTAACTAGCTGCTCTTTACTTTTCAGTTCCCCTCTACTTTTCTAATATTTTCTCTTTTCTCATAAGAACCTTCTCATGAGAGTAACAAATATAATCACAAAAAAAATAATGAGCAAAATTAGTCCAGGCGTTGTTGAGTTATGAGCTTACCAACACATTTTGCGATTCATTTTTCTTCGTTTTCTTCTTCTACTTCTAACGTTACTACATAATTTACAATCGTTCAAATATAGGTAACATAAATATAACTTGTGTTACCTAATCAAATAACAGAGGGAAAATTTGTAGTATTTCTTTACTGTACAGTGCATTTGGGAATTTATTTTTAATATTCTGCTATTAATATTACAATATGTTATAAACTGATATTCGATCTACAAAGATGTTATTTACCTACCGTGTTTTCAAGATGTATAGTAACTATTTAGACTTTGTTTGGGTATACATAAAATGCTAAAACATACTGTAATATTAAATGATTATGCATGTCTCTTATAGAAAGTAAAGGGTGGGATGGACAGACAGACAGAATGGACGAAAAAAGAACATTTTTTTATTTTTTTCCGTAATATAATTTTATTTTCTAGCAACTGTTAGTGTCCATTTCTACCTACAATATCTCGTTATACATAAAATTGCACTTTTTTCCATTGCAAAGCGAAATTTTGCCTAAACGCAGAGGTGGATTAAAATACATCATCAAGTGTAAAAATATCCTTTTAACACAAAACCGTTTTAAGTATGATAGTAAATATGTTTCTTTTTTATTTTTTTTTTGCCTTTGATTTAATCCACAACTGCAAAATAAAGGTTATCGCACCATTAAGGCGCTAGTGCAGCTTAAGGTCTATTGTTAAAAATAAATACATATATTTTGTAATTAATACAAAACTCAAAAACAAAATTTAGAAAATACAGAAATTATAATAATATCTAAATATTTTTTAAAAATAACGACTTACTCACGTGATTCAACTGAGAAAGGTCGACTAGTTTCAAGTCACAACGGGACTCTTATTCATGAGCAGCGCGTCGCGGCGACGTCGACATGTTTCTATTGAAAAATAGCTAAATAACATCAAAATAATTATCCAATCAGCTTTTCACACTGAAAGGACCAAAAGCATCACTAGCGCCATCTACTCACAGCAAAAACAAATTCATTCACCTTGCACTCTATACATAAATACCCATGTAAATAAATTTGGCAACAGCGCTTCCAAGATGTAACGCTGTCTACGGCGAATACGGACGACATGGCAACGTTGCAACGGAACTTCAGGCTTACGCTAACTTGCACTTGGAAAGGTCCTACGAATACCTTTTGTCGGCTGCATATTTCAACAACTACCAAACCAATCGGCTTGGGTTCAGCAAGTTGTTCAAGAAGCTGTCTGATGAAGCTTGGGAGAAGACCATTGATATCATCAAGCATGTGACTATGAGGGGTAAGTTGAAAATACTTGACGAATATTTTTAAGAAGGTATCTTTTACAATTAATTAAATCTTCAGAAGTCCAGGTTTTCTCACTTGATTCCTTCACCGTTTGTTAGTTGTGTCTTAATAATCATAAAGTACATATAACTCGGAAAAAGTCACATTGGTAATTGCCAGGTTTCGAACCCGTAACGAGATATGATAGTATATTATAAACTTTATAATTGAACATTGAACTCAATTTTTGTAGTTGAGTCAAAAAAGTCATTCAAATTTATACGATATTGAAAGCATAAAGCTTCCAAAATAAATCTAAAACCAAAAAAACTATGTTCTCAATCAGTAATCACTCATAGAGCAACTTCGAAGATGCTCGATTGGTTTCAAGCTACATTGGAGCTCATATCTTATACTAAACAATTTCTAAATAAACAATACCTTTCCACTAGGTGACGAAATGAATTTTGACCAGCGTAGCACAATGAAGGTCGAACGCAAGAACTACACAGTGGAACTTCATGAGCTGGAGGCCTTGGCCAAGGCTCTAGACACACAGAAGGAGATCGCTGAGCGCGCTTTCTACATCCACCGCGAAGCCACCAGGAACAGCCAGCATTTGCACGACCCTGAGGTATGTGTGCTTTCTAAAAGACTTTTATGATATGCTATTTTTATTTGAATTAGAAGAGCCATGGTTCGTCTCGACTTGAATGATAACCACGGCCTCACATAACGGCGTGAAACATTCACAAAGAGAGCTGTGTTAAGCCGTGTGAGTGAGGTAACCCGAGGCTCAACCCTCCCATCCTTCAGCATAAATGGGTCGGCTCAAACGGAGTGATACCACGGCGTCACAGGAAACCGGCGTGAAGTAACTTTTACGTTGTTCTTCGCTCGTTACCGGAGACATTCTTTCCCCATCTCCTCTCATACTCAATCCTCAAATCCTTTATCCTTAAATCCCTTATAACCCACAAGAGGCCGGCAGCGCACTTGTAGTCCTTTGGTATAACAAGCGTCCATAGGCGGCGCAGAAAACAAAATATTAAATGGTCTTTAAAAATGTAGTAATGATCTGTCAACTTAGATGGCATGTATTTAGAAAGATGTACGTACTTTTAAAGTAACAAAAATTATATTTACCAGTCTATCAGTTGAAGGTACATGCCAATTCTGAGACCAGTTCTCCAACATAAGGTGAGCAATTATCATAAAAATAACATTTTATCAACAGGTCGCCCAGTACCTCGAGGAAGAATTCATTGAAGACCAGGCCAAGAAGATCAGGGAGCTTGCAGGCCACACCACGGACCTTAAGAAGTTCATCACATCCAACCATGGACAGGACCTCTCCATCGCCCTGTACCTCTTCGACGAATACCTGCAGAAGGTCGCCTAAGGCGTCAAAATATTAATAAAATAAACATTAACATTTGTATCACTCTCATAAACATATACCTTTATTGTAAACCGTCACAAATTAAAAATGTATAAAATTGGTAAAAAGTTCCCATACTGGAATAACGCTTGAATGTCTTTGCGTAGATATAAAAAAAATAGAACTGTCATCATGACAGAACGCCATCTTGGATAAAAATAAAGAGTGAAACATACATACTCCACTAACGTAAAAAAATATTTTACTGTATTTTTTTTATTATTAATATTTTAAACTTCCCTTTGTACAAAAAATAGGCTGTTATAATGTGATTATCTTTCAATTAAGTTTATCCAATTTATATAGTAAGCGATATAATATGTAAAAGTTGTATCCGCAACGAACGTAGATTGTATGTAATAATCAGTTATTTTCAAATAAAACGTCAACTTAAAAAGTCATTTTATTGTTGTTTTAATTCTACTAATCCCCAACCCATCCAATCCTTCCCCTCCCCCAATACCTAAATCTCTAAAAAAAGGTCGGAAACGCACTCGTAACTCCTCCGTTGTTACCATCAGGTAATCCGCTTGCCCGTTTGCCGTCCTATCACATAAAAACAACTTGGAATCTATTACAGATTGTCGAAGCATGAAAGCCACATAGCATTTTGCTACATTTAATTCGATCTTATTGTGTGTGCTACATTCTGCAAATCGGTTAAGGTCGTCCTGTAGCTGTTGTGCATCAGTTACAAATAACTTAGTGTGCCTTCATATCATCGGTATAGAGTAAAATGTAAGTGTTCAACGAGTATTGAACAATAGGGGTCCCAAGATTGAACCCTGTGGCACACCCCGAGGAGATTGTGCACCATGATGATGTTGTGTAGCGATGAAGTAACAGTCTTTTTTTTTTTGAGGGGAAAATCAGCTTTCTTCTCCCGCTCAGTGTTAGGCGAGAGGGAGTGTCAGCCTATTATTTACCAAAAACCCCCCGTTGCCTCTCCTGGTTCAGGACGAAGCCGCGGTGCCTCATTGCGCTTACCCCGCAACCCCGGCTGAACATCAGTCCTGTCTGTGGATTGGCTCTTTGAGGCGCGTGCGGAACGCTATGCACCGTACGCTCGGGTCTGGTTCTGGTCGGGCGGCGAGCTACCCTTACTCGCTGTTCGCAGACCCGCGCTTACGGTGGCCGGAGATCGTCTCTTGAAGTAGCACAGCCTTAGTTCTGTTGTTAATATAAGAGGTGCTCTAGCGAAACCAAAAGAACCATAAAAACTAAACCGAAAGGTCATCATAAATATTATGACTGATAGTTATTTGTTCAAAAGCACACGATGATCTATACGGTCAAAGCATTTACTAAACTCGGTATAAATCACGTCGACCTGTGCGACCACTCCCATCTGGGCAACTGGCTGCCGCGCAACTTGTGGCGGGGTCGATTCTCGCACAGAACAACACTTATCCACAAATTGTTGTTTGGGGTCTGGGTATGTGAAATTGTATGTTTGTAAACGCACCCACGCCACGATACAGGAAAAAAAGCTTGTGTAGGGCAACGTTAATAAAAAATGGAATTCATGTAATAATATAAGATTAGTGGTCATTTAATCGACCATGATGTTCATCACCAAATCAAATTGCATTATAGATAGCAACTTCACATCATACCCATAAAATAAAACTCAAAATGAATGTAAAAATATATTTATTTCATGAAAACAAAAACAATCCATATAATTCACACAATTAAAATCAAAACAAACTTACAATAAATACGGAAGCATATGACAAATTTATTATTTTATATTATGGGCTAACGAGCAGACATAATTATCAACGAGCAAACGAATTATCAACGAGCGGACGAATTATCAACGAGCAAACTTATTAAATAATTATCACCTATTAAGTAAGCAATTGGGAAGTGTCCTAGATCTTTTATGACTGACACTATATTTGGAGGTTGTTAAGCTCTCTGACTTTATCGTACTAATATTATAAATGCGGAAGTTAGGATGTTTGTAACTCAATCACGCCAAAACGACTGAATGGATCTGGATACACTCCGGAATAGGGCATAGGCTATTATTTATCAACATACCACGCAGGCTAAGCCGTGGGCGGAAGCTAGTTAAAAGTAATAATGATTCTGATTACGATAATGTTACAACCACGCTTCCCAACCGCGTCGAGTGACAGCCAGAATACTTGGTTGAGTGCAGTGTTTCAGTAGACATGATACCTGCAACAAAATAAAATATAAATTATGTATTATGTCGTGGCCCGGAGGTTAAGGCGCCCGCTTCTCATGCATAAGATTTCGAAACCTGGCAAGTACCAATGTGACTTTTTCCGAGTTATATGTACTTTCTATGATTATTTAGACACCACTGACATACGGTGAAGGAAAACATTGCGATTCGCGAGCAAACCTGGACTTGTAATTGACACTGCTAAGCAAATACCTTTCCTCACACGGAGAAGGTTTGAGCATTAACCACAACGCTTGCTTAAGACAGATTGGCGATTTCAAACTTGTAATTAGTAATTATAAGTCCAGGTTTCCTCACGATGTTTACCTTCACCGTATGTCAGTGTTGTCTAAATAATCATAGAAAGTACTTGTAACTCGGAAAAAGTCACATTGGCATTGGCGCTTGCGACACAGGCGCCTAATAAAGAAAGTAAAAAATACCTAATATTAATTACCTGTTCCTCTACGCTGTAAGTTTGTTTTGGTGAGAAATTCTGAAAGATGTCATCCAATAGGGCAATATATTTCATTTTATTCTTAATATCCGACTCGTCTATACATTCTCTGGTTATCAAATAAGATACTGTTTTCCCTTCAAGAATGTCGTTTAAGTATTTTAACTGAAAAAAAAAATACATTTATTAAGTTACTAGCGTTTGCCCGCGACTCCGTTCGCGTTGAATAGTGTTTTCCTGCAGATTTTTGGTAGTATAAAAACTATCCTATGTCCTTTCTAGAGTTCCAAACTATGTTCGTACCAAATTTCACAGAAATCGGTTCAGTAGTTTAGGCGTGAAAAGACAGACAGAGTTACTTTCGCATTTTTAATATTATTAGTTTGGATTAAATAAAATAATTTATGAACTGTTAAACAAAGTGTAGGAGAGCCATGCTTCGGCACGAATGGGTCGGCTCGACCGGAGTGATACCACGGCCTTACAGAAAACCGGCGTGAAACAACCACAGCGTTATGTTTCACCGTGTGATCGAGGTTACTGGAGGCCCAATCCTTCCCCTCTACCAATCCCTAATCTCGCTCGCTCGTAACTTTTCGGGCATTGCAGGTGTCGATGGACGGCGCTGATTGCTTACCATCAGGTAATCCGTCAGCCGTCAGCTCGTTTACCGACCTACCAAAAAAAAAAAATTTACAAACCTGGTTTTTTATAGATTTATTTAAATTATAAATTTTGGGTTTAATAAGGATATAATGTCGACTCACCTCCTTAAATTCTGGAGCCAACCAATAAAACGATATTCTCAAATATGTTTCGAAAATTTTCTTTTGTTTTCTCAAATATAATAACATCTGTTGCAATCGACTTTCCAGTACTGTAACAATAATATTTATTTAAAACCACTTCGATGCTAATATTAGATTAAAAAGTAGCCTGTGTTTTATTCCGGAGTATAATCTATCTCTGTGCTAAATTACATTGAGATCTGTTCAGTAGTTTTTACGTTAAAGAGTAACAAACATACATTTGTACTTACATACTTTCGAATTTATACCACTAGCTACCGCCCATGGCTTAATAAAAAGCTATCAGCTATCTAACATACCTACCTTTCAACCAAATCGGTCCAGCAATTCTTGCGTAAAAGACTATCAAGTGTACATCCATATATTTTTAGGAACTTTTAACTACTATAATAGTATTAGTAGAATTTTAGTTAGAATTTGTAGTCTTGTAAAAATATTAAAAGTGATAAAAATTGTATAAAAGTGATACGACGGCCTCACAGAAAACCTGCGTTAAACAACCACAGCGTTATTTCGTCGTGTGAGTGAGGTTACTAGTTCTTTATGGCTGCGTGGTATTTTGATAAAAACAGCTAAGTACGTGTTAATCCAGAGTATCAGCTATCTACGTACCAAATTCCAATCAAATCGGTAAAGTCATTTTTGGGTAAAAGACTAATAAACCATCATATCATTTTTGGGTAAAAGACTTACAAACATATATCCATACATTTATTATATTAGTAGGATTAGAAGCATTAGTAGTTACGGTAGTTTCCAACTAGTCAAATTCAATACTTTTATCCAAACGTCAAAAACGATACTTTTCTATGAAAATTGTACGAAATACCGAGTTATGACGTCACAGTATTTTTAGGCCGAATAGATTACCTACTTATTTCTTAAAAAAATTGCTAAAAATTATCTGAAATTCAGTATATCGATCGATCGATGAAAAAAAGCATAGTTATTTTTCAATATTTTATTGTATTAAAACGTCGAATTAATTTATTTTTGACCTAGGAAACTACCCAATTGTAAGAAATATTAAAATTAAAACCACGGCCTCACAGAAAACCGGCGTGAAACAATCACAGCGTTGTGTTGCGCCGCGTGAGTGAGGTTACCGGAGGCTCAATCCTTCCTCTCCCCCATCCCTTTCCAATGCTTAAATGGCCAGTTACGCACTCGTAACCTTTTGGCGCTGATTGCTTACCATCAGGTAATCCGTCAGCTCTTTTACCGACTCGCATAAAAAACCTAGATATTAGTAATAAATAGTTATGTTTACCTTTGATATCGCAAACAGCTAAGAGATTGGCAGTAAGCCTAGCTGGGGGCAACTCCCGGCTTCCATAATTGAAGATGGACGCCCAGTCCACAGCGCAGACCCCACCGTCTCTAGTATTATACATTATATTCTGAAGATGACGGTCCCCCACTCCTGGATAGGCAAAAAACAAAGAAATAAGGTAGGCTCCCAATAAAAAAAATAGCAATAAGGGTTTGCCCAAACATCAAATAGTAATAAAGGTTATAAATAAAAAATAATACTAAAGCTTTGATAAATCTATACTAATATTATAAAGAGGTAAAACTTGTAAGTTTGTATGTAGGGGGTAATCTTTGGAAACCGCTCGTCGGATTGCCAAAATTCTTTCACTGATAGATAGCTACAATGTTCCTGAGTGCTATAGGCTATAAAACATCACGCTACAATCAAATGGAGCCGAGCAGCGAGTGAAACTGCGCGAGAGTAGCTTGTAATTGATAAATGTCCGGGTTGTTTTAAGTGTGGGAGAGCCATGCTTCGGCACGAATGGGTCGGCTCGACCGGAGTGATACTACGGCCTCCCTCCTCAATCCCTAAATCTCCAAATCCCTAATCCCTAAAAGGTCGGCAACACACTCGTAGCGCTTCCTTTGAGGGTGACCATGGGCGGCGCTGATTGCTTACCATCAGGTAATCCGTCTATCCGTCTGCTCGTTTGCCGACCTATTATATAAAAAGGTTATTTTTTGTTTTGTTACCGGCTTTCATGTCTAATGCCCAATAAATGCATTTTCTTCCTATCTTTCTTTTTTCATTCAAAAATATCCGGGTTGTCAAAAAGTAAAATAATAATAAGCCAGACTGTCTACAGCTGTCAAAATATAAAAACAATACAATCAGCCGGGTTGTCAAAAAATAAATTTATATAGCCAAAAATAAAATAAAAATGCCTTTACAAAAAAAATTAATAATGAACGGAGGAGTCAAACAATTTAAACTGGACCGACAAACAAAAGTTCTAAAAAAAATCTATCTCAACATCAACACAAATTAATTCTCAACATCCCTCTTTTGAGAGATGATCTCCGGTCACCGTAAGCGCGGGTCTGCGGCGAGTAAGGGCAACCCGGTGCACGACCAGAAGCCAATAGACCATCACAGACGGGGCCCTATAGGGCTGATGTTCAGCCGGGTTTGCGGGGTAATGGGGCACCGCAACCTGGGCCCAGAGCAGGAGAAGGAACAGGGAGGTTTTTAGTCAGTAAGAGTCTGACACTACCTCACGCCCCGCTCTGGGCGGGAGAAGACATTTGATGATTTTCCCCTCACAAAAAACCCTCTTTCAAACTTATAATTAGAAATTATAAGTCCAGGTTTCCTCACGATGTTTACCTTCACCGTATGTCAGTGGTGTCTAAATAATCATAGAAAGTATTTGCATATAACTCGGCAAAAGTCACATTGGTACTTGCCAGGTTTAGAACCATCATACATGAGAATCGGGCACCTAAAACTCCGGGCCACACACAACATATGATGTGGGAGAATACATTGGATGATTTTAACGCTTAGAAAAAACAACAACTCACCGAAAAGCCAGCACAATATAGTCATTGAACTCAACGTATCTTCAAACACCCGTTTCTTTGCTATGAACTCCTGCACACATGAACAGTTTCCCTCTATGGCAGATCTGCAATAAAAAAGTTAAAAAAAATTAAATTTAGGAAACCCCCGACAGAAAATCTAATATTCCTTTAAAAAGTAAAAAATAAAAGAAAACGTGGCGTTGGGGACCGATCCATACATATTTTTATCAACTGCATATTTCTATTTTGTCGGGGGTCTAATTTATTTTTTTATTTTATACATTTTATATCATTTTCTCTCGATTAAGTCATCAACATTCCCTTTCAGTGCGCTTTCAGTTGAGACCCCACTCGAGTATATTTGCAGACCTTCGGTTACCCTTCCCCACTTACCCCCATAACTTCTAAACGGCTCAACCGATTTTCGTCAAACATGTCTAAGAAAACTCGTATGTAAGTCAACTTTAATAAAAAAAAAAACTAAATTGAAATCGCTTCACAAGTTCAGGCTCCAGGATGCCACAGACAGACAGACACGTCAAACTTATAACACCCCTCTTTTTGCGTCGGGGGTTAAAAACATACTCTTAAGATAGACGCTCCAAGGTCGGAGACAGGGGCGAGAGGAAACGCCGGAGTATCGTTATTGTGAGGACCACCTAGAGGACACGGTGCTTGGGCTGAGCACCGCCGTGTCCTCAGGGTGATTGGTGGCGGCGACCTCTCGCGCCCGGCCTAAGTCGAGGCCATGGTTCGTAGCGAGAGGAACTATGAAGCTGTCTCCGCTTTCTATTTTTTTTTTTTTTTTTTTTTGTGAGGGGAAAATCATCAAATGACTTCTCCCGCCCAGGGCCGGGCAGGAGGGAGTGTCAGACTCTTACTGACTAAAAACCCCCCTGTTCCTTCTCCTGCTCTGTGCCGAGGTCGCGGTACCTCATTGCGCTTACCCCGCAACCCCGGCTGAACATCAGCCCTTTAGGGCCTCGTCTGTGGTGGTCTATTGGCTCTTTGAGGCGCGCGCGGAACGCTACGCGCCGTACGCTCGGGGTCTCCGCTTTCTGCGAAGCAGTTATGCTCGCAAAGAAGGAGGGTAACCGCGCGAGGAAGCTATCCTCCTCCTCACGCCCCAGCCGCCCTAGCACACTCCGACCACGATCTCCGGCCACCGTAAGCGCGGGTCTGCGGACGGCGAGTAAGGGTAGCTCGCCGCCCGACCAGAACCAGACTCGACCGAACGGCGCGTAGCGTTCCGCGCGCGAATAGACCTTTACAGACAAGGCTCTTTAAGGCTGATTTTCAGTCAGGTTTGCCTAGAGCAGGAGAAGGATTTGGAACGATGGGTTTTTAGTCAGTAAGAGCCTGACACACCCTCTCGCCATACCTTGGGCGAGAGAAGTCATTTGATGTTTTTTCCTCCATAAAAAAGAGTAGGAGATTGAACATTGAAACATCTAGACAAAATCGGTCCACGATTTAGTTGAAATTTAGTAAGTAAATCTTTACTAGTATTATAAAGAGGTAAAATTTGTAAGTTTGTATGTTGGGGGTAATCTTTGGAAACGCTGTTCGGATTGCCAAAATTCTTTCACTGATAGATAGAACTACAATGTTCCTGAGTGCTATAGGCTATAAAACATTACCAATATAAGCCGAGCAGCGGGTGAAACCGCGCGGCAGTCTAGTAGTGGTAGTTTTGGATTGGCTGCTTTTTATCATTTTGGCTTTTTTTTTAAATCTAACTAAACCTTAGCGGTTTTTGTTTGCTATTTCTTTTTTGATATAAATGGTAAAATAGAAAAAGAAACATTAGCTTTTCTATACTAATATTATAAAGAGATAAAATTTGTAAGTTTGTATGTAGGGGGTAATCTTTGGAACCGCTGGTCGGATTTCCAAAATTCTTTCACTGACAGATAGCTACAATGTTCCTGAGTGCTATAGGCTATAAAACATCACGCTGCGATTAAATGGGGCTGCGGGTGAAACCGCGCGAGAGTAGCTAGTTAGGTATATAACTATTATCTTACCTGAGTACATATGGGGTAACTTGAGCACACATTTCGTTATATTGTTCCAATGCTAAACCCGGCGCTAGAATTAATTTATCTTCATTAACTCTTTCTAGTAATACTGAAACAATATATCATCATCATCATCATCATCAGCCTATAAGTGCCCACTGCTGAGCAAAGGCCTCTTCTCATACGGATAAGGTTTGAGCATTAATCACCACGCTAGCTCAATGCGGGTTGGCGATTTCAAACTTACAATTAGAAATTATAAGTCCAGTTTTCCTCACGATGTTTTGCCTTCACCGTATGTCAGTGGTGTCTTAATAATCATAGAAAGTACATATAACTCGGAAAAAGTCACATTGGTACTTGCCAGGTTTCGAACCAAAACCCTCATGCTCGAGAAGCGGGCTCCTTAATCTCCGAGCCACCACGACCTTGATTTTTATATATAGATTAATGATTTACTTACTGTTAATATCAATTAACTCCCTGAGTCTTCTGTGGTCTTCTAAATATTCGATAATAGCCGAATCCTCGCCTAGTGGTGTTACCTGAAATAAATAAAAATTATTTTAATCTATCTATATTTATAATAAATCTGCAGAGAGGTCAATTCTGTACATTAAATATATTTTCTAAGTAACTACCAGGAGGTGCCAGAAATGCAATCAGTAAAATTATTGTCTGTCTGTCTGTCTGTATGTTCCTAATAGAAACAAAAACTACTCGACGGATTTTAACAAAACTTGGTACAATTATTCTTTATACTCCTGGGCAGGTTATAGGATACTTTTCATCACGCTACGAATAATAGGAGCAGAGCAGTGAAGGGAAATGTTGGGATCTCCCTTTTTTAAGTTTCCGTCGCGTGTGTAGCCTTAATGGTTAAAGTTACATAGAAATTATGTATGACGGAAATATTCTACATTAAATAATCTAAAAAAAATGTTTATAGCATATGTCTATCTTTTATGGTTAACTCACAATAGCACGTGTAACACCTGCTAGCTTAGTAGTTTAGATAATAAGCCATCGCGCCGTCGCATGTGAACACTGAATCATGCTATAAGGATTATTATTTTTATGTAACGGTTGCCGTGCTCTACGCGACGCGGTACAAAATATAATATTTTGTTATACTTAACCTTAGATAGATCCGTACTATTATATCTATGGATCGACGGATAGCGGAGACTTGGTAAGTAATAGGGTATTAACCCATAAAAATGAGACGATTAATAACAAGTTTTATGCTGTCATATATTGCTTTTTATCAACACAGCACGCGGGCGAAGCCGCTGGCGGAAATAAAAGAGCCATTCTTCGGCACGAATGGGTAGGCTTGACTGAAGTGATACCACGGCCTCACAGAAAACCGGCGTGTAACAACCACAGCGTTGTGTTTCACCGTGTGAGTGAGGTTACCGGAGGTCCAATCCTTCCTCTCCCTTAACCCTTCCCTAACATTCCTTATCCCAAAAGGTCAGGAACGCACTCTTGGCTCCTTTGTTGACGCCGATTGCTTACCATCAGGTAATCCGTCTGCTCGCTTACCGACCTATCACAAAAAAAAAACTTTGCGTGTCAGTCTGTCGGTCTGTCCTCTAGTAAAGCTATGTGCTCGTTCCAAAGTGTAGATTCATATGGAGAAGAACGAGCAGAAAACTCCATGGTTACTCTTTTCCATTAATTGATAAATAAACTAGATTTTGCCCGCGACTTTGTTCGCGTGGAATAGTGACTTCCTGCTGATTGTTGGTATAAAACTATCCTATGTCCTTTCTCGAGTTCCAAACTATGTCTGTACCAAATTTCACAGAAATCGGTTCAGTAGTTTAGGCATGAAGAAAAGACAGCATAAATCATACTAGCTTCTCTAGCGCGGTTTCACTCGCTGCTCGGCTCCGTTTGATTGTAGCGTGATGTTTAATAGCCTATAGCACTCAGGAACATTGTAGCTATTAACTGTGGAAGAATTTTGGAAATCCGACCAGCGGTTCCAAAGATTACCCCCTACATACAAACTTACAAATTTTACCTCTTTATAATATTAGTATAGATTACTTTGGATGTAAAGTCTATAATATACTCACGTTATAACTGCGACTGTTTGAATGTGGTATAAGCAGAGGTATAGCTGAAACAGCGCGCTGTATAGAGGCATCCCTTAACATTGGTTCCCCGCCCTTACATATAAATCTGCGGATCTGTCCGTTTGATAGAAATGCTTTCAACACACACGGACGACGTATCGAGTCTGTGAATACTGTTACCTGAAAAAAAAGGGCAAAAAAAAGGTAGTAGTTATTTTCTCCTGTGTCGTGGGTGCGTTTACAAACATACAATTTCACATGCACATCACACCCAGACTCACGGAACAACCATTTGTAGATAGAGTTGTTCCGCGCGGGAATCGAACCCGCGACACGTTGCGCGGCACAGAGTGCAGTCAAGTTTGAAATCTGGAGAGCCAAGCTTCGGCACGAGGGTTAGGGTAGGTAGAGTAGGGTAGGTAGAGTAGGGTAGGTAGAGTAGGGTAGGTAGAGTAGGGTAGGTAGAGTAGGGTACATAGAGTAGGGTAGGTAGAGTAGGGTAGGTAGAGTAGGGTAGATAGAGTAGGGTAGGTAGAGTAGGGTAGGTAGAGTAGGGTAGGTAGAGTAGGGTAGGTAGAGTAGGGTAGGGAGAGTAGAGTAGGGTAGGTAGAGGTAGAGTAGGTAGGAGTAGGGAGTAGAGTAGGGTACATAGAGGAGGGTAGGTGTAGGGTAGGTAGGAGTAGGTAGGTAGAGTAGGGTAGGTAGAGTAGGGTAGAGTAGTAGGGTAGGTAGAGTAGGGTAGGTAGAGTAGGGTAGGTAGGAGTAGGGTAGGGTAGAGTAGAGTAGGTAGGTAGAGTAGGGTAGGTAGAGTAGGGTAGAGAGGGTAGGTGGAGGTAGGGTAGGTAGAGTAGGTTAGTAGAGTAGGGTAGGTAGAGTAGGGTAGGTATAGAGTTAGAGTAGGGTAGGGAGTAGGGGGTAGGGTAGGTAGAGTAGGGTTGGTAGAGTAGGGTATTTAGAGTAGAGTAGGTAGAGTAGGGAGTAGGGTAGAGTAGGGTAGATAGAGTAGGGTAGGGTAGGTAGAGTAGGGTAGGGTAGGTAGAGTAGGGTAGGTAGAGTAGGGTACATAGATGAGGGTAGTAGGGTAGGTAGAGTAGGGTAGGTAGAGTAGGGTAGGTAGAGTAGGGTAGGTAGAGTAGGGTAGGTAGAGTAGGGTAGGTAGAGTAAGGTAGGTAGGTAGTAGGGTAGGTAGTAGGGTAGGTAGGGTAGGTAGAGTAGGGTAGGTAGGGTAGGTAGAGTAGGGTAGGTAGAGTAGGGTATTTAGAGTAGGGTAGGTAGAGTAGAGTAGATAGAGTAGGGTAGGTAGAGTAAGGTAGGTAGAGTAGGGTAGATAGAGTAGGGTATTTAGGGTAGGGTAGGTAGAGTAGGGTATTTAGAGCAGGGTAGGTAGAGTAAGGTAGGAAGAGTAGGGTAGGTAGAGTAGGGTAGGTAGAGTAGGGTAGGTAGAGTAGGGTATTTAGAGTAGGGTAGATAGAGTAGGGTATTTAGAGAAGAGTAGGGTATTTAGAGAAGAGTAGGTAGAGTAGGGTAGATGGAGTACGGTATGTAGAGTAGGGTAGGTAGAGTAGGGTAGGTAGAGTAGGGTAGGTAGAGTAGGGTAGGTAGAGTAGGGTAGATGGAGTACGGTAGGTAGAGTAGGGTATTTAGAGTAGGGTAGGTAGAGTAGGGTAGATGTAGTACGGTAGGTAGAGTAGGATAGGTAGTCAAATGACGGGAGCGACGCCGCGGGTAAGAGCTAGTATACATATAGCTATAGATAACATTTTCATTAACTTACTTGTTCAATAAACTTCACGACGTGCACGTTGGGGGGTAGGCGTAATAGTCGTTGTAAGTGTACTTTATTCTTTTCAAGTATTTTAGGCGAGCATAGCCCCGGACATAATTGCGACAATCTCAATATGGTCCTGTCGGGTTTCTTCCTCAATTCATTAATTATTTCTTTTAAAACTACCGCTTTCGAATCTGTAGGTAACGAAAATGAATTGTAAAACTGAAGTTGTGTAAGGACTCTTTTCTTTTTTTTTTCGTTTCTTTTTTTAAAAACGTTGCCCTACACTAGGATTTTCTCCTGTGTCGTGGGTGCGTTTACGAACATACAATTTCACATACACATCACATCTAGACCCGGAACAACAATTTGTGGATCACACAAAGTGTTGTTCCGTGCGGGAATCGAACCCGCGACACGTCGCACGGCAGCCAGTTGCCCAGCCACCGCGCCAACCGTGCAATCAAGTTTAAAATCTGGAGAGCCAAGCTTCGGCACGAATGGGTCGGCTCGACCGGCGTGATACTACGACCTCACAGAAAATCGGCGTGAAATAACGCTGGTATTTTCTTGTTTTCGTGCAGTCATACTAGTGCTAGTTTTTTGTTCTGATATTCGATAAGGTGTCGGACAGACATAATTATCAAACTAGACATAGAAATAGATTGTGTCAGTCATTATTTAGATTGGCAAAGGTACACAAGTCGTTCATGGGATTCAGCGTTAAGTGTTATAACAAAATCCCAGGCGAAATACAACAATTAAATGAAAGAAGTTTTAAACATCATCATCATCATCATCAGCCTATAAGTGCCCACTACTGAGCAAAGGCCTCTTCTCACACGGAGAAGGTTAGAGCATTAATCACCACGCTTGCTCAATGCGGGTTGGCGATTTCAAACTTATAATTAAAATGTATAAGTTCAGGTTTCCTCACGATGTTTACCTTCACCGTATGTCAGTGGTGTCTAAATAATCATAGAAAGTACATATAACTCGGAAAAGCCACATTGGTACTTGCCGGGTTTCGAACCCCATGCATGAGAAGCGGGCTCCTTGTCCTCCGGGCCATAACGACATTTTAAATTATGTATAAAGAAAACTTTGTGTAAAAAAGCATATTACAAACTGAGTGATTATATTGAGGATAAGGATGCTTGGAGACGGGCTGGTCCTGCTCCATATAATATACTTACACGAAAATAAATATGTTCCAGTGGATCTTTGCTTAAAAAGAACTTCTTAAATTTCGTTTTTTAACCGACTTCAAAAAAAGGAGAAGGTTCTCAATTCGATTTTTTTTATATTTGTGTAACCATGCCATTTTAATTGTCAAGCTTTTAATATGTTTGAATGAATCTGAACAAGGGACTCCTCGCTCGACAGTCGAACTTTTGCTACAATCATGTCAAACGAAATGGTCAGAAAAAAAAAACTAATAAAAAGACATACCAATATCATCCATATTTTCTAAGGCGTAGAGTCTCGTCTTCAACGTACTCAACGACTGGTAATCGGTCCCGCCAAATTCATTTTCAAAAATTTGTATTTTCATCTTTTTAAATATTACATCGAACTCTTCGTCGTTTAAAACTGTAAATATAAGAAATATAATAGGTCTTTACCTATGAAATTGCCGTTTTGCAGTACTGGCCATTTCAAATCAAAATAGTTTTTGTTAGGCTAAGGCTAATTAACTTTGTTTTAAAAACATGGGATTCTTTTTCCAAAAGTAGTCATTTGTTTATTGATTAGTGTTAAATTTTCATCGCATTTCAAATCAAAAAATTCGTTTAAATTTTTTTGATGCAAAACGGCAATTTCATAGGTAAAAGACCTATTATTAAAAAACTAATTTTATTCATTACTAGCTTCCGCCCGCGGCTTCACCCGTGGTATGTTGATAAAAAACAGCCTATGTGTTAGTCCAGGTTATCACCTATATACATTTACAATATGATTATGATGCGGGTATTGAATTAAGGACACGACTTGTGCAACGAGGTCGAAACGTCAAGCCTACCAAGGTCGAGAGACGATCTCCGGCCACCGTAAGCGCGGGTCTGCGGTCGGCGAGTAAGGGCAGCTCGTCGTCCGACCAGAACCAGACCCGAGCGTACGGCGCGTAGCGTTCCGCGCGCGCCTCAAAGAGCCAATAGCCCACAACAGACGGGGCCCTATAGGGCTGATGTTCAGCCGGGGTTGCGGGGTAAGCGCAATGAAGCACCGCGGAACAGGGGGTTTTTAGTCAGTAAGAGTCTGACACTCCCTCCCGCCCGGCCCTGGGCGGGAGAAGTCATTTGATGATTTTCCCCTCACATTAAAAAAACCTACCAAGGTATTTAAATAATTATTTTCCGCGTTAATACCCGCGTAATTATATGCTGTAAATATGAAAAGCGAAAGTTTATAAGTTATCTATATACGGACAGGAGACATTCTGTCTCCTGCATTAAATTTACCGAGGGTAGTGGAAACTATTTCATTTTTTCTTCTCCTCAAATTATATCTTCTGATTTATTTCGTTGCGGGATCCAAGACTGTCATTCATGTCCCTGGGACGCGGCGGACTTCAGTATTCCGGTGTTTTCATGGTTGTATCTACTGTAGATCCTGGTGCACAGGAGTTGCAGCGGTTTTGGGAGCTCCCATTTGAAAAGATCAAAAATCTAATTAATTGGAACTTACCATTTTTCCTCAAATCTTCACAGAATTGCAACAACGCATAATTGGCGTCACAAATCAATTTGAAATATTCTTTGCAAGTATTCAAATCGACATCTTGCAATTTTAATAAATATTTTTCATCCACCACCGTGGCTGGCAACATTGATATAATTTTTTTGAGTATGGCAATACTGCAGAAGTCTAGTCGCGGGAAAACTCGGTATATCTGTAAAAAAGCACTTGTTTTAGACAAAGGGAAGTTGAAGGGTTCTTTTATGGTATAGGAGGCAAACGAGCAGACGGATCACCTGATGGTAAGTGATCAGCGCCGCCCATGGACACCTGAAACACCAGATGAGTCAGAGGCGAGTTGCCGGCCTTTTAAGAAGGAATACACACGTTTCTTGAAGGTTTGACGGTCGTGTCCGTTCAGAAATACCGCCGCCAAAAGATCACTCCAAGGTTTTACTGTGCGAGGCAGAAAGTTTCGCGAAAATGCCTGCCAAATGCCTTTTTGAGGAGGAAAGTAATCATATTTTATATTTTAGGTATATGTCACCGGAAAATAACAAGATCCGTAAGTTTATCATTTTACTAGGAAGTTTATAAACTTTCGTAAGATTCTAAACGGGAGATAAATTGTAATATTTTACGTCCACGTTTTCGTAAATTTATCAATTTTCGACGTCATACGGTAAATTTATAAACTAACGAATATTTATTCGTAAGATTTTATGTGGTTCGACCAATCACAGAAACTCTTTTAAATATACGATCTTTGAAATACGTAAAATAACACACTGCTCTCTGATTGGTCAATGTTAATAGTGGCAATGCTTGTGTCAATAGACTTTGGAATAATCAGACGTCAAGTCTGATTATTCCAAAGTAAATTGTTTCTTTTCATTGTTGCTTCCAATTCCAAAACTATGAATTGGAAGCAACAATGCCTGGTTCCTCTCTGGCACGGATGTAGTGAGTTGAGTTTTCTTTTATCAGTTTCAATAGCAAACCGGTTTGTTTATGTTCCGTGGCCAGCAATGGCGGCCGCGAGGAAGGAGAAGTGACACGTGACAGCCAATCAATCAGATCGCGCGTAACGTTTGGTTACTGCTTACTTATTATTTTACGAGTGAGTTCAGTAAGTTTATCAATTTACGAAAATGTGGACGTAAAATATTACAATTTATCTCCCGTTTAGAATCTTACGAAAGTTTATAAACTTCCTAGTAAAATGATAAACTTACGGATCTTGTTATTTTCCTGTGACATATATACTCATATTGAAGTGTGGAAGAGCCATACTACGGCACGAATGGGTCGGCTCGACCGGAGTGATACCACGGCATTTATTTTTAAGGTGGTAGGTCGTCAAACGAGCAGACGGATTATGGACGCCCGCTACAACAGAGGGGTTCCGAGTGCGTTGCCGACCTTTTGGGGATTAGGGATTTGGAGATTTGGGGATTGGGGGAAATGAAGGATGGGTGAGGCCGTGGTATTACTCCGGTCGAGCCGACCCATTCGTGCCGAAGCATGGCTCTCCCACACTTAACACAGAAAACCGGCGTGAAACAACCACAGCGTTGTGTTTTACCGTGTGAGTGAGGATACTAAGGACCCAATCCTTTCCCCCCCAATATCCCTATCCTTAAAACCTTAATAGCTAACAAGAGGCCAGCAACGCACTTGTAGTAATTCCTTTGGTGTTACAATTGCGCATGGGCGACGCTGACTGCTTACCATCAGGTAATCCGTCTGCTCGTTTGCCGACCTATGACCTTTAAAACGTATTACACATACCTGTTCTAGTAAGGCTTTAGCTGCGACATCGCCCACAGTAACTCCAGGCTGGGAGATCCGATTGAACAAAATCGCCAACAAAAGGTTGCAGTCTCTCGTCAGATTAAGATCTAACACTTTTTCTATTATTCTAATCATTGCCAATATTAAATCGTTCTGCGATATTTCATCTGAAAATTTAAAAAATAAAGTCTTCATCACAATCATTATCATCATCATCAGATCCACCTGGCTTACATAGGCCTTTTTTTGCTAGGGGCAAATCATCCAATGACTATCGCCAAGGGCCGGGCGGGAGGGAGTGTCAGACTCTTACTGACTAAAAACCCCCCTGTTCCTTCTCCTGCTCTGGGCCGAGGTCGCGGTGCCTCATTGCGCTTACCCCGCAACCCCGGCCTGGAACAACGACTTTTAGATCACCATCATCACGGAAGACGTCCACAGCTGGACAAAGGCCTCCCCCTTTAGAATTACTCCTCCTCTCCTCTATAAAACTTTCTATGCCCGAGTCGTTAGCTCTGGGTAACGGTGAAGGAAAGATGAAATCTATACTAATATTATAAAGAGGTAAAATTTGTAAGTTTGTATGTAGGGGGTAATCTTTGAAACCGCTGGTCGGATTGCCAAAATTCTTTCACTGATAGATAGCAACAAGGTTCCTGAGTACACTGGGGCTATAAAACATCACGCTACGATCAACTGGAGCTAAGCAGCGGGTGTAACCGCGCGAGAGTAGCTAGTTCTTAATATAATTTTAATTGGGATCAGCAAATAACTGACACTTAATATTGCTTTCCTCAAGTGGACGCCACATATTTTCGCTCGGGGTGTCAATGGCCTTTACACCGTCACTGGCTAAAAACATCACGCTATGATCTGTAGGAGCAGAGAAGCGTGTGAAATCGCGCGACAATAGTTAGTCTTACCTTAATATTTTAGAGAGGTAAAATTTGTAAGTTTGTAAGTTTCTATGTAGGGGTAATCTTTGGAACCACTGGTCGGATTGCCAAAATTATTTCACTTATTGATAGCTACAATGTATGGTATAAATGTGTATGGATGGAGAGGGAGAGGGAGACCAAAGAAAATATGGATGGATTGTGTGAGAAGTGATATGGAAGACAGAGGAGTTAGCGATAGCGTGACGAGTGACAGGACAGAATGGAAGAAAAAAACATATTGCGCCGACCTCAAATAAAACGGGACAAGGCCAGGAAGATGATGATTAATAGCTACGATGTTCCCAAGTGCTATAGGCTATAAAACATCACGCTACAATCAAATGGAATCGAGCAGCGGGTGAAATCGCGAGAGAGTAGCTAGTCTACAATAAAATTATAAAATATTTTTCTGTTCACTTACCATTCTCGGGCCAAATGTCGTCGTAATACGCCAGCGCCTTATCGTACACAGATTTGAGATCTGAACAACTATTTTTTGAAATTTCAGAGATGTTTACATCCTGAATGTTAGAACTCACTTCTTGTATAATATCATCCATTTTAAGTTTTGAAATCGCTATAAAAGAGATAAAGTCAAATATCAATAATACGGTAGTTTCCAACTAGTCAAATTCAATACTTTTATCCAAATGTCAAAAACGATACTTTTCTATGACATTTGTACGAAACTCCAGATTATGGCGTCATAGTATTATTGTGTAAAAAAACATCGTGGTGGCCCGGAGGTTAAGGAGCCCGCTTCTCATGTATGAGAGTGTGGGTTCGAAACCTGACAAGTACCAATGTGACTTTTTCCGAGTTATATGTACTTTCTATGATTATTTAGACACCACTGACATACGGTGAAGGTAAACATCGTGAGGAAACCTGGACTTGTAATTTCTAATTATAAGTTTGAAATCGCCAACCCGCATTGAGCAAGCGTGGTGATTAATGCTCAAACCTTCTCCGTATGAGAAGAGGCCTTTGCTCAGCAGTGGGCACTTATAGGTTGATGATGATGATGAGTATTATTGTGACAAAAAACTTACTTGTTTCTTAAAAATTGCTAAAAAATATCGATAATTTAGTTTATCGACAACAGATCGAGTCATAAAAGTATAGTTATATTTCAATATTTTAAATTTGACCTTGGAAACTACCCAATTTTAATCGAAATGTCAAAAACTATACTTTTCTTTATACATCTTGTAGGAAACCCCAATATAAAATGACATCACTATATTTTACGTCGGAACATAGCTTTTGCTCAGACGTGGGCGGTACGAGTAAGTAAGGCCTCTTCTCACACGGAGATTTAAGCATTAATCACTACACTTTCCCAAAGCGGATTGGCGATTTCAAACTTATAATTAGAAATTATTAAGTCCTTTCCCCCATACCTCCTAAATCCCAAAATTTCCGAAACCCAATGTCACCCACTCGTTTGGCATAACAGGTGACCATGGGCGGCGCTAATTGCTTACCATCAGATAATCCGTCGGCTCGTTTGCCGACCTATCGCAAAGAAATATTTAAGTAGTGATAAAGTAATATGGATAAAATACAGTTCACTTACAATTCAAATCATAATGTAGATCCAGTATGACTTTCTGTATGCTAAATTTTTTTTCTACAGAAGATTGCGAAGCTGTTTCCAACTTATACGTTTCTGAAAACAAAAACTTTAATAAAAATCAGAATTAAAGTGTGGGAGAACCGGCGTGAAACAAAATACCGGAGGCCAAATCCCCTCTCCCCCATCCCCAATCTCCAAATCCCGCTTTTCTTAATAACGAATAACCCAAAAAAGGGCGAGACGACATTTGTAAAAGCTTCTTTAATATTACGAGCGTCCATCGGTGGAGTAAATTGCTTACCATCAGGTAAAGCGTCGGCTGGTATGCCAATTTCCAACCTATACCACAGACAACAAAGGATTAAAATTTTAATGATAGATTAAATAGACCATCATTTGTTCCTTTTTATTAACAACTTGTGTGTGCATTGTTCTCACATAGGGGTACAGTAATGTATAAAAAATGTATTATTGGTGAATTGTAAAACAAATATTTTTTTAAAAAGAGTAACGAATGGAGTTTCTTGCTCGTTCTTGTCCATTCGAATCTACAATTTGGAATGAGCACCTAGCTTCACTGACGAACAGACTGACAGACTACTATTCTATTTTGACGTTTCAAAAGTACCTATTTATGGTTTAGTTGGAATAAATGATTTTGCTTTGATTTGATTTGATATACTATAAAAAAATTGTTTAGGCGGATCCGAGGAAATATTAACATGGTTTTTTTTACTATCGTGTGTCGTGGATGCGTTTACAAACGTACAATCTTACAAACACATCACACCCAGACACGGAACAACAATTTGTGAAACTAATTTGCCGATTTAACATAAAAAAAAAACTCATCAACACCAATAGAACAGGGCTATCAAACCTAATACTATTATCTAAGCTCTAAGTTAAAATGGGACTGGGCCGGACAAGTCAGCCGAATGCATCCGGATAGATGGGCCACTAATGTCACCCAGTGGACACCTCAGGATGGAGGCCGCAGGCGGGGTAGGCCCCGGAAAAGATGGCGTGGCGATCTAGACGCTTATCATCGAGACTGGTGGACACGGTCGAAAGATCGGGAGGTGTGAAAGCGAGATAGGGAGGCCTTTGCCCAGCAGTGGGACGTTACAGGCTAGTAAAAAAGCACAAAACGGCTACAAAAAACCACGTTATTTTATAAAATTACCTGCAGCGGTTAACGCCTTCTCCAGTATGCCTAGGTCTTTCTGTTTGAGGCCCGTGGCTCTATACGCCTTTACTTTCTCGAGAAACCAGGGCAGGATCTCATCTTCTGGAATGTTATTACTGAAATAGAATCCATTATTAGTCCAAAGCTGTGGCATAGGTGAGCAAAGGCCTCTTCTCAAACTATTTTACGGCACGAATGGGTCGGCTCGGCCGGAGTGATACCACGGCCTCACAGAAGGCCGGCGTGAAACAACCACAGCGTTTTGTTTCGTGAGTGAGGTTACCGGAGGCTCATTCCTTCTAACCTTATATTAATGACTCGTATGGTTTCACTCGCTGCTCGGCTCTTATAGAACTTAGCGTGATGTTTTATAGCCTATAGCACTCAGGAACATTGTAGCTATCAACAGTGAAAGAATTTCGGAAATCCGACCAGCGGTTCTAAAGATTACCCCCTACATACAAACTTACAAATTTTACCATGTCTTTATAATATTAGTATAGTCATAGATAAACACAAAATATTCAAGCGTCGGTAGCAACAATATTGACTATGGGTTTATCACACCCGCGTGAAGAGATGCGGTGTAGAAAAACTATTATTAAGATATACTCACTCCTTATTCCTCTCGATGCACTGAAGAACGAGGGAGGGTAGACCTCTATCATTGGCCTCCTTGCACCATAGCAGTTCCTGTTTTGAGAGGCTCAATGAACTGTCGCCGTCTGAGTCCAAATTGTTGAAGAATGATGATCTGGATTGAGGGGCAAGGATTCCATCAAAATTTGGATCAAGGATATATAAAGATATATATATTTCTATTGGTATAACTAGTGCTGTCTCCGCGTAACATGGGTGCTGATACTAAATTGCTCCACTATTTAATGGATGTTATTATACATATAAACCTTATTCTTTAATCCAAACTAATATTATAAATGCGAAAGTAACTTTGTCTGTCTGTCTGTCTTATCTTCACGCCTAAACTACTGAACCTATTTGTGTGAAACTTGGAACTCAAGAAAGGACATAGGACAGTTTTTAAGCCAAATTTGCAAGAAGTCAATATTCCACGCGAACAAAGTCGCCGGCAAAAGCCATCACTATATATATTAAAAAACTGTATCAAAATCCGTTGCGTAGTTTTTAAGATGTAAGCATACATAGGGACAGAGAAAGTGACTTTATTTTATACTATGTAGTGAATATCGTGTGACATATCACATTTATTGAAATATAGACTCTACTCTGGAAGCCTAAACCCGTCCCCCCATATCTCCCTAATCCCTAAATCAGCAGCTACGCACTCTCAACTCTTCTCTTGTTAAAGATGTATAGGGGCGGCGCTGATTGCTTACCATCAGGTAATCCGTCTGCTCGTATGTCGAATTCTCACATACATGTACATAACACCGTTTGTTTTTTGAAGAATGGCTTCTCTGGCTCAGGGTGTGGCGAGAGGGAGTGACAGACTCTTACTGAATAAGAACCCCCCCCCCCCCGTTACTTCTCCTACTTCAGGCTGAGGCTGCGGTACCTTATTTCGCTTGAACCGCGACCCCAGTTGAAGTATGCTTAGCAGTATTTTTTATTTAGTAATTAGCAGCTCGCCCCCGCTTCGCACGGGTCCAACTATCTCGCTATCAAAGGGTCACTTTTTCCTAATCTTCCCCTCTACTTTTCTAGTATTTTCTTTGATAAGAACCTTCTCCTGATAATAACAAACACAACAAAAAAGAATTAGCAAAATTGTTGAGTTATGCGCTTACCAACATATTTTGCGATCCATTTTTATATATAAGAAGATATAAAGATGGTCAGGTATTTGGCCGCTATCGATGATGCGACCTACGATGGAGCACGTCTACCCATAAGCAACCTATTCACTCGGGCCTTGAAGACACCCAGGTTATACACTTCAGGGAACACAGACTCCGGTAAAGAGTTCCGTACCTAAGCGGTTCTGATTATATAACTGGAGGCGAATCGCTTCGTACTTGTGGGTGGGATATCCACCATGAAGCGATGACGTTTTGCCGATTGTCTGGTAATACGATAATGGATAGGAATAAGTTCCAATAAATTATAATAGACTAGCTTCCGTGGCTGCTTCACCCGCATCGTATGTTTATGAAAAGTAGCCTATGTCCTATTCCGGAATGTATCCTATGTCTGTGCCAAATTTGATCCAGATCCGTCCAGAAATTTTGGAGTGATTGAGTAACAAACATACAAACATCGTAACTTTTATATTATATGGTAAGAAGTAAGATAAGATTTAAGGGTATATTCACCTAATCATCAGACGAGCTGACCATTCGGCGAGGCAGTCATCGCGAGTGATAGTTCCAAACATTTTTACATCATTCTGGTGCCACTGTATCGCTTCAATGATCTGAAAAACGTAAATTTATTAATTGGATTATTACAATTTCCCCAACCCCCCCCCCACCCCCCGAATCCCGAAATCCCCTAAGTGGAGGATTACCTCCAAAGCCTTTTTTTGTCAGGGGAAAATCTTTAAATGTCTTCTCCCGTCGAGGGTAAGGCGAGAGAGAGTGTCAGACTCTTACTTACTGCCCGAGGTCGCGGTACCTCATTGCGCTTACCCCGCAACCCCGGCTGAACATCAGCCCTATAGGGCCCCGTCTGTGGTGGTCTATTGGCTCTTTGAGGCGCGCGCGGAACGCTACGCGCCGTACGCTCGGGTCTGGTTCTGGTCGGCGAGCTAGCCTTACTCGCCATCCGCAGATACACATCAACAGCCTATAAGTACCCACTGCTGAGCAAAGGCCTCTTCTCACACGGAGAAGGTTTCTCACACGCAGACACGCGCAATCCAAAAAAGGCTACAACGCACATCTGGTATTGCAGCAGTCCACGGGCTGCTAGGCCTTTGATTAGGCACCTCTACTAGTTAGGACTAATCCTTCCCTCCTCATCCATCCCCAATCCCAAAATCTCCGTAACCGTAATCCTCAAAAGGCTTCAACGCACTCATAACTTCTCTAGTGCTGTGGGTGCCCGTGGTAGTGGTGGTTGGCCCCGATTGCTTACCATCAGGACATCTGTATGGTCTTTGCTGCGATGCTAGACTTTTGTGGGTTATTAACGTTTTAAGGATAGGGGACTAAATCCCCTCAAATTTTGGTGATTAAGGTTGGGGGGTGAGGAAACAACGTAAGTGTTTATTCACGCCGGTAATCTGTGAAGCCGTGGTATCACTCCGGCCGTGATACGGTTACGATTATACCAAACTAATTATGTTAAAAATATAATCATAGTAAGAAATTATTATTACAATAAAAAGAAAAATTCACGGCATTTTTGTCTTTATAAAAAACTTATGTACAAAATAAAACAATCAACATTACTTTGCCAAACAAAAACAATACTTACGGCGCTTGTAACAAAGTCGTTCTTCGGCCACCTCTCTATATGTTTAAGCCAACTCAATTTGTTTTGGGTGATCGCATCTGTATAGTAAGAAGCTATCATTTTGTTGAACCACAGATTATAATCTGGAAGGAAAAACATCATCATCATCATCATCATCAGCCTATAAGTGCCCACTGCTGAGCAAAGGCCTCTTCTCACACGGAGAAGGTTTGAGCATTAACCACCACGCTTGCTCAAGGCGGATTGCCGATTTCAAACAAAGGTATTATTACTAATAATATCATCATCATCATCAGCTTATAAGTGCCCACTGCTGAGCAAAGGCCTCTTCTCACACGGAGAAGGTTTGAGCATTAATCACCACGCTTGCTCAAGGTGGATTGGCGATTTCAAACTTAGGTATTATTACTAATTATATCATCATCATCATCATCAGCCTATAAGTGCCCACGGCTGAGCAAAGGCCTCTTCTCACACGGAGAAGGTTTGAGCATTAATCACCACGCTTGCTCAAGGCGGATTGGCGATTTAAAACACAGGTATTATTACTAATATTTTATTGCCAAGTAAGACAAGACAGAATGTTACTCAATCTATATTTAGAGAATTGCTTCTCTCGCGCGGTTGCCCCATTGCTCGGCTCCATTTGATCGTAGCGTGATGTTTTATAGCCTATAAGCACTCAGGAACATTGTAAATATCTATCAGTTTAAAATTCGGAAATCCGACCAGCGAGCGGTTTCAAAGATTTCTCCCTACATACAAACTTACAAATTTTACCTCTTTATAATATTAGTACAGAAGTATAGATAAATAAATAATATTTTACGAATGGGTCTGCTCGACCGGAGTGGTACCACGGCCTCACAGAAAACCGGCGTGAAACAACCCACAGCGTTGTGTTTCGCATTGTAAGTGAGGTGTTTCTGGAGGCCTATATCCTTTCCCCTCCCCCAATCCCTAAATCTCCAAATCCCTAATCCCTAAAAGATCGGGAACGCACTCGCAACTCCTCCGTTGCGGGTGTCCGTGGGCGACGCTGATTGCTTACCATCAGGTAATCTGTCTGCTCGTTTGCCGACATATTACATAAAAAAACTTATATTTTATTGCTAACCAAGACGAAATAGAGTGTTAACTAACGTCTATTTAGAAATGTACGAAAAATTTCTGACAATTGTAGGAGAGCTATGCTTCGGCACGAACTGGTCGGCTCGACCGAAATGATAGAACCACAGCGTTGTATTTAGCCGTGTGAGAGAAGTTTCTGGAGGCCAAATTTCTCCCCCTCCCCCAACCCCCAAATCTCCAAATCCCTAATCCCCAAAAGATCGGGAAGGGAACGCACTCGCAACTCCTTCTCTGTTACGGGTGTCCATAGCTTGGGCTGATTGCTTACCATCAGGTAATCCGTAGGCTCGTTTTCCGTTTTATAACATAACAAAATATGATAAGGATTATGGCTTACCTAAATTATTCTTATTATTATCAAAGTAATCTTTGAGGGACACAGTAAACTCTTCGTTTTTCGTCCACAGCTTTGGGAGTGTATCCTCAATCCTTTTCTTGTCCTGCAGCCTTTGGTCGTTCCAATTAGACAAACTACCGAAGGCCTGAATTAATCCTGAAATGTTTATAAAAATATAGATGATCAATTACCTTTAATACAGTACAAATTCAATACTTTTATCCTAATGTCAAAAACTATGCTTTTCTATGAAATTCGTATGAAACACTGAGTTATGACGTCATAGTATTTTTGCGCCAAATGGCGTACTTATTTTTTAAAAATCAGCTAAAACATATCCAAAATTGTAGTGTATATATCGATCGATCGACGAATAAAAGTATAGTTATTTTTCAATATTTTATTGTATTATAACGTCGAATTAATTTATTTTTTGATCTAGGAAACTACCCAATTGTTGGAGAGCCATGCTTCGGCTCGAATTTTCATTCTGTCATAATAGAACCGATTTAATAATGTAATGAATTGTAAAACTGATTGAAAAAGAGTAACCATGGAGTTTCTTACTGGTTCTTCTTCATAGGAATCTACACTTTGGAACGAGCAAATAGCTTCACTAGAGGACTGACCGACAGACTGACACACAGAAAGTTTTGTTCAAGCGTTAAAAAATTCCTCTTAGTAATAATAGGTTTGACTTTGAGTTTGACGAATGGGTCGGTTCGTCCGGAGTGATACCACGGCCTCATAGTACACCAGCGTGAAACAACCCACAGCGTTGTAATAAACCGGGTGATTGAGGTTACTGGAGGCAAAATCCTCTCTCCCCTCCCAAATACCTACGCCCAATCTCCACCTATCCCCAAAAGGCCGGCAACGCACTTGGATATCCTCTAGTGTTGCATATGTCCATGGGCGGCTAATTGCTTACCATCAGGTAATCCGTCTGCTCGTTTGTCGACCTATCGCATAGAAAAAAACATATTTTACCTTCCATTGTAAATCCTGCTTCTTTCATTGTAGAATCATAATCCTCATTTTCAAAACTGTAAAGAATAAATTTATATATATTGAAGACTAGCTATTCTCGCGCGATTTCACCTACTACTCGTCTCCTATAGATCGTAGCGTGATGTTTTATAGCCTATAGCACTCAGGAACAGTGTAGCTATCTATCAGTGAAAGGGTTTTGGCAATCCGACCAGCGGTTCCAAAGATTAATCTCTACATACAAACTTACAACTGTTTAGAATACAAAAGTAAAGTACATGTGGATTGTCAGTCATCCAAGTGATTTGATCTATACTAATACTAGCGACCCGACCCGGCTTCGCACAGTTACAATGCTGATCCACAAATTATTGTTCCGTGAGTATGGGTGTGATGTGCATGTAAAATTGTATGTTTGTAAACGCACCCACGACACAGGAGAAAATCCTAGTGTAGGGCAAGGTTTTTTTTTCAAAATAAAAAGTATGAAATACGTGATTGATGAATATCAATATTTTTATTATAACTTTCGTGAGACATTCGAAATTAATTATTATGTTTTCGGCTTACTCAGAGGCCCGGAAGACGCGGAATGCTGCTCATGAATATGGGCCTCTAGCATGGCTGGAAACTAGTCGAGTATCTCGTCAAATTATTACGTGAGTAAGCCGAAAACATAATAATTAATATCAATATTTGTGTGATAAATAGAATTTGTACTACTTTATAATAATACTGACTTTCTGCAGATTTTTGGTATTAAAACTATCCGATGTCCTTTCTCTAGTTCCAAACTATGTCTGTACCAAATTTCACACAAATAGGTTCAGTAGTTTAGGCGTGAAGAAAGGACAGACAGACAGACAAACAGAGTTACTTTGACATTTATAATATTAGTTTGGATAGTTTGGATTTGCATGCCTAACTTAGGTAGAATACAGCCTGAACTGTACATCACTATAAGACCTGGAAACACCTGTGAATAAACTAGTGCTTGACTGCGATCCCACCTGATGGTAAGCAGTGATGCAAACGTTGATGGTAAGGCGCACAAGTTTATTAAGAGCCTATTCACTCTAGCCTTGAAGACACCTAAATTGTATTCGGACGGAAAGACTGCAGCCGGCAAACTGTTCCAATCCCTCGATGTACGCGGTATAAATGACGAGGCAAAACGCTTAGTCCGGGCCGCAGGTGTCTCAACAACGTAAGGGTGGATATTCGCCGTACGCCGAGATGTCCGAAAGTGAAATTACCTATATGAATAAAGGTTTCTTTCTGTCTAAAAAAAATAGATCACTTACCTGAATACGAAAAAATTCTTATCACCATTCCTTATAAGTAAATCTTCGAGTAATATGTTTGTATATAAGTACCCTTCACTGTTAGAAACGGCTTGCTTCAGAGACTTCACAGAATCTGAGAACCTGAAAACAACATATAGCGCGGGTTAAATAGAAAAAAGGCCTAACTCAAAAATGAGGATATTCCAAAATTGAACCTTATTATTGAAGCATAATTTTTAAGATTGAAGTACTTTATCTTTTGAGTTAGGTCTCTTTTCTGTTTAACAAGCGATAGTTACATATTTACTAATTTAGGGCTGATTTTCCAATAGTCAGATAAATGTTATCTGAGGAATAAAATTTTTGCTTTTCTTTATGTAATGGGTCGGCAAACGAGCAGACGGATTACCTGATGGTAAGCAATCAGCGACGCCCATGGACACCCGCAACGGAGGCGTTACGAATGCGTTGCCGACCTTTTAGGAATTAGGGATTTGGAGATTTAGAGATTGAGGAGGGATTGGGGAAGGGGAAGGATTAGGCCTAAGGTAACCTCACTCACTCAAGGGATTGAGTCCCCCTGTCCCAATCCCTAAATCTCCCAATCCCCAAAAGATCGGCAACGCACTCGTAACTCCTCCGTTGCGGGTGTCCATGGGCGGCGCTGATTGCTTACCATCAGGTAATCCGTCTGCATCAGACGTCTTACATAGACAAAAAAGATGATACATACCCTTCGATCTTGCTTATATCTTTAATAAATATTCTGCAAGCATCCAAGACTAAGGGGGTTAGGCAGAACGGTGGTCTCCGAATGATATGCGATAACAGTTTAGCTAAGGTCGCTTCCAAATCAAACCTGCGATGAGAGATTTGTACTACACACTTCATGACCTGAACGCATAGCTCCTGACAAATTTGCGAATTAATCTGAAATAGAAAGAATATTATTGTAATTCAGTTATGCTTAGGCACGAATGGGTCGGCAGGACCGGAGTGATAAAACGTCCTCACATAAAAAAATCCGGCGTGAAACATCCACAGCGTTGTGTTTCGCCTTGTGAGTGGAGCAGGAGGCCCAATCTAACCTCACCCATCCCTTCCAACTTTTTATTTTTGTTAATGTCGTAGGTCATAGGAGGATTGAGAATAGGTGGGGGGACAATTGAGAGGAGAATCCCCCCCCCCCATCATCATGGTAAAACACCACGTAAGTGTTGCTTCAGATTTTTTTTGTGAGACGGTGGTATCACTCCGGAGAGAGCTATGCTTCTGCATTTATGAACCGACTTGAATGGAGTGATACCACGGCCTCGAAGAAAACCAGCGTGAGACATCTAAAGATTTGTGTGTTGGCGTTTGAGTAAGGTTAACTGAATCCCAACACCATTCATCTTGGATCTACAAATCCTCAAATTCCTATCCCCAAAAAGGCTGGCATTTCACTCATAACTCTCTCCATGGGCGGCGCTGATTGCTAACCATGAGGTAATCCGTCTGCTCGTTTTCCGAACTATGATATAAAAAAAAAATGAAGAAACGTTATATTCATACCTTTGAAGCCTTAATGAAAACTTCCAAAATCTCTGTAATAGGCATTTGTAGGTCGATGTCTCGTTTTTCAGTACCTGAAAGATTTTTTTTAAATATTAAAACATTGCCTTACATTAGGATTTTCTTCTGTGTCGTGGGTGCGGTTACAATATCACATACACATGACACCCAGACCCGGAACAACAATTTGTGGGTCACATAAAGAGTTGTTCCGTGCGGGAATCGAACCCGCCACACGTTGCACGGCAACCAGTTGCCCAGTCACCACACCAACCATGCAGTCAGATTTAAAGTCAAATTGTAAAATATACAACTTAACGAGAGTTCAAAACCTGGCAAGTACCAATGTGACTTTTTTCGCGTTATATGTACTTTCTATGAATACTTAGACACCACTGACATACGGTAAAGGAAGACTTCGAGAGGAAACCTGGACTTGTAATTTCTAACTACAAGTTTGAAATCGCGAAACCGCCTTGAGCAAGCGTGGTAGTTAATGTTCAAACCTACTCTTAATGGGAAGAGGCCTTCTCATTCAAGTCCAGGTTTCCTCATAATGTTTTCCTTCACCTGGGCGGGAGGAGTAATTTGATTTGCCCATCCCAAAAAAGGGACTTACCTTTATCGATTTTTTGTCTGTATGTCATACCGGATCTCAGTGACGTTCTAACAGTCCTAGTTTGAGTCGTAGCAGGACTATCATAAGCTCTAAGGACGCTGAAAAAAATATATTATATTACTTGATACTTAACTTTAATTGCAAAGTTCTAGACTAGCGTTAACACGCGTCAGCGAATGGAGAACCAATACATTCGTCTTCAAGCATAAAATAAATACAAAAAAACAAAGAAATGAATTGTAAAACTGATTGAAAAAGGGTAAACATGGAGTTTCTTGCTCGTTCCTCTCCATAGGAATCTACACTTTGGAACGAGCAAATAGTTTCACTAGAGGACTGACCGACAGACTGACACGCATAGATTTAAACGAATAAAAAAACCAAAGTAATATTATAAATGCGAAAGTAACTCTGTCTGTCTTTTCTTCACGCCTAAACTCCTGAAGCGATTTCTGTGAAATTTGGTACAGACGTAGTTTGGAACTCGAGAAAGGACATACCATATTTTATACCAAAAATCAGCAGGAAGTCACTATTCTACGCGAACAAAGTCGCGGGCAAAAGCTAGTAAAAAAAAAAATAGGACTGCGCCACAATAGGATTTTCTCCTGTCTCGTAGATGCGTTTACAAACATACAAATTCACATACAATTACAAAAAAAATGCTGTTCCACAAACCTTTGCGCCAAACCTTCGTCTCTTAACCGGTGTTCCTCAAACGACTCCTCACTCCTCAAACCGCTGAACAGCATCTCAATCAATTTTGAACCGTAACAACATAACTGAAAGCTGTTTTCAGTTAAACTGCGTTGATAAACTATTATATAGAATAATTCAGCGAATCTGTAAATCAAAAGTGTTAAAATTTGTAAGTTTGTATGTAGGGGGTAATCTTTGGAATCGCTGTTCGGATTTCTAAAATTCTTTCACTGATAGATAGCTACAATGTTCCTGAGTGCAATAGGCTAAATCATCACGCTACGATTAAATGGAGCCGAGCAGCGGATGACACCGCGCGACAGTAGCTAGATCTTGATATAATTTTAATTGGGATCAGTGTGTTTAAGTGTGGGAGAGTCATGCTTCGGCACGAATGGGTCGGCTCGACCGGAGTGATACCACGGCCTCACAGAAAACCGGCGTGAAATAACCAGCGTTGTGTTTCGCCGCGTGAGTGAGGTTACCGAAGGCCCAATCCTTCCCCTCCCCCAATCCCTCCTCAATCCCTAAATCTCCAAATCCCTAAAAGGTCGGCAACGCACTCGTAACTCCTTCGTTGCGGTTGTCCATGGGCGGCGCTGATTGCTTACCATCAGGTAATCCGTCTGCTTGTTTGTCACCAATTACATAAAAAAAAATGATTGCTTACCATCCGGTAAATCACCCGTTCAGGACATCTTCTATCACATTAAAATTTTCCTATTTTCTTAATTCCCAAGATAACCTGATGGTAAGCAATCGGCGCCGCTCATAGAAACCTGTATCTCAAAATCATCAGCCTATAAGTGCCCACTGCTGAGCAAAGGCCTCTTAATTCTCACACGGAGAAGGTTTAAGCATTAATCACAACGCAAACTTATAATTAGAAATTATAATTCAAGTTTTGCTCACGATGTTTACCTTCACCGTATGTCAGTGGTGTCTAAATAATCATAGAAAGTACATATAACTCGGAAAAAGTGACACTGGTACTTGCTAGGTTTCGAAAGCGCCCCTCATGCATGAGAAGCGAGCTCCTTAACCTCCGGGCCACCATGACATTAATTCTCTCGTTCAAAATCCTTACCTGATCTTAAGATCCTGTGACAAGCATTCCTCGACTCCATCACAAATTTCCTTTGCCACCGTCTCATCATGATCAAACATGCCATCGGAGACGATCTTCACGACATCTCTATCTAAGGTACTAGCAGAATCAATGATATCCAGTATTGGTGTAGTGTCCAGCGCCATTTTCTTAGCTGGGTTGGTGACTTCTACTCGCTTTACGAGCTCTGAGAAGAGAATGTGTTATAAGTTAAGAGGTATGAGTTAACAGGATGGAGAACACGGTAGTTTCCAACTCGTCATTAAGTGTGGGAGAGCCATGCTTCGGCATGAATGGGTCGGCTCGACCGGAGTGATACCACGGCCTCACAGAAAACAGGCGTGAAACAACCACTGCGTTATGTTTTGCCGGGTGAGTGAGGTTACCGGAGGCCCAATCCTTCCCCTTCCCCAATCCCTTATCAATCCCTAAATCTCTAATTCCTAAAAGGTCGGCAACGCTCTCGTAACTCCTCCGTTGCGGGTGTCAATGGGCGGCGCTGATTGCTTACCATCAGGTAATCCGCCTGCTCGTTTGCCGTCCTATTACATAAAAAAAGTCATATTCAATACTTTCATCCAAATGTCAAAAACGATAAGTACTTTTCTTTAAAATTTGTATTAAACACTGTGATATGACGTCATAGTATTTTGTGTCAAATACCTAACTTATTTCCTTAAAAATTAGCAAATAAATATCTAAAATTTAGTGTATCGATCGATCGATGAATAAAAGTATAGTTGTTTTTCAAGATTTTATTGTATTGAAACGTCGAATTCATTTATTTTTGACCAAGACAACTACCCAATTGTTCATCCTTCACTGAAAAGGGAAGATCCTCCGACCAGGATGTCATGTACGCCACAATCTCCGAGGAACACTTCTAACTTACTCTTCGAAGTTCCAAGTGCGTTGCCCATGAGCGACGCAGGTTGCTTACCATCGGATAACTTTTTTGCTAGTTTGCCGTCCAATTATATAAAAAAAACTAGCAGACCGCCACTGCTTCGCACGGGTACCCGACTATTCTGGTGTCAGTCATTTGTTATGCAAGCGAACGGCCCCGGTGCCAAAAGGGTAGTTAATTCCCGCTATTCGACTTCACTTTTCTAAAGTTTTCTATTTCATTGTACAATGACGAACATAATAAAAAAAGAATTAACAAAATTGGTTCAGGCGTTATTCAGATATGCGCTTACCAACACATTTCGCGGTTCATTTTTATATTATAGATTAACTTAAAAAAATAATAATGGTAATGTAAATCATGTTGTTCAACGTCACCCAAGGACACTAGAAAAAGGCGCGTTGCCGGCCCTTTAAAAAACAAGGAGTGAGCACGTTTCTTGAAGGTTTGAAATAATAAAAAAATGCTGCTTAAAACGGAACTAAGCAAGAATTTTTAATTCAGAAACCAAAACATACCTTGAAAAGCCTTTAAGAATACTTTCAGAGCCTCTTTTCGTACGGTCACCGAAGAACTCCTACAATTTGGTTCAACCCCTTTCAGTATTTCAGTTTTCACATCCAAACACATGAATTTCAGGCCATGCCTCGCTACCTTCATAGCTTCCACCCTCATATCACTGTCAAAGGTTTCTTGTAGATTGATAATTTCGATAATATCATTGATGTTATCAACTGTCGATGCGTTTTCGAAATAAGTCGATATTATCGATAAACATTTTGATTTTTCAATTTTCGTCGCTAGATTTGTGATGATTCTGTAATTAATGTTTAGTTTTTTATTTGGCAAATAGGTTCATTAGAAGACAGACCGATAGACTGACACGCAAACTTTTTGTTGTTTGTGTATTTTATTTGACGGTCAAGAGTGCCTATAGTGGGCTATCCAAACTAATATTATTATAAATGCGAAAGTAACAATGTCTGTCTTTTTTGTTTTCTTCACGCCTTCTGTGTGTGTGTAGTGTGTAGACTGTGTTAGTGTGTGTGTGTGTGTGTGTGTGTCGTGTGTGTGTGTGTGTGTGTGTGTGTGTGTGTGTGTTGTGTGTGTGTGTGTCTGTGTTGTAATGAAGACAAAGAAGATATTAACTAATTATTACGTTTTTGAAGCCGTGCTAAGGGGCCCGTATTACTAAGGCGTCGCGTGTCGCGGAATTCTGCTCATGAATATGGGCCTCTAGCATGCTTGCTAAGCCGAAAACATAATAATTAATTTTGTATATCTCACTAAAGTTATACTAAAAATATAAACTTACTTTAAATGTTTATCATCACAACACGGTGCGAATTTTCTTTGCGAGTAAAATAACATCTTGACGTAACTCCCGACGTTGCTACTCCTTACAGAATGAAGCATTCGCCGGAATTTATCCAAATTTTTCTTGCGAGACTCTGCATCAGAATTAAGGAATGCCAAACCGGTGATTTCTGATAATTTTGTTGCGTTATTTATCCAATGATTGGAGTTTTCATTGCAAAACATTGCAGGGAGCAGGATAGGTAGGGAGGACCCGTTCTTGAGTATTCTCTCGAGAATCGGCAATATTGATATCAGACTTGTTGGCAGATCTGGAAAATTGAAAAAAACATTTTTTTTTTTTGCAAATTATACAAATAATTATTGCGTGAGTGAATCGAACCCGCGACATGTTATACGGCAGCCAGGCGCCATTCTCCGCGTCAATCGTGCCATTGATGTATATAGGTACATATATTAAGAACTAGCTACTCTCGCGCGATTTCACCCGCTGCTCAGCTCCATTTGATCGTAGCCGGATGTTTTATAGCCTATAGCACTCAGGAACATTGTTGCTATCTATCAGTGAAAGAATTTTGGCAATCCGACCAGCGGTTCCAAAGATTACCCCCTACATACAAACTTACAAACGTAACTTACCATAGAAATAATCTTGGAATACGTCCCATTCCACTATTATAACGTTTCCATATAATTGCAGTATCCCATTCAGTGCGTCTAACAATCTTCTCTGTACGTTGTATTGTGATTTATTATCAATACACGTGTTTATAAGGAGTTCTATGCAAGCGTCCATGTTGGGAGATTTGGCTAGATCATTGACGCCCCATTTTATAATTGTTGTAAGCTGTAAATAATAAATTCTTTTTAAAAATCAAAAGTCAAAAATCATCTTTTTTATGAGATAGGTCGGCAAACGAGCAGACGGATTACCTGATGGTAAGCAATCAGCGCCGCCCATGGACACCCGCAACAACAGAGGAGTAACGAGTGCGTTAACCGGTAACCTCATTTACATATTTATTTCAATTAGAGGGTAATTCCTGGTAGGGACCAGGCACTTTTGAACGACAAACAAAATTTTAAAGATATAAAGTGTCAGTCTGTCGGTCAGTCCTCTTAGTGAAGCTATTTGCTCGTTCCAAAGTGTAGATTCGTGTCACGTTTTTTAAATCACAAACAGATTCTTTAAAAATACATTTTTAAAACAATTTGCTAATCAGATTATATGAATAAGTCCCGGAACTAAAAAAAAAAAAACTTACGATTTCGATGTGTAAATTGTTCAGAACTGGTTTCCCATTGTCATTAGGACTTGAAGAGCTAGTATCTGATATTAGCTTGAACAGAGCTGGACAGAGGACGGACGCGTGGGGTTTCAGATCCTCTGAAGCATTGCAAATAGCCTGAAAAAAAGTTTTTTATTTAACTTTTTTTTATGTGATAGGTCGGCAAACGAGTAGACGGATTACCTGATCAACGGAGGAGTTACGAGTGTGTTGCCGACCTTTTAGGGATTAGGGATTTGGAGATTTAGGGATTGGGGATTTGGGGGAGGGGAAGGATTGGGCGTCCGGTAACCTCACTCACACGGTGAAACACAACGCTGTGGTTGTTTCACGCCGGTTTTCTGTGAGGCCGTGGTATCACTCCGGTCGAGCCGGCCCATTCGTGCCGAAGCTTGGCTCTCCCACACTTTGCCCCACACTAGGATTTTCTCCCGCGTCATGGGTGCGTTTACAAACATTCAATTCCACATACACATCACACCCAGACCCGGAACAACAATTTGTGGATCACACAAAGAGTTGTTCCGTGCGGGAATCGAACCCGCGACATGTAGCGCGGCAGCCAGTTACCCAGCCACCGCGCCAACCGTGCAGTCAAGTCAGTCAGTTATAATAATAATAATATTGAATAATTTACAACATAGAATTACGCTGGTGTTAACGCGATTTGGTATTAATTACCTTGGTAAACTTGACGTCCAGCCTACCTAATATTTATTATACAATAAAATGTCACAAAAAATTTTTGAAGTTTAGTTATTTGTTTGTAATGTAACGTATCTACTTAGTAAACACATTCCTAACTGGCATACAAATTAAAAATGTCGTGGTGGCCCGGAGGTTAAGGAGCCCGCTTCTCATGCATGAGGGTGTGGGTTCGAAACCTGGCAAGTACCAATGTGACTTTTTCCGAGTTATATTTACTTTCTATGATTATTTAGACACCACTGACATACGGTGAAGGTAAACATCGTGAGGAAACCTGGACTTATAATTTCTAATTGTAAGTTTGAAATCGCCAACCCGCATTGAGCAAGCGTGGTGATTAATGCTCAAACCTTCTCCGTGTGAGAAGAGGCCTTTGCTCAGCAGTGGGCACTTATAGGCTGATGATGAACTGGCATACATCAAATGTAATTATTATTTTTTTACGTTGACAAGCTGTCAATCTCTTATCGCTCTCTTGTCTCAAGCTTGTAATGTACTCTTGCCGGTTTTAAGTAAATCTATAAATGTTTGTTTGTTTTCCACCAAAATATCCAACAAAAATTACATATTATATTTATTTAATATTTTTATTTTAGAGTTATGAGGAACACGTGGAAAGTTCCTCACCTTCCGTTGAAAAGGGAGGATCCTCCGACCAGGCGAGGTGTTCGTGCCTGGCGGGCTACTGCCCGACGGTTGTTGTCGGGATTTTTGTATAGTTACTAATTGCGATGAGAACTTTTATACCGCGATGTAGAATCTTGCACGTGATTGGTGCTGTTGTTATTATAGTGCGATAGATGTCGCTATATTATCAATTTATTACGCGAACGAAGCCGTGGACGGAAACCAGTAATTACTGACCTTATTTTTTGTCAGGGGAAAATCATCCAAAGACTTCTCCCGCCCAGGTTAAGGCGAGAGAGAGTGTCAGACTCTTACTGACTAAAAACCCACCCGTTCCTTCTCCTACTCTGGGCCGAGGTCGCGGTGCCTCATTGCGCTTACCCCGCAGCCCCGGCTAAACATCAGCCCTATTAGGCCCCGACTGTGGAGTAATTACTGACCTGTGCTAGCATCCATTTAGCATTCGTATGTAGTTCGGTATCGTCTGAGAGCGCTCTGACGACGGTATCCCTCCACTCGTAGTGGTCTAGTTTACTCGCGTGTTCAAACAGATATGTTATCGTGGACAGACAGCCGTGTGCGTTTAGGACATTATCTTCAAATTCTTGTATAACTTCCTCTTCTTCTTCCTGTAATTAAATAAATAATTTAAGTGTACGAGAGCCATGCTTCGGCACGAATGGGTCGGCTCGACTGGAGTGATACCACGGCCTCACAGAAGACCGGCTTCAAAACCACAGCGTTGTGTTTCGCCGTCTGAGTAAGGTTACCGGTGGCCCAATCCTTACCCTTCCATAATCTCTAATTTTCCAAATCCCTAATCACCAAAAGGTCCGCAATGCACTCCTCTGTTGCGGGTGTCTATTATCCGGTTATCCGTCTCCTCGGTTGCAGACGTATCATATAAAAAAAGGAAAGCCGAGTTTCGGCACTAATGGGTCGACTCGACCGGAGTGATACCACGGCCTCACAGAAAACCGGCGTGAAACAACCACAGCATTGTGTCTTCGTGTGGGTGTGGCTACGGAAGACCCAGTTCTCCCCTCTCCATCAATCCTCAACCCTGAAATCTAAATCTTCAAAGGATGACAATGTACTCGTAGCTTCTCTGGTTTTTTGTGTCCATGGAACGCCGATTGCTTACCATCAGTTTAAGGATTTGCTAAATTACCCAATCACATAAAAAAAGGGAAGAAAATCAACCAAATATCTGATCAATTATTATGTTTTCGGCTTACTCACATCATAATTTGACGAGATACTCGACTGCTCATGAATATGGGCCTCTAGCACGGCTTGAAACTAGTCGAGTATCTCGTCAAATTATTACGTGACTAAGCTGAAAACATAATTATTAATTTAGAATGTCTCACGAAAGTTATAATAAAAATACCTGATCATCATCATGTGGTATCAGATCAAAGTGAAGAGGATTCTCGGAGAGCGTTGTGAGGAATATGGTGCTTCGGAGCGTTCCCGTAAATGACGATGTGGTGGCCATCGAATTAAGTGAACGCTTCGCTGGTTTACTGCCCTCCTGGAAGTCAATATTGACATAAAAATGGCATGATAACATTTAGCTTAAGTGTACTTTATTGAACTAGCTTTTGCCCGCGACTCCGTTCGCGTGGAACAGTCACTTCCTGTAGATTGTTGATATAAAAACTATCCTATGTCCTTTCTCGAGTTCCAAACTATGTCTGTGCCAAATTTCACAGAAATTGGTTCAGTGGTTTAGGCGTGAAGAAAAGACAGACAAACAGACAGGCAGAAAGACAGACAGACAGATAGGCAGTAAAACAACCACAGCGTTGTGTTTCGCCGTGTGAGTAAAGTTACCGCATGCCCAATCCTTCCTTTACCCCAATCCCTAAATCTCCAAATTTCCTAATCCCCAGAAGGTCGGCAACGCACTCGTAGCTCCTCTGTTACGGGTGTCTATGGGCGGCGCTGATTGTTTACCATTAGGTAATCCGTATGGTCGTTTACCGGTCTATTACGAAAAAAAACCTAACTCTGTCTGTCTGTCTTTTCTTCACGCCTAAACTACTAAAGCGATTTCTGTGATATTTGGTACAGACATAGTTTGGAACCCGAAAAAGGACATAGGATAGTTTTTAAACCAAAAAACTGCAGGAAGTCACTATTTCACGCGAACAAAGTCGCGGGCAAAAACTATTATAATACAGGGTGTAAAAAGACACTCAACGAAGCCGAAAGCCACGTATTCTACCCATTATTTGGACCATTTTTTTTCTTTAAGACCATAGCTGGGACTCCACGGTTCGAGTTTTCTAAATAAATTACGAATTTGAAGTTACGAACAGTAATGTACGTAATAAATAAATGCAGACCCGCACAAAAAACATCGTGCACCTCAGTAGGATTTTTATTTTACAGAATTGTTTTGTTGTTGTGAAGTAAAACGTCGACCTACGTACTTATCACAGCGTTTTAATGCTAAGCCGTGAACCTACGCACACAATGACACGAAGCTTTACATTGCGCGCAATAAAATTATTATTTTTTTGATACCTATAAATAAAATTCGTTTCCCAGTGATAATTTTAGCGTAAAACTACTTAGTTAGAACTGCAGTATGCGTAGTTAACGGCTTCGTTAAGTGTCTTTTCACACCCTGTATAAGTATACTCACCCTAGATCTCATATATGACTTCAAATAGAATGGATAGACAGCATCCTTGTCCACTATACTTGCCCACACTTGGACATTAAATAGTTGGGAAGATAAGCTTTGGGTAATCTTCCGCCGGCAGATGGCAGCACTCAGACAGTTGTAGGATGATGTTTGCAACCAACTGTTGGTATAATATTACATACATACATTTTATTAAATTACTTACATTGCCACACATTAGAAAGCATACAATTTCACATACACATCACAACCAGACACGGAACAACAATCTAGTAGTTTCCTAGGTCAAAAATAAATTAATTCGACGTTTCAATACAATAAAATATTGAAAAATAACTATATTTTTATTCATTGATCGATCGATATACTATATTTTAAATATGTTTTAGCTATTGTTTAAGAAATAAAGTAAGCTATTTGACGCATAAATGTTATGACGTCATAACTCCGTGCTTCATACAAATTTCATAGAAAAGTATAGTTTTTGACATTTGGATAAAAGTATTGAATTTGACTGGTTGGAAACTACCGTATTTGTGGATTACACAAAGTGTGGTTCCATGCGGGAATCGAACCCAGAACACGTTGTACAACAGCTAGTGTGCAAACTAAAAAAAAAAAAAACTTTTTGCCCTTCAAAAAAAGTACGTGAGTGTGGGAGAGCCATGCTTCGGCACGAATGGGTCGGCTCGACCGGAGTGATACCGCGGCCCCACAGAAAACCGGCGTGAAACAACCACAGCGTTGTGTTTTGTCGTGTGAGTGAGGTTACCGGAGGTCCAATCCTTCCCCTCCCCCAATCCCTCCTCAATCCCTCAGTCTCCAAACCCCTTATCCTTTAAAGGTCGGCAACGCACACGTTACTCCTCCGCTGTGGGTGTCCATGGGCGGCGCTGATTGCTTACCATCAGGTAATCCGTCTGCTCGTTTGCCGAACTATTACATAAACAAAAAACTCACAGACAAGTCTGCTTGAGTTCCTCGCTAGCGCCGTCCGGGCAATGTACCGACCGACGGACAGTCACACAGTACATTGACACAGTCTTCAGGAAGTACCACGGCTGGCTAGAACCGGCTCGCTCGTTTATTGGACCCGTGTCCAAATATTGCGTTGGTAACTGTGGAGAAATACAGTAAATATTTTATTTTATTTATTTATTGGAACAAAATTTGTTATAGTGCGGTGCGCAAAAGGTAAACATGAAGACGAAAGTGTGGGAGAGCCATGCTTCGGCACGAATGGGTCGGCTCCACCGTGATACGGTGATACCACGGCCTCAGAGAAAATCGGCGTGAAACAACTACAGAGTTGTGTTTCGCCGTGTGAGTCAGGTTACCGGAGAGGCCCAATCCTTCCCCACCCCCAATCCCTAAATCTCCATGTCGTCTAGTCCATGGGCGGCGCTGATTGCTTACCATGAGGAAATCTGTTTGCCAATAAATTAAATAAAAAAAAGTTTGTTACTACTCTTTGAGTTTTTGCTGTTTCTCTCTCTCTCTCTCTCTCTCTCTCTATCTATCTTTATATATCTTCCTCTTTATATCTATCTCTACATATCTATTTCTCTCTCTCGCTCGCTCTCTCTCTCTCTCTCTCTCTCTCTCTCTCTCTCTCTCTCTCTCTCTCTCTCTCTCTCTCTCTCTCTCTCTCTCTCTCTATATGTCTTTCTATGTATCTATATCTCTATCTATCTATCTTTTATTCACTTTCATAGAAGTGGAAAACAGTTACCAAATGGTAACATGCAAAATTTCATTTTATTTTTTGTATAGTGATACGAAAAGGAATAACCGATTGAAAAGAAAAACAATAAAATATAATTATTTAATTCGTATACTGTTCAGGAATAAGCCTACTCTATAGCTATTTAATGTATTGAACGCACAGGTGCGTCGAGGGCACACAGAGTAGCGTAAGGAAACGCACATACGCGTCGGGGGCACTGAATGTGTTAATAAAAAAGGTTAATTTTATAAATAAATATCTCAACTTACTCAACCGATATATAGTTGTAACACCACATTGTTCAATGCGAAATAGAAAGATTAAATTAAAATAGCTTCCTTTCTTTAGAGAAAGATGTAGGGGGAGAGAGAGGAAGAGAGACAGAGATAGGGGGGAGATAAAGAGAAAGAGAGAGTGGGGAGAGAGAGAGATAGCATAACGTGATCCGTCTTTTTTCCCCATCTAAACCCCTTTCGATTTGCGCGTAATCTATACTAATATTATAAAGAGGCAAAATTTGAAAGTTTGTATGTAGGGGTAATCTTTGGAACCGCTGGTCGGATTGTCAAAATTCTTTCACTGATAGATAGCTACAATGTTCCTGAGTGCTGAGGCTATAAAACATCACGCTATGATTAAATGGAGCCGAGCAGCGGGTGAAACCGCCCGAGGGCAGCTAGTGTTGTGTATATTCATGTTTTTTTCAACTTACCTTATCGAATGCAATCTTCAATATGTTCAAAACGATTGAATAATTAGCTACACGCTTCTTATAGTGGTCCGTATTGCTTGGTCCTTTCTCGCCGTGCTTGATGATATTAAGTAAGTCTGTCACAGTCGTGCACAGGTATTCTTCAAATAATTTACGAGGTGTGTGCCTAAGGAATAGACGATAATGAAATCATTGACAACTTCTCAAATTCAAATAAATATACGGCGCATCCAAATCTATCGTATCGGTCGCACCTGTCGTGTCGGTCGTGCCTGTCGTGTCGATCGTATCTATCGTGTCGGTCGGGTCTGTCGTGTCGGTCGTATCTGACATGTCGGTCGTATCTGTAGTATCTGTCGTGTCGGTCGTATCTGTCGTGTCGGTCGTAATTGTCGTGTCGGTCGTATCTGTCGTGTCGGTCTTATTTCGGTCGTATCTGTCGTATCGGCCGCACCTGTCGTGTCTGTCGTGACGGCCGTGTCGGTCGTATCTGTCGTGTCGATCGTACCTGTCGTGTCGGTCGTATTTCGGTCGTATCTGTCGTATCGGCCGCACCTGTCGTATCTGTCATGTCCATCGTGTCTGTCGTGTCGGCCGTGTCGGTCGTGTCGGTCGTGTCGTACCTGACTTGTCGGTCGTATCTGTCGTCATGTCGGTCGTATCTGACGTGTCGGTCGAATCTGTCGTCGTGTCGGTCGTGTCTGTCGTGTCGGTCGTATTTATCGTGTCGGTCGTATCTGTCGTGTCGGTCGTATCTGTTGTGTCGGTCGTGGCTGTCGTGTCGGTAGCATTTATCGTGTCGGTCGTATCTGTCATGTCGGTCGTTTCTGTCGTGAATTACCGTAAAAGGATTGTCAAAACAAAAGTATTCAGTTGCCCAGCTACCGCGCCAACCGTGCAATCTGTTCATCTACAAACTTACCGAAGCAACGGTAACAGAATTCTCTCACACAAAATCTTGGATGAGGCTTCAACAACTTTTTTATATACTTCGTTTAATATTTGTAAGTCTTCCTTTGCCGCTAAAGATTTCATGCAAGCACTGAATGCTTGATCCCACCAACCTTTTGTTTCGTCACCTATAAATAATAATAATGTTTATTTTCTATACATTTTAAGTGCTTCGGCACGAATGAGTCGGCTCGACCGGAGTGATACCACGGCCTCACAGTAAATGTTTCTATCATTTTAAGTGCTTCGGCACGAATGTGTCGGCTCGACCGGAGTGATACCACAGCCTCACAGTAAATTTTTCTATCATTTTAAGTGCTTCGGCACGAATGGGTCGGCTCGACCGGAGTGATACCACGGCCTTACAGAAAACCGGCTTGAAACTACCACAGCGTTGTGTTTCGTCGTGTGGATGAGGTTTCTGGGGGCCCAATCATGACTCCAATCCCTAAAACTCCGAAATACTCATCCCCAAATTCGTAAATCTTCGATGTGGAGCGCCGATTGCTTACCATCAGGTAATCTGTATGCTCGTCTGCCAACCTCTCACAAAAAGAAACGAATGGTTCGGCGGTTCGGCTCGACCGGAGTGATACCACGGCCTCACAAAATACTGACGTGAAACAATACATACAATACCGCCGACTTATCTTGGCGAGTCTGAAGTTAGCCGATTAGCTCCGCATTACACAATTTTGTTCCTAAAAGATCCATTGCGCAGACAAACGGCTAACTTCAGACTCGCCAAGATAAGGCGGCCGTACTGTACGTTGCGTGTAGTGAGGTATTCGGTGGCTCAAACCTTATCCCCCCCATACTCAAATCTATATACCCCGAATTACACAATTACAAAACTTCTAGTCAAATCAACTCTGTTGAGGGTGTCCATGGGCAACGATTGTTTACCATCAGGTAACCCATGTGCTCGTTTTCCGCTTAATCCCATAAAAAAAACCCTTTTTTTTTCATCATCAGCCTATAAATGCCCACTACTGTGCAAAGGCCTCTTCTCACACGGACAAGGTTTGAGCATTAACCACCACGCTTGCTCAAACCGGGTTGGTCGATTTCAAACTTTATGATTAGAAATTATAAGTCCAAGTTTCCTCACGATGTTTACCTTCACCGCATGTCAGTGGTGTCTAAATTATCATAGAAAGTACATATAACTCGGAAAAAGTCACATTGGTACTTGCCAGCCTTATGTAATAGACCGGCAAACGAGCAGACGGATTACCTGATGGTAAGCAATTAACGCCGCCCGTGGACACCCGCAACGGAGTAGTTACGAGAGTGTTGCCGACCTATTAGGGATTTGGAGATTTAGGGATTGGAGAAGGGGAAGGATTGGGCCTCCGGACATATACACAAAACGCAGTTCCTTACCTTTAGCCAAAGTTAGGACGATATTCAGTAAAGTCTTGTCTCCGTTTCTCGCGAGGGAATCAAGCAGAGCTCTGAAGCCTGGTATGAACTTTTCATGTTCTTGCATGTCGGATAACCGGACCGGTATATGTGAGGCGAACTCAAGGTACAAGGATCTGAAATGGAAAACCAACATAAATCTAAATTAGATCAGAATGCTGTCGTCCACTATTGGACATAGGCCTCCCCAATAGCACGCCACTGAGCTCGATGTTCAGCTCTTCTCATCCAACCACTGCCATCCTTACGGATAGATATCGTCAGTCCACCTAGCTGGAGGGCGCCCTACACTACGTTTGCCTAGACGTGTTCTCCACTTTAAAACACCTTTTGTTTGACGTTAAAAAGTCTGTCGTGGTGTCTGTCTGTTATGGTCTACTTGAAATAAAGAATTTGATTTGATTTGATATGGTTACGATAGCTCAAAAAAAGTCATATTTCAATTACACCCTTACAGTCAGTTTTGGAATTTAAACAAAGCTTTAAGATAATAAAAAAATTTAAGTCTGTCAGTCAAAGTAAGTATGTAAGTCAGTCAGTGCGTGTGCTAAAGTGTAAATTCCACTTTGAAGATTAAGGAGGGGGAGGGCCAAATCCATCCCGGATTCGGCCTCTGGTAACCTCAATCACACGTCGAACACAACGCTTTGGTTGTTTTACGCCGGTTCGAAACTAGTAGAGCTTTTCTCAATATATAGACGTGAGTAACCCGCGATTTTTAGTTAATTTAGTATGTCTCACGATAGTTATTATAGAAACACAACATAAATCTCCCTGAAGGCCTTTTCCTAATTATTCTTTGGCAAAATATTTGTGTTAATGTTGTTCATGACTGCACGGTTGCCGCGGTGGCTGGGCAACTGGCTGCCTGATCAACTCTTTGTGTGATCCACAGATTGTTGTTCCGAATCTGGGTGTGATGTGCATGTGAAATTGTATCTTTGTACCCACGACACAGGAGAAAATCCTAATACGGGGCAACGTTTTTTTAACAAAAAGAAAAAAAAATGTTCTCAAGTAATTAACTAACTTAGGCATAATAAAAAGAATTTGATTCAAGTCAGAATTCCAAGTCAAATCATTTATTTTAATTAGACCCTTACAGGTAACTTCGAACGTCAAACAAAGCTTAAAGATTTAAAAGTGTCAGTCTGTCGGTCAGTCCTCTAGTGAAGCTATTTGCTCGTTCCAAAGTGTAGATTCCTATGGAGAAGAACCAGCAAGAAACTCCATGGTTACTCTTTCAATTGATTTCACATACAGATTCTTTGTTACATAATAATGTAACAAAGAATAAGAGCTAATAAGCTCTTATCGTACAAATAAGTGTGGGAGAGCCATGCTTCGGCATGAATGGGTCGGCTCGACCGGAGTGATACCACGGCCTCGCAGAAAACCGGCGTGAAACAACCACAGCGTCGTGTTCGACGTGTGATTGAGGTTACCAGAGGCCCAATCCCTCCCCTATCCTCAATCCTCAAATTGGAATTTACAGTTTAGCACAAGCAAATAGCTTCACTAGAGGACTTCCGACACACTGTCATTTTTTTATTATCTTAAAGCTTTGTTTGATGTTCAAAAGTGACTATAATATAATATACTACTAAAATATTATTGTTTAAAAAGAGTAACGATGGAGTTTCTTGCTCGTTCTTCTCCATTCGAAACTGCAATTTGGAACGAGCACCTAGCTTCACTGATGAACAGACTGAGAGACTACTATTCTATTTTGACGTTTCAAAAGTTTTTGACTGCACGGTTGGTGCGGTGGCTGGGCAACTGACCGCCGTGCAACGTGTCGCGGGTTCGATTCCCGCGCGGAACAACTTTTTGGGTGATCCACAAATTGTTGTTCCAGGTCTGGGTGTCATGTCACGAAATAGAAGAAAATCCTAGTGTGGGGCAACGTTTAAAAAACCTGTTTATGATTTAGTTGGGATAAATGATTTTAATTTGATTAGATTGTAATGATTTTGACTTTTTTTTTGTATATTAATATTTTGAAATACTCACTTGAACTCATCTCCCGCCGGTAAAGAATGGAGTATTTTGATTCTATCTTCAAGTTTTGTATTTTTGGCACTCATTAGAGTACTAGCCCAGCCCACTGGTGGGCAGTCCAAGCCCACAGTTTCAGGCAAACTCAGTACATTTGTCAGAATTGATAACTTGCTTTCAAAATTGCTTATGTTTTCAAATGAAGGCCATAGCTGTAAGGCAATTACATGTTACGGTGTTATTTTCAGAGAAACATTAGCGCCATCTCCCCTCCCGAATCTACACTAATATTATAAAGAGGTAAAATTTTTAAGTTTGTATGTAGGGGGTAATCATTGGAACCGCTGGGCGGATTTCCAAAATTCTTGCACTGGTACGTAGCTACAATGTTCCTGAGTGCTATAGGCTATATAACATCACGCTACGATCTGTAGGAGCCGAGCAGCAGGTGAAACCGCGCGAGATTAGCTAGTTTAAACTAGCTTTTGCCCGCGACTCCGTTTGTGTGGAATAATGACTTCCTATAGATTGTTGGTATAAAAACTATCCTATGTCCTTTCTCGAGTTCCAAACTATGTCTGTGCCAAATTTCACAGAAATCGCTTCAGTATTTTAGGCGTTAAGAAACGACAGACAGGCAGAGTTAGTTTCGCATTTATACAATTAAGTTTGGATGAAAAATAATGAATATTAATATAGGCAAATATAGTATCTGCGGCCCGGACTAAGCGTTTTGCCTCGTCATTTATACCGCGTACATCGAGGGATTGGAACAGTTTGCCGGCTGCAGTCTTTCCGTCCGAATACAATTTAGGTGTCTTCAAGGCTAGAGTGAATAGGCTCTTAATAAACTAGTGCGCCTTACCATCAACGATTGCATCACTGCTTACCATCAGGTGGGATCGCAGTCAAGCACTAGTTTATTGCAAGTAAAAAAAAAGGTACTTACATAATTAATCAAATTTAAAACATGTTGAAAACAATCCTTGTTAAATGCCGTAGCGAAATAATTCATGATATCAATTAAAATCAATGACTGAACTTCATCTTTTAAAACGTACGGTTGACGTATAAATCTCTTAAAATACACTCCACAGTATGTTTTCAAAAAATCAAAATGATTTTGTAATAATAACGAAAATTCATCGTCGGATAAATGTTTTTCGCAAACCGACAGAAGATCGATCAAGAAGATTCTTCCTAGCTTTCCGTCGATATTTCGCATTGCGACCAGAGTCAAATTTTTCGCGTCGAATTCGAAAAATGAATATTCGCTTATAATCTTTAATGCGTGTACTTTTATGGATATTTCTTTTGTGAATTTTGCGAATAACTCTCTTTTCGCGAACTGTGTTATCAATTCTTCATGATCTGTATTATGAAACCATTTTTCGACGAGGCCTGTCATTTCCTCGAGGTTCAGTTTTTCGAACCACTTTCGGAAATTCTCTTTGACTGGGTCTAAAGATCTAGGTCGTGTTTGGAATTTGGATAAGCATGTTGTGATGTTAATTTTAAATGTTATTATTGATTGTGGCGTGACATTCTCGATTAGAAGGCCCAGAAATTTGTATGTTTTCTGAAAAAGAAAGATAATATATATTACCTAGGCAAAAAGACGGTGGAGGTCGTGGTGGCCTGGAGGTTAAGGCGCCCGCTTCTCATGCATAAAGTGTGGATTCGAAACCTTGCAAGTACCAATGTGACTTTTTCCCAGTTATATGTACTTTCTATGATTATTTAGACCTGACATACGGTGAAGGTAAACATCGTGAGGAAACCTGGACTTATAATTTCTTATTATAAGTTTGAAATCGCCAATCCACATTGAGCAAGCGTGGTGATTAATGCTCTAACCTTCTCCGTATGAGAAGAGGCCGTTGCTCAGCAGTGAGCACTTATAAGCTGGTGATGATGATGATGAAAAACACGGTTTTTTTTTTGAGCCATTTTTTTTGTCCTTTGTATATCAGTCGACGACTTGTCTCTTCTGGGCGCAGCGAGAGTGAGTGTCAGACTCTTACTGACTTAAAACCACTGTCTCTCCTCCTGCTCTTCCACCTTAACCAACATTATTATGTTAGTAGTGATAATCTTCGCAGAGGCGGCGACTATAGGCAGCGACTATAATACTTAAGTGTGGGAGAGCCATGCTTCGGTACGAATGGGTCGGCTCGACCGGAGTGACACCACGGCCTCACAGAATACCGGCGTGAAACAACCACAGCGTTGTGTTTCGCCGAGTGAGTGAGGTTACCGGAGACCCAATCCTTCCCCTCCCCCAATCCCTAAATCTCCAAATCACTAATCCCTACAAGGTCGGCAACGCTTTTGTAACTCCTCCATTGCGGGTGTCCATGGGCGGCGCTGATTGCTTACCATCAGGTAATCCGTCTGCTCGTTTGCCGACCTATAAAATATAAAAAAAAAATAGACAGGACGAGGAGCGAAATACAGCGCGAAGCTCAAGACCTGTGGATCCCTCTGCCCCATCTAGGTGATATAGGACTCTAATTAGACCAGTGATGATCATCAGCCTATACCTAATGCACTTAGGTAGGACTGCTGAGCAAAGGCCTCTTCTCACACGTAAGTAAAAATTTCATCAAGAAGTTTTCCGTCACCCTATGTCAGTGGTGTCTAAATAATCATAGAAAGTACATATAACTCGGAAAGTCACATTAGTTCTTGACAGGTTTTGTACTCGCATCCTCATGCGTGAGAAGCGAGTGCCTTAACCTCCGGGCCACCACAGCAAGTTAATAATCGTGGTAATCTCGAATCAAAGATAAAAACATATTTTTTTCAAACTTACCTCAGTATTAACTTCTAGCAATTCATCAGAGAATTCTCTCAAAAAAAGAAATCCAGCATTTATTATGTCTTCTTCAAAATTCTCCAACGTCAAAAACTGTTCCAATATTTTTGAATTTTCAAACTCAACGACCATCCTCCTAAGACCGTTATCGAATTCGAAAGTCGAATTCAAATAAGCAAACAATGTTACCAGATGCGAAAATTGCGGAGATATAGCCGTTAAGGCTTGCAACATTGACAGTGTAATGTCAATTAAGATTTTCAATTCATATTTTTTTATATCGAAGATACGTTTTATGAAATCCGTTACATTATTTATTATCGATTCAGTATTGTAAAGGTTAACTGAATAATTTTCGATAATATCTTTTAATAATTGTAAAATTTGATCTTGTGTGAAAAGGTCGACTTTTTCAACGAAAACGTTGGATGCATTTTCAAAGAGGTCACATGCATCGTTTATTTTTGACGTGCAAGTTAGTATTTTTGGTAAATATTCTATTATTAACGCATTATTGTCGAGGATCGATGGTAGGAATGCTCTTAGTATGTCTAAATCTGGTAGGTATACTGATGCTGAAAAGAAGAAGAAATAGATTTATATTAAAAAAAAAACTTTTAAAAACAATTAGCGTTGTGTTGGCCCAATCCTTCCCCTCCCCCAATACTCGCTCAATCCCTAAATCTCCAAATCCCTTATCCCTAAAAGGTCGGTAACGCACTCGTAACTCCTCCGTTGCGGGTGTCCATGGGCGGCGCTGATTGCTTACCATCAGGTAATCCGTCTGCTTGTTTGACGACGTATTACATAAAAAAAAACTTTTATCATTTGGTCCCGGGACTACAACTAACATTTAAATATTATATAACTAATTTTCTGTGGCGTTTGGTAACTGGGTTCCTCCTTGTTTTGTGACTTCAAGGCTTGAATTTACCGAGGAAAGTGGAAACTATTTAGTTTTTTCTTCTCCTCAAATAATAACTTCTGATTTATTTCGTTGCGGGATCCAAGACAGTTATGCGGCGAGTAAGGGCAGCTTACTGCCCGACCAGAACCAGGCCCGAGCGTAGCGCGTAGCGTCCCATGCGCGGCTCAAAGAGCCAATAGACCACCACAGACGGGGCCCTATAGGGCTGATGTTCAGCCGGGGTTGTGGGGTAAGCACAAAGAGGTACCGCGACCTCGGCCCAGAGTAGGAGTATGAGTTTGACACTCCCTCCCGCCCAGCCCTGGGCGGGTGAAGACATTTGATGATTTTCCCCTCACAAAAAAAGACAGTTATACATGCGCGGAAGCGCCTTCAGTGTTAAAATAGTCATATAAGTATGCCATAAGCTTATGTAGCAATAACGACATACAAATTACATTATATTTGATACATTTATATATTTTATTTATTTAAACTTTAATGTACACAAAACAAGTGATGGTACATAAGGCGGACATTAATGCCATGTGGCATTCTCTCCCAGTCAACCTTAGGGTTAAATAGGAAATCGGCGAAAATATAGGCATGTGTAATTATAAGGAATAAATAACATACATAGACTTTACAAATATATCTATCATCTATCAAATATATCTCAAAATAATACATATGTATATTTGGCTATTCAGACATTGTGAATTAGTGCCTTTAACGCTACTAATATCCATTTAATCTCACCTTTATCCCTGGTGATCATGAAGGAGGAATGTTCAGCCACCACGTTAAGCAGTTCCTCCGTGGTTTCCGACCCTGGATCCTGGGTTAGCAAGAGGTGGAGGTGCTCTGATAACTTCCTCCGGACATTTGGGTCTAATTCTTCTGTGATTCCCTGGAATAAGAGGTCGTATTGCATTTTTTATTAGATAATACGGTAGTTTCCAACTAGTCAAATTCAATACTATTATCCAAATGTCAAAAACGATACTTTTCTATGAAATTTGTATGAAACACTGAGTTATGACGTCATAGTACATTTAACTCAAATAGCTTACTTATTTCTTAATAATTAGCTAAAAAATATCTAAAATTTAGTGTATCGATCGATCGATCAATGAATGAAAGTATAGTTATTTTTCAGTATTTTATTGTATTGGAACGTCGAATTGATTTATTTTTGACCTAGTAAACTACCCAATTCTGCCAATTGGCTGGCGGATAGCCTGATGGTTATAAATCGGTGCCTTCTATGAACATACGCAAGGAGGAGACGACGGAGGAGTTGTCACCGCGTTCCTGGCCAGTTTTGCCCAGACGTTTATCAGAGTTTTGGGCTCAGAGTGCCGATAAAATAATGATCTTCGGATCCGCCCCAACCTGTTGGCTTTCAGTTGAAATTCCTGAGCATAACCGGGTTGATATAGCCCCTAGAGCACTAAGGTAACTCTCATTGCAAATCTCGAAAGTAAATTTTTATGTCAAACTCGAAAGTGTAGTTTGTAAATTTAATACATAAACTTCTGTGTAATTCGAAGTGTGGTTCTTTCATAACTGTAGTGTTCCGGTGTTTTCATGGTTGTATCTACTATAGATCCTGGTGTATAGGATTTGCAGCGGTTTTGGGAGGTGCGGCGGGCTTGACCCAATAAAAAAAAAAGGTGGTCAAGCCTTTAGAGGAATAGGGTCTAGGAGGTTTAGGGATTGGGGAAAAATAGGGGAAGGGGAAAGTTTAGGCACCCGGTAACCGCACTCAGACGGCGAAAAACAATGCTTTCTTACCTTAATTATAGCCTGAACACAAGCAGCAGTATTACAGAAGAACAGAGCGGGATGCACAGCTATCTCCGTCTCGCTTCTCCCCGAAGAGCTTCTAAAGATTTCGTGAATCACTCGAATCGTTGCTTCTTGTAAATCGGGGTCGGGTCGGTCGCGTACTGAAGAGATTTTTATAATTATAACTATTGTGAGAATGGGAGAGATAGTCAAAGAAATATCCTACTAATATTATAAACTAGCGACTGTCCCGCGGTTTTACCCTGCTCGGCTCCTACATATCGTAGCGTGATGTTTTATCCAAACTAATCTAAATCCAAACTAATATTATAAATTCGAAAGTAACTCTGTCTGTCTGCCTGTCTTTTCTTCACGCCTAGACTACTGAATCGATTTCTGTGAAATTTGGTACAGACATAGTTTGGAACTCGAGAAAGGACATAGGATATTTTTTATACCAAAAATATGCCGGAATATTATAAATTCGAAAGTAACTCTGTCTGTCTGTCTGTCTGTCTTTTCTTCACGCCTAGACCACTAAACCGATTTCTGTGAAATTTGGTACAGACATAGTTTGGAACTCGAGAAAGGACATGGGATATTTTTTATCAAAAATCTGCAGTAGCCTGTATACTAACAAACACAAAAAGAATCGTTCAATTCCAACCAGTAGTTTCGGAGATTAGCACGTTCAAACCAACAAACTCTTCAGCTTTATAATACTATTAGTAAAGATGTAAAAATTTATGAGAATGTATAGATGCATGTTCGTTACTCTTTCACAATAAACAACTGGACCGATTTGGTTGAAATTTGTTATGTAGATAGATGATAACATATGCTTTTATCAACAACATCATAAGCCTATGCTTTTTTCAACATACCGCGCGGACGAAGCCGCGTGCGGAAGCTAGTATATAATATTTTTTATGTGATAGCAAGCAATCGTCACCACTCATGTTTACGCGCAACACCAAACAAGTGCTTTGGCAAACTTTTGGGGATTATGGTTCTGGAGATTTAGGGATTGGGGAGGGATAAAAGTTATACTTACAATTAGCAGTTAAAATGACCAGCAAACAATACAACGCCTCAGTTTCGCCACGCACAAGACAGAGTTGCAGAATCCTTTGCAGATCAATCTGAAAGATAAAATATTATATGTATGAAAAGCACAGGTACAGGTGGTCACATTTCAGAGACATCCCTCCCTGGTGTGAAGTCACATGTTTTGCAATACGGTAGTTTCCAACTAGTTAAATTCAATACTTTTATCCAAACGTCAAAAACGATACTTTTCTATGAAATTTGTATGAAAAACTGAGCTATGACGTCATAACTTTTTTGAGTCAAATAGCTTACTTATTTCTGAATAATTAGCTAAAAAAATCTAAAATTCAGTGTATCGATCGATCGATGAATAAAAGTATAGTTATTTTTCAATATTTTGTTGTATTGAAACATCGAAATAATTTATTTTGACCTAGGAAACTACACGATTACAAATATCGGTCGACAAATCATTAAAGAGAAACAAAATAAAAATCGTGTCACTAAAGCGGGTATCGACTCGTCAACAAAACAATTTAGACCATATAGTCCTAAAGACAGAGTCGAAAATATGTTTTAGTTTGATTCATATTTCAAATTACGAGACTAGTACGGCTAGTATAATGGGTCGGCTCGACCGGAGTGATACAACGGCCTCTCAGAAAACCAGTGTGAAACAACCACAGCGTTGTGTTTCGCTGTGTGAGTGAAGTTACCGGAGGCCCAATCCCTCCCCATCCCCTATCCCTGCCCGATCCTTATATCCGCAACCCCTATCTCCAAAAAGCCGGCAACGCACTCGTAACTCCTTTGGTGTTGCGGGTGTCAATGGGCGGCGCAGATTGCTTACCATCAGGTAATTCGTCTGCTCCTTTGCCGACTTATACCATAAAAAAAATCTAGATATATATGATTTTGAAATAAGTTATGGTGTTACGAAATTTAGGACCCCCCCTCCCACCTCATGCGACACAGTCGACCCACCCCGCCCCCCTTTACGTGTGACATACTTTATAGATGACCCCTAAGGCATCGCGGGCCCGGCCCTGAGCAGGAGAAGGAACGGGGTGGTGTTTAGTCAGTAAGAGTCTGACACTCCCTATCGCCTCACTCAAGGCGGGAGAAGACTCATTCGATGAACCTCATTTTATTAAATTTTATGTAACACAATGCTGTAGTTGTTTAACGCCGGTTGACTGTAAAGCCTATACCACCCACACTCCGGTCGAGCCAGCCCAATCATTTATTTATTTATTTATTTATTTAACACTTTATGTACATACAAAATAATATATACAAAGGCGGACTTAATGCCCGAAGGCATTCTCTACCAGTCAACCTCAAGGGTGATGCAGAGAAGTGTTAATAATAGGTTTTAAACAAGCACACAATGATTAAAAAGTACAGGCATGTAAGGCAACATTTACATATAATACAAAACATAATATATGAATACAATAAATATAACCTACAAATACACATATAACATATAAATAATACATAAATAATATATTAAATATGGGAAGAATAGATTACGAACTTAAACAAGAACAAAAACAACAACAACAATCATCTCAAAGCCGTCTTTGTGTTTTTTAACAATTTGATTTGAACTTAGAAGAAAAATGTGCAATCCTACTCATATTTTAGACGAGAACACTTTAAATTATTTATTATGTTTTCGGCTTACTCACGTAATAATTTGACGAGATACTCGACTAGTTTCAAGCCATGCTAGAGGCCCATATTCATGAGCAGCATTCCGCGACACGCGACTCGGCGACTGTCGCGCTGCTACTGGCTACTCGTTAGAGCGAGTCTAGCGTGCCAACAGTGTGGCGCGCGCCGTCGCTGCCGACACCACGGCTAGAAGAAAGTGCGCGTGAATCGCGGCAGAGGGCGCGTTGGGCGCGAAGACTCGAGTAGCCAGTAGCAGCGCGACAGTCGCCGAGTCGCGTGTCGCGGAATGCTGCTCATGAATATGGGCCTCTAGCATGGCTTGAAACTAGTCGAGTATCTCGTCAAATTATTACGTGAGTAAGCCGAAAACATAATAAATCATTTAGAATGTCTCACGAAAGTTATAATAAAAAAAAGAGAACATTTTAACTACATATAAATCCTAATGATGAATAGATTTAACTTAAAATCGCGGGTAGTAGAGCTTTTCTCAATATACACGTGAGTAACCCGCGATTTTAAGATAATTTAGTATGTCTCACGATAGTTATTATAAAAACATGAATAGATTATAATGAAATCTGTTAAAGAGATAGACTATGTATATAGCACTAGCTACTCTCGCGCGGTTTCACCCGCTGCTCGGCTCCATTTAATCGTAGCGTGATGTTTTATAGCCTGTAGCACTCAGGAACATTGTAGCTATCTATCAGTGAAATAATTTTGGAAATCCGACCAGCGGTTCCAAAGATTACCCCCTACATACAAACTTACAAATTTTATCTCTTTATAATATTATTATAGAAGTATAGATTTAAAAAAATTTAAATATAAAAAAAATTGGTCTAATAACTACATAGGCTATTTTTTGCCCTGGAACTGGAGCCGCTGCCTGTAGCTGGCTTTTATTATATGTATAAGTAAAGATTGCAAAAATAACTACTAACCTTTAAAATCAGCCCTTGCACGACGTTCGGTACGTTCAAATTAACTTTATTCTTCAGTTTCAAAGTATAAATATCCTCGGAGAAATTTGCTTGCGCCCGCAATCGTCCGAACTTAGCTGAAAACAAAGAAAAGTTGTCGATTGAGACAAACTCAAAAGCGTTTTCTACGAACAGGTTAAGTGCTTCAGTAACCATTATAAATATTGTAAAATCAACAATATTTATAATACAAACTAATATTATAAATGCGAAAGTAACTTCTGTCTGTCTTTCTTCACGCCTAAACTACTGAACCTATTTGTGTGAAATTTGGGACAGACATAGTTAGGAACTCGAGAAAGAACATAGAATGGGTAGGCTCGACCGGAGTGATACCACGGCCTCACAGAAAATCGGCATGAAACAACCACAGCGTTGTGTTTCGCCGTGTGAGTGAGGTTACCGGAGGCCCTCCCCCGATCCCTCCCCAATCCCTTAATCTCCAAAACCCTTATCCCTAAAAGGTCGGCAACGCACTCGTAACTCCTCCGTTGCGTGTGTCCATGGGCGACGCTGATTGCTTACCATCAGGTAATCCGTCTGCTCGTTTGCCGATCTATCACATAAAAAAAAACATTTGAAAAAAATTTCACCTGCAACTAAAAATAATATCTTACCCAAGAACATAATGGCATCTTTTTGGAAGGCTCTCGCGTCTTTGTTATTCAGGACTACCTTAGATTTCAGTCTCTCAATCTGATTTATAACCTGTAAAAAAAGACAAAATTAAAACATTCATTTTTAAATCGTAACCAACTTGTTTGTACAGATATTAAGTTGTTTTTAGTTCATCATCATCATCATCATCATCAGCCTGTTGTCGTCCACTGCTGGACATAGGCCTCCCTAATTGCACGCCACTGAGCTCGATGTTCAGCTCTTCTCATCCAACCACTGCCAGCCACCTTGCGGATGTTTTAGTTAGGTACCCTGAATGTCCTAGATATTTGACGCTGTCTGTACCTCCATCATTCATAGCACAGTGCTACGAGCTTGCATAGTAAAACCGTAGCGTGTAGCACAACGCTACACATTAGCGTAGTAATACCGTAGCGTGTAGTACGTTGCTACACATTAGCGTAGTAATACCGTAGCGTGTAGCACATCTCTACACATTACTGTAGTAACGCCGTAGCGTGTGTCACATCGCTACACATTAGCGTAGTAATACCGTAGCGTGTAGTACGTTGCTACACATTAGCGTAGTAATACCGTAGCGTGTAGCACATCGCTACACGTTAGCGTAGTAATACCGTAGCGTGTGGCACATCGCTACACATTAGCGTAGTAATACCGTAGCGTGTGGCACATCGCTACACATTAGCGTAGTAATACCGTAGCGTGTGGCACATCGCTACACATTACTGTAGTAACGCCGTAGCGTGTGTCACATCGCTACACATTAGCGTAGTAATACCGTAGCGTGTAGTACCGCGCTACACATTAGCGTAGTAATACCGTAGCGTGTGGCACATCGCTACACATTAGCGTAGTAATACTGTAGCGTGTGGCACATCGCTACACATTAGCGTAGTAATACCGTAGCGTGTAGTACCGCGCTACACTTTAGTGTAGTAATACTGTAGCGTGTGGCACATCGCTACACATTAGCGTAGTAATACCGTAGCGTGTAGTACCGCGCTACACATTAGCGTAGTAATACCGTAGCGTGTAGTACCGCGCTACACTTTAGCGTAGTAATACCGTAGCACATCTCTACACATTACTGTAGTAACGCCGTAGCGTGTAGCACATTGTTACACATTAGCGTAGTAATACCGTAGCGTGTGGCACATTGCTACACATTAGCGTAGTAATACCGTAGCGTGTAGTACCGCGCTACACATTAGCGTAGTAATACCGTAGCGTGTAGCACATCGCTACACATTAGCGTAGTAATACCGTAGCGTGTAGCACATCGCTACACATTAGCGTAGTAATACCGTAGCGTGTAGCACATCGCTACTCATTAGCGTAGTAATATCGTAGCGTGTAGCACATTGCTACACATTAGCGTAGTAATACCGTAGCGTGTAGCACATTGCTACACCTTAATGTAGTAACACGGTAGCTTTTAGCACTGGATAGGCTAGGGTAGTTAGTAAAGAGAAGGTAGCGTAACTATGTAACTAGATGGGGTAGTCAATTGATGAACTAGAGCGACGCCGCAGGTGATAGCCAGTTTAAAATAAGAATGATGGCAAATTTTACTAGTTCTCAAAAACGCAAGTATTTACAAAAACCTATAGAATCATAAGCAACTAAAAACTTACCAATGAAAGTTGTCGTTTATCCAGATTGTTCGAGTTATCCTCAATGACTGTCTCCAAGTTGCCAAGTATTTTTATCAATACTTTGTAATCAGTGTCTTCCTTTGAGAAGATCGCCTGAAATGCGTTATAATAATTGTGTAGTTACCTAGGTCAAAAATAAATTAATTCGACGTTTCAATAAAATAAAATACTGAAAAATAACTATACCTTTATTCATCGATCGATCGATACACTAAGATTTAGATATTTTGTAGCTAATTATTAAGAAATAAGTAAGCTATTTAACGCAAAAATACTATGACGTCATAACTTAGAGTTTCATACAAATGTCATAGAAAAGTATTGTTTTTGACATTTGGATAAAAGTATTGAATTTGACTAGTTGAAAACTACCGTGTTATTATATGAGTGTCAGTCTCTTACTGACTAAAAACAACCCTGTTCTCTCTCTCCTGTTCCAGGCTGCGGCCGCGGTACTTTGTGGAGCTTTGCCGGACTGAGCGTGGGAGAGCCAAGCTTCGGCACGAATGGGTCGGCTCGACCGGAGTGATACCACGGCCCCACAGAAAACCGGCGTGAAACAACCAAAGCGTTGTGTTTCGCCGTGTGAGGAGATTACCGGAGGCCCAATCCCGCCCCTTCCCCTATCCCTAAATCCCCAAAACCCTAATCGCTAAAAGGCCGGCAACGCACTCGTAACTCCTTTGGTGTTGCGGTTGTCCATGGGCGGCGCCGATTGCTTACCATCAGGTAATCCGTCTGCTCGTTTGCCGACTTATACCATAAAACAAAAACTGAGGTAATCTTACCTGAAACGAGGATAGGGTCCCGTCATACATAGATTGTCGGTCCGTACTCATGACGTTAAGCAAAGTCTTGTAGACCGTGTCCTCCTGAAACATCTCCACGTAGGGCATCTGTGAAGTAATAAAATAAAGCTTGATATACATTTTTCAAGTGTGGGAAAGCTATGCTTCGGCACGACCGGAGTGATACCACGGCCTCACAGAATACCAGCGTGAGACAACTACAACCTGTTGTGTCCTTAATGACAAGTCGTTTAAATGACATGTAACTCTTTTTATTTTGACATCATTTTTTACTTTTCTTTATTATTATTTTCCTGACATGATTTAATTTAACATTATTATTCCTATTATTTTACTATTGTTACTAATCTGACATTTTGAATAAATATTTTTGATGATTGACATTTTAAATTTATTCAGTATCAATCTAACTATGTGTAGTATCTATCAATTTGTGAAAATAATAATATTTGCATGCCCATGTGACGGTAGAATGTGGAGGGACCTAATCTAATTATAAGAAAACATCAATGTATCAATCACCCATGTTTGCAAAGAAATAAATGATTTATTTGTTTCGTGTGAGTGAGGTTACCGAAGGCCCAATCCCACGCCCTCCTCCCCAACCCTTCCCAATCCTTAAATATCCGAAACCCTTATCCCTAAAAGGCCGGCAACGCACTCGTTACTCCTTTAGTGTTGCGGGTGCCCACGGACGTTGTATTTCGCCGTGTGAGTGAGGTTCCCGTTTGTTATTATAAGACGAATGTTGTTATGCAAAGATAATTTTGAAAAATACAATCTAGATTGGGTTATAGTGACCTTTACGTCGTAAACGAGATAGTTAAGTACTCGTGGAAGGCGGGCTCTAGTATATATTAAATAACACTGAACATTTTTATCTGTTCACTTTATTTTGTGTGGAAAAATTATCAGATAATTTCTCCAGGGTTGGGCGGAAGGGAGTGTCAGACTCTTACTGACTAAAAACCCCCTGTTTCTTCTCCTGCTCTGAGCCGAGGTCGCGGTGCCTCATTGCGCTTACCCCGCAACCCCGGCTGAACATCAGCCCTATAGGGCTCCGTCTGTGGTGGGCTATTGGCTCTTTGAGGCGCGCGCGGAACAACACTTTGTGTGGTCCACAAAATTGTTGTTCCGTGAGTCTGGTTGTGTGTTATGTATGTGAAATTGTATGTTTATAAACGCACCCACGAAACAGGAGAAAATCCTAGTGTGGGGACAACATTAAAAAAGAGTTTTCTATTAAAAGCTATACGTTACCTCATCATCAGGCATCTCCTGGATCATTTTCAAAGGTTCCTGCCTATAAAAGCTGGCGAGGTGGACGATCGAGGGCAGGATGGAGTGGCACCACTTTACACAATCACACTCTGTCTGTTGCAGACTCAGTAATACTGACAGCAATGATAGAGTAGGCTTGACATCCATGAAAGACTGTTAACAAAATAATACATTTGCCTTGAAAAATAGATAGTATAATAATAAAATTTAGAGCAAAAATCATAATCTAGATATAGATTATCATAAAGTCGTGGTGGCCCGGAGGTTAAGGCATGCTTCTGATGCATGAGGGTGTGGGTTCCATACCTGGCAAATACCAATGTGACTTTTTTCCGAGTTATATGTACTTTCCATGATTATTTAGACACCACTGACATACGGTGAAGGTAACCATCGAGAGGAAACCTGGACCAATAGGCCTTTGCTCAGCAGTGGGCACTTATAGGTATAAGGGTTCATATATTACTTTTGCTTAAAGCTATAACAAGTTCAGAATATTGGGTGCCTGAACTAGGACATCCTGTGTTTCGGGGGAAAGTTGGTAAAAATTATTATATTATACACTCGCTTCGTTCGCGCGGAATAGTACGTGACTTCCTGCAGATTTTTATTTTAAAAACAATCTGTACCATATTTCACAGAAATCGCTTCAGTAGTTTAGGCGTGAAGAAAAGACAGACAGAGTTACTTTCGCAATTATAATAGTAGTTTGGATTAAATGGTGGAGAAATTTAGTGTCAGCATTGTACACATGTGAAGCCAGGACGCACTATGGCATTAAGACGCCTTATATACCAACCTGTTGGCACTTTAAGTACATTCAAAGCATAAATAAGTGTGGGAGAGCCATGTCACCGGAGTGATACCACGACCTCACAGAATAACGGCGTGATACAACCACAGCGTTGTTTCGGTGTGTGAGTGAGGTTACCGGAGACCTAATCCGTTCCCTCCCCCAATGCTAAATCCCCAAAAGGTCGGCAACGCCTAACTCCTCAGTTGTTGCGAGTGTCCATGGGCGGCGCTGATTGCTTACCATCAAGTAATCCGCCTGCTCGTTAGCCGACCACGACATAAATAAATAAATAAATAAAAATAGGTTCACCAGTGCCTAAGTCAAAGTCAAAATCATTTATTCCAACTAAACCATAAATAGGTACTTAGGTACTTTTGAAACGTCAAAATAGAGAAGTAGTCTGTCAGTCTGTTCGTCAGTGAAGCTAGGTGCTCATTCCAAATTGTAGATTCGAATGGAGAAGAACGAGCAAGAAACTCCATTCGTTACTCTTTTTTAAAGTCAAAGTCAAAGTCAAAAGTCAAAAATCATTTATTTCAATTAGACCACAGTAGGCACTTTTGAACGTCAAGCAAGCAAAAAAGGAAAAAAGTATATACAAGAGCTTTAAAATTAAGCGTGTCAGTCTGTCCGTCTGTCCTCTAGTGAAGCTATTTGCTCGTTCCAAAGTGTAGATTCCTATGGAGAAGAACGAGCAAGAAACTCCATGGTTACTCTTTTTCAATCAGTTTTACAACACAAATTTCTTTGTTAAAAAATTGTTTTACAATTTCAATAATATAACATTTATAACTATCATAAAATTTTACTCCTTTGTCGTCTCGAACATGGTGCTCACATATGCGTACTCACAATCCTATGATTTTGGACACTATAAATGCGAAAATATATAAAAAAAATTACCTTCTCTTTATTAGCAAGTGCAATAGCCAAGTCTTGGAGTATAAGTTGGACGGTCTCCTTGAATATCATCACGGCTTTAGCCAAGTCGGGGCCAGCATAATTGTCCAGGATAGACCTCCAGATATATATGTACTTGTCTAGACCTTCCTGAAGGCTGAGTTTCAGGAGTAGTATTAGTGCTGCCTGAAAAAAAAAATTTCAATACTAACAGTATACAGAGGTAACATTTGTAAGTTTGTATGTAGGGGTAACCTTTGGAACCGCTGGTCGGGTTACCAAAATTCTTTCAATGATGCAATGAAACAATGAAAATATTAATTTATTTTTGCAAATAGGCCATAAAACGGCACTTTAACACGTCAAATTATATGAAAAAAAAAACTAGATGAAGCCGGCAATTCCTATCTGACTACTCTGAGAAAAAATGCCGAAACAAACTCATAGGTCAGTCTCTTTCCAAGTTAGTATTTTCACGTCATGATCTGCCATGTGAAAATAATATAATGTGACAGATAGCTACAATGTTCCTGAGTGCTAAAGGCTATAAAACAGCACGCTACGATCAATAGAAACCGAACAGCGGGTGAAACCAGCCAGTAATTTTAAGTGTGGGAGAGCCATGCTTCGGTACGAATGGGTCGGCTCGACCGGAGTGATACCACGGCCTGTCAGAAAACCGGCGTGAAATAACCACAGCGTTGTGTTTCGCTGTGTGAGTGAGGTTACCGGAGGCCCAATCCTTCCCCTCCCCCAATCCGTCCTCAATCCCTAAATCTACAAATCCCTAATCTCTAAAAGGTCGGCAAAGCACTCGTAACTCCTCCGTTGCGAGTGTCCATGGGCGGCGCTGATTGCTTACCATCAGGTAATCCGTCTGCTCGTTTGTAGACCTATTACATTAAAAAAAAGTAATTAGTTTTTCATAACTTTTGAGACACACTTGGATTTCGTAGGTCGCCACCCGACCAAAACGGAACGTGATGGGTTTTTAGTCAGTAAGTTACACTCCGTCTCGCCCTATAGGGCGGTAGAACGCCTTGGAGGATTTACTCCCGCAAAAATATGTTTTTTTAGGATAATGGCAACTAGTGAAACAATCCATCACCTTTCCATGTCCAATCTCGAAATTCTCTAATACCCAAAAGGCAGGCATCGCACTTCTAACTCGGCTGGGTGTCTATGGACGGCGCCGATTGCTTACCATCAGGTAATCTGTCTGCTCGTTCGCCGTCCCCCCTCACAGGCGAAGTGGGGAGAAGTTAAATTATAAAATCTTACCTTTCTAATATCGTCGTTGGCCTTCATGATGCCTTTGACCACAATATCCCTTTTCTTGTTAGTCGGTAAATTGTCGTAGAACATTATAGATGTCAGCAACATGTTCCCACTATTCGATAGATTACATTCTATGCACCAGGATATCTGTAAATTATATAAAAAAAATTGTCGTGGTGGCCCGCTTCTCATGCTAGAGAGTGTTAGTTCGAAACCTGGCATGTACCAATGTGACTTTTTCCAAGTTATATGTACTTTCTATGATTATTTAGACACCACTGACATACGGTGAAGGAAAACATCGTGAGGAAACCTGGACTTATAATTACTAATTATAAGTTTAAAATCGCCAACCCGCATTTAGCAAGCGTGGTGATTAAAGCTCTAACCTTCTCCGTATGAGAAGAGGCCTTTGCTCAGCAGTAAGCACTTATAGGCTGATGATGATATAAAAAAACCACATTGATTATACACAAATTCAACTAGTTTTAATTTATTATTACTTGTTTTTTTAATAAAGTAATAATAAATTAAAACTAGTTGAATTTTTGTTTTAATTAAATTACTATTTCTAATTGTGAAATTCTACAGCTCTTCTTCAACTCTACTGGACTTTTTGTGAGGGGAGAATCGTCAAACTTCTTCTAACAGACGAAGCAGATTGACAGACTCTTATTGACTGAAAACCCCCCGTTCCTTCTCCTGCTCTAGACCGAGGCCGCGAAACCATTAGATCAGCAAACGAGCAGACGGATTACCTGATGGTAAGCAATCAGCGCCGCCCATGGACTCTTGCAACACTTAGTTACGAGTACTTTGCTGGCCTTTTAAGGATAAGGGATTTGGATATTTAAGTGTTGGGTAGGGATGGGGGAGGGAAGGGATTGGGCCTGGGCGAAGCACAGCGCTGTGGTTGTTTCACGCCGTATGTGTCTGAAGTAGTACTAGGAAGCCGTCTCCTCTTTCTGTAAAGCAGTTATGCTCGCTAAGAAAGAGCCAGACCGCGTGAGGAAGCTATAGTCCTCCTCACGCCCCACGCCCAGGCTCTGGGCGGCGCTGACTGCTTACCATCAGGTAATCTGTCTACTAGTTTACCAACCAATAAAAAAAGACATGACATAATACTCACAGTAGCGGCTCCATCATAGTCCACCCTTTTGGTCATCAGCTGGTACTCCAAATCCACTCCGCTGCTGAGGACCAGACCCTCGCCTTCCCCAGCGCTGGCCTGCATCAGAACCTTCAAAGCGGTATGCTTCACCAGTATCGATTGTGAAGATCTCCGTGGGATTATTTCGGATAATATTATTATCTGGAATCCAATAGGTGATTTCAAGTGTGGGAGAGCCATGCTTCAGCACGAATGGGTCGGCTCGACCGCAGTGATACCACAGCCTCACAGAAAACTGGCGTGAAACAACCACAGCGTTGTATAGCCATGCGAATGAGGTTATTAATGGGCCAACCCTTGTTGCCCTCTCAGAATCTCTCTCCTAAATCCCTAAATCTCCGTAACCCTAATCCCCAAAAGGCCGGCAACGCACTCGTAACTCATCTGGTCCTGTTCCATAATAATACGGTAGCTTCCAATTAGTCAAATTCAATAATTTTATCTAAATGTCAAAAACTATACTTTTATATGAAACTCCAAGTTATTCCGTCATAGTATTTTTGCGTCAAATAGCTTACTTATGTCTTAAAAATTAGGTAAAAAATATCAAAAATTTAGTGTGACGACATATCGATGAGTAAAAGTATAGTTATTTTTCAATATTGTATTGTATTGAAACATCGAATTAATTTATTTTTGACGTAGAAAACTACCCGATTGAATGCTTACTATCAGGTAATCCGGCTGCCACATAAAAAAGATATATGCTTTAAAATTTAGTTCCAACACTAGACTTTACACTTAGTGAGTAGCAACGCGACAGTCGCCGCGTCGCGTGTCGCGGAATGCTGCTCATGAATATGGCCTCCAGCATGGCTTGAAACTAGTCGAGTATGTCGTCAAACAATTACGTGAGTAAGCCGAAAACATAACAATTAATGTAGACTTCACAACTTCATACATACATACACACATACATATGTACATATAAAAACGAACCTCTTTTTGCGGATTTGATGGTAAAATTACTTCATATATATTAATTAAAGCGTCCATAGCGTTCTTTTTATTCATCTGCCATAAATAATCGCGTAAACTCTTGTCATTTGCTAATACCTCCTTGAACAGACCAGCGTGATGTTCCAATATTGATAATACCACTGGAAATAGAGAAAATAAGTATCAGTTTTATATTATAGTCCAAGTGAAAGTAAAAGAGTGGAAGAAGTGTGGGAGAGCCATGCTTCGGCACGAATGGGTCGGCTCGACCCTTATTTTTTTTTCATTTCACGAGAACGGGAATACTTTTATACGCGTGCGAAGCCACGGGCGGAAAGTAATCATTTATTAATTAAATTAAAAAAAATAAAAGAGGTAAGAAAGAAAGAAAGAAAGAAAGAAAAAAGAGATAAGAAAGAAAGAAAGAAAGCAGATAAATCATTCGGTACAACACCAGACACAAACTATACAATGCAAACAAAAATAACTGTGAATAAAAAAGGAGCACAAAATAAATGTAGGTAGGTTATACAAAAATGTTAAAGTTTAATAGGTACACTAATAATAGTGTTGTGCCCGACAGCTACACCATAAAAGGTCCAGTTCAGGATAAATGCCAGACATCTAGTGCGGTAATTTTATGTCCGGCGCGGATGGGAGACAGAGATCGAGTGACTGAGTTTTTTTTTTTTGTGAGGGGAAAAAAATCATCGAATTACTTCTCCCGCCCAGGGCCTGGCGGGAGGGAGTGTCAGACTCTTACTTACTAAAAAGCTGCCTGTTCCTTCTCCTGCTCTGGGCCGAGGTCGCGGTGCCTCATTGCGCTTACCCCGCAACCCCGGCTGAACATCAGCCCTTTAGGGCCTCGTCTGTGGTCGTCTATTGGCTCTTTGAGGCGCGCGCGAAACGCTACGCGCCGTACGCTCGGGCCTGGTTCTGGTCGGGCGGCGAGCTGCCCTTACTCGCCGACCGCAGACCCGAGCTTACTGTGGCCGGAGATCGTCCCTCGGAGTGACTGAGTTTGAAAGGGATAATCCTGACTTGGAATAGAAAAGGTGACGTTGGGATATGTCAGCGAATACATAGGAGGAAATTAGGTTTATAACAGAAGCCGGGGTAGCGGGGCAAGCGCAATAAGTCACCGCGGCCTCGGCCTAGAGCAGCAGCAGGAGAAGGAACGGGGGGTTTTAGTCAGTAAGAGACACTCCCTCCCGCGCCACCCTGGGCGGGAGAAGCCATTTGATGATTTTTTTCCTTACAAAAAAGGGGTATAACAGAATCCTCATCCATGAAAAATTGGCGTCTTAATCTCCTAGCCATTTCGCTTTCTCCTCAAAGACCCAATAGACCACCACAGACGGGGCCGATGTTCAGCCGGGGTTGCGGGGTAACCGCGATAAGTCACCGCGGCCTCGGACTAGAGCAGGAGAAGGAACGGGGGGGAGGGGGCTTTTTGACAAAACCCTTCCTTCCGAGTATCAGTCTGACACTTTCTCTCACCTTACAGTACGGCCGACGTATCTTGGCGAGTCTGAAGTTAGCCGTTTGTCTGCGCAATGGATCTTTTAGGAACTAACTATGTACTGAGCAGCTAATCGGCTAACTTCAGACTCGATACGTTGGCGGTATTGTATCTTGGGCGGGAAAGTCATTTGATGATTTTCCCCTGACAAAGCAAAACAAAAAAAAACCTCCAGGACACCACTTAGAAACCCTGCCACATTATACATTTATGAAAGAAAGAAGAAAGAAAAAGCATTTATTTTCGCGCAAGCGCACACACATAAAACAAAAATACAACAAAAGAAGAAAATAATACTAAAAATCTAAACTAAATGAAACAGATAAAAATGAAATGGTTTTTAAAAATAAATTAATAACAAAAGAAAAACACAAAACGTTTTGTCTATTTTCCACAGAGTATTTTAACATTATGCGCGAGGTCGCGTGTCTTTTTATTATCTGTGGACCATAAGGACAAGATAGTAACATTTGAATGAAACCTCCTTAAGTGCTTACCATCCATGACCTTGGAGTTCAGCTGCTGCAGATCACCGGACATCAATGTATACAAGTTCTTCAGTACGTAAATTTCCTCATCTTTCCCAAAATTGATTAACAAATCGTCAATACCCTTCAACACACCCATTAGAACGGAGCTTGTCAAATTTTTCTGTTAAAATATAAAACAATATATAAATCTAACATTTTTTTGCTATTGGTCGGCACATGACCAGGGCCTCGAGTCTTCTATTACAATAGTGTCAGAATAGTAGATCATTGGTTTCAAAATTGATGATTTTGACAAGTTTGGTAATCTACTAACACGATAGCGTCATTATGACTTTCCAATGATCAACCAATGCCACTTCATTAAAATAATTCTAATATAATAGATTCTAAGATATAATAAGAGTAAATTTATAAACGAGAGGAATCGATTCAGAAATATTTTAATTCAGAATAATTTCGCAACATCACTATTTAGTACGTGTCATAACGTTGCAACACTGAAATTGTCAAATCTGGAATGGAATTTTAAAAGAGGCAGGGGGTGACTGGCAAACTCAATAAATGGGCCCCGGAAACGGCCGCTAGCATGTAGCGACACGGGGGCAACATACGTTGAGCTGCTTGGGGAAGGAGAGGCATCCCACGGCTATCAGAGCAATCCCGGAAGTACGGTCAAGACCCCTACCAGCATCTTACTGAGATACATCCTTCCCCCGAGTCTCCTTCAACTCCTACTCTTGCGAATCTCCACTCAAGCCAGCCAATTAAGGCAAAAATGAGGTGGGAGGGCTTGTTCCTCTTCAGTGTTCACTCCAGCTCCATAATTATTGGCTAAAGAGGCAGGGGGTGACTGGCAAACTCAATAACATATTATAATTATAATTATGTTCCTTTCCACTCACGGGACCACAGGGTCCCGGACTTTTGGAAGGCGTACGAGGGGCCGAAGCCAACTCGCAGAGGCCCTTTGAACAACTTTAATATAAGTGAAATGGGACATCAGCCAGCAATTGTCCCTGTGTGCACTATGAAAATGCACCCAAGGACAATCCCCGGTTGATGGAGGACTATTGCGAAATGTGGTAAAAATTTATAGGGTTATGGGTATGGGTTGCTATGGACTGGTGGCTATGATAACTATGGAAATACTATGGCCCCTGCCCTTGACCAATATTGAAACATACGGATAAACAGGCAGGGGGTGACTGGCAAACTCAATTAATGGGCCCCCGGAAACGGCCGCTAGCATGTAGCGACAAGGGGGCTAATTCTAATTATTATTATACGTACACTCTGTTTATGTCTCTCGAGCATATTCTGATAATATATAAGTAGTTTGTGGTGATCCCCATTCTTAACGTTCTCAGGAAAATATCTGCATAAAGCACCTGAAATATAGATTACACATGCAACAATTTGAAACAGCAAAGACATCGCATCAAAAGTAAATATATCGTTTTTTGAATAGTAACAACTTTAGTACGTAGAATAATAAGTGTGGGAGAGCCAAGCTTCGGCACGAATGGGTCGGCTCGACCGGAGTGATACCACGGCCTCACAAAAAACCGGCGTGAAACGACCACAGCGTTGTGCTTCACCTTGTGAGTGAAGTACAATCGCTTCATCATCAGCCTATAAGTGCCCACTGCTGAGCAAAGGCCTCTTCTCACATGGAGAAGGTTAGAACATTAATCACCACGTTTGCTCAATGCGGGTTTGCGATTTCAACCTTATAATTAGAAATTATAAGTCCAGGTTTCCTCACGATGTTTACCTTCACCGTATGTCAGTGGTGTCTAAATAATCATAGAAAGTACATATAACTCGGAAAAAGTCACATTGGTGCTTGCCGGGTTTCGAACCCACTCCCTCATGCATGAGAAGCGGGCTCCTTATCCTCCGGGCCATAACGACATTTTTGATGATGGCTGATTGCTTACCATCAGGTAATCCGTCAGCTCGTTTGCCGACCAATCACATATATAAAAAAAAGATCGAAGTTCTGCAGTACTGGCCATTTCAAATCAAAATAGTTTTTGTTAGGCTAAGGCTAATTAATTTTGTTTTAAAAACATGGGATTCTTTTTCCAAAAGTAACACTAATCATTTGTTTATTGATTAGTGTTACATTTTCATCGCATTTTAAATCAAAAAAATCGTTTAAATTTTTTCATGCAAAACGGCAATTTCATAGGTAAAGAGCTATTATGTACAAAATTGTATTAAACAACTTACCAACTAATTCAGCCAGTGGAGCCTTACAGTTCGTAGCCTTATCAAAAGCTCTGATAACGTTCGAAACGAATTCATCTGTAAGAACGACTGAAGGACGTTTCACGATTTTCAGGAGACATAAGATGGCTTCCTTACGCGTTTGAGCGTCAAATGAGAGCGAGCCGAGCTAAAAAAATATTATTATTATTATCCAAACTAATATTATTAATGCGAAAGTAACTCTGTCTGTCTGTCTTTCTTTTCTCCACGCCTAAACTACTGCACCTATTTGTGTGAAATTTGGTACAGACATAGTTTGGAACTCGAGAAAGGACACAGGAAAGTTTTTAAACCAAAACTCTGCAAGAAGTCATTATTACGGATGGGACCCAAAAGGGCCAATGCGCCGCATGCATTTAGTGAGTGCGGGGTAAGCGCAATAAGGTACACGCGGCGGCGAGAACTGTGGAGGGGGTGGAGGGGAGGGGTTAGTCAGTAAAAGTCTGACTCTGGCGAAAGAAGTCATTTGATAACTGTCCCCGCACAAAAAAGGCAGTAGAGACAATTGACGTGTGCCTGCGATGTACATAAACGTTTTAAAATATTTAATGACTACTCTCACGCGGTTTCACCCGCTGCTCGGCTCCATTTAATCGTAGCACAATGTTTTATAGCCTATAGCACTCAGGACCATTGTAGCTAACTATCAGTGAAATAATTTTGGAAATCCGATCAGCGGTTCCAAAGATTTGCCCCTACATACAAACTTGCAAGTGTTACCTCTTTATAATATTAGTATAGAAGTATAGATGTATGTATGATATTAAATATTTATTAGCAAGCCTGACTGGGTCAAATGTGAGGATCTCAAAAATATTGTATTACCTGTTATGTTCCACTTTACTACCTAATAAATTAGATTAGATTTTGATTTGCAAGTCCTGCGTCAAGCGGAAGGTGAGTACACCATGGCTCCTCTTTGGGCACTCTTCAAAGAAGAGTTCTCTCTTATACTATTACTCCTTTAAAATTTCCAATAAATAATACAGAGTGAAATCGAATAGATGCGACAAATTTCAACATACAATAATACAAGAAAATTTTGAACATATCAAATGTAAAATACGGTAGTTTCCAACTAGTCAAATTCAATACTTTTATCCAAACGTCAAAAACGATACTCTTCTATGAATATTGTATGAAAAACTGAGCTATGACGTCATTACTTTTTTGCGTCAAATAGCTTACTTATTTCTTAATAATTAGCTAAAAAAATCTAAAAATTAGTGTATCGATCGATCGATGACTAAAAGTATAGTTATTTTTCAATATTTTATTATATTGAAACGTCGAAATAATTTATTTTTGACCTAGGAAACTACCCAATTAATAAACTTTTATTAGTGTCACGGTGAGGTCAATGATCGCTATGGATGGCAACGCTTAATATCATGCTGCACTGCATTATGTCGGACGACATTTCTTTGATATTTAAATTTTTCTTATTTATTTTGCATATCAATTATTTTTCTGGAATTCTAATAATTCGTACTTAAATAAAGATAACCATGTCAATGGACCATTTTAAAACTATAATCACGTCATTTTATTTATGGTCTTAGATTGTAGAAAAAAACAGTTTATAATTATTATGTTACTGTAACTGAAGCTTCGGACATCCCGGCGTACGGCGAATATCCACCCCTACGTTGTTGAGACACCTGCGGCCCGGACTAAGCGTTTTGCCTCGTCATTTATACCGCGTACATCGAGGGATTGGAACAGTTTGCCGGCTGCAGTCTTTCCGTTCCGTCCGAAAACAATTTAGGTGTCTTCAAGGCTAGAGTGAATAGGCTCTTAATAAACTAGTGCGCCTTACCATCAACGATTGCATCACTGCTTACCATCAGGTGGGATCGCAGTCAAGCACTAGTTTATTGCAAGTAAAGAAATAAAAAAAAGCTCCCATTTCATTTTGTCGCATTTATTCGATTACAGCCTGTATAGTGTAGAGTACAATAATTAAAAAAACATACCTCAATAATCTCTTGTTTGTAGCTCTCGACAGCATCCCAGTTGGAATCGATCAATTTTGATAAAATTTTAAAAGAATCTGCTATGTTCTTGACCCATCCTTCGTCTTTACGCTTTGTGTTAGATTTTATGGTATCAAATAGATATATGGGCTTGAAGAATAACGTTGTTGTTAGCCATTCTGAAATAATATTTTTGTACATTAGTATTCACAAGTGAGCAATAGTTTTTTTTCCTTAAATTATTGGTTGAGTAACGCTTTGCACTAGCGCTAAAAAAATGCTGTCCCGATAAGTCCAAAAAAACAAACAATATTTTTTAGTCTATGGCCGATGCGCGCGCAAAGCAATACTGATTAAATTTTCCCGCCATTACGAAACATTTTTCACAACTCGTCTCGTTTTCTCTTTTGAAGTTATTTGGTTCTTTGTTGAGTGTGTTGAAAAACGTCGTATTATATACGTGTGTATTGATGATTACCGTTCCAACATTATACACTTGTACCCAATGATATTATAAGTAAAAAGGTGTAGATAGGTTACAAGCGCTCAGCAAGTGATACATTAAAATATGACTAACTAGCCACACTTTTTCATATTTGTCTCTTTTTCACTCGCGATTTTTGAATCATGCCATCTCACTTTGACGTCTAAACATACGAATTGTTCATGTGTGTATCAGTGTGTCGTTTTTGAAAATCGAATTTTGTTTAGTTATCCTAACTACACCATTTTACTTATAATATCATTGCTTGTAACATAATCAGTGTTTTAGGTACTTCCACCTCGCTACAAATCGACTTAAAAAATGTTTAAAAAGTTTCATAGTACATTTCAAATCCCTTTTTTTAATTCGACCATAATAGACGCTTTTGAACGTCAAACAAAGATTTAAAGAGATAAAAATGATAGTCTTTTTATATTAAATTGATCGTATAAAATTCATCATCATCATCAGCCTATAAGTGTCCACTGCTGAGCAAAGGCCTCTTCTCACACGGAGAAGGTTTTTGAGCACTAATCACCACGCTTGCTCAATGCAGGTTGGCGTCAAAAATGTCGTGTCACGTGTTTATCCGCGATGGACTTCTAAACTACTAAACCGATTTTAAATTTTATTTGCATTCCGTGTGCATTTTGATCCAACTTGAAAGATGGGATAGCTTACATCCCAATGTATAGTCACAATATTACTTTATTGCAAATTATTTGTCCATAGGTAATATGACAAGAACCACAGCGACGCGTGGCTGGGTCTCCTGGTATACATATAAGTTTGAAATCGCTAACCCTCCTTGAACTAGCATGGTGATTAATGCTCAAACCTTCTCCGTGTAAGAAGAGGCGTTTGCTCAGCATTGAGCACTTATAGGCTGATGATGAGTTTTTCCGGCAAGAACTCACCTGTCTCAAATGGCGCTAATTCTTCGGCAATAATTATATTAGCTGTCCGGATAGCTTTTGCATAATCGATGGGCGCCGGATCATCTGGGTATGCAGCCACAAGTGCGTCCCAACACTCCATTATCGAGTTTCTGTAATTCAAATATTATATTTTAAGTGTTGAAAAGGCATGATTCGGCACGAATGGATCTGATCGACCGGAGTCACAGAAAACCGGCGTGAACGACCACAGCGTTGTGTTTCAGAGGGTGTCCGTTACCCAGGCCAGATGTTGTCGACAATCGTCATTTGAATCTTATAGATAATTAGTTGTGCGGCTTCTGTAATTGTTGCGCACATTTTTAAATTTGTTGCGCTTATAGTTTTTTAATTATTTCACAAAAACATTTCCTGCTGGCGTAACGTTACCACAGCCAGACCTTTTTCTTTCTAATGGGAATATTTAAATAAACATTAGCTATAAAATTAGTTGTCTAGATAAAGTAAATGTTGTGCCTTATTTTGTATTTGTTCTTTTTTCGGTTGCGAAGTTATTCGAGATTTTGCTGCGGTAACGTTTTTGGTTTTGCTAGATCTTTGAAATGGTTAAGCGGATTCTTATCATATTTTGTACACGACTTCCGAGGACTTAGTTTAAATTTGTTGTGCAATAACAAAACCAAAATAATGCATATTTTAAAGGTTTTTTCATTAAATAGAAAAACACTTTAATTGGCCCCAGCACTCTCAATAAGAAGTCTAAAGACTTACTTTAAACGTAATATTAAAGCTTGTAACTGCCTTCAAATGTATGTGAAGTTTCATTAGTATCCCGTAAGTATATAGCAAGTTATGATGATATTCAGTTCTTCACGAGCACGGTCTTAATGCACGCGGTGTTATTTGGCCACTGGATTGGATATATGAACTGAATGTTATGTCAATAATTAGTTGTTTAGATCAGTTGTATATCAGTAAAATTTCAGCTCAATACATTGGATAATTAATGAGATAATACTATGAAAGTCATTAGGAAGTGAATGACCGTGGTAAGCCGACCAAGTTTAGGTGGTTACGAAAAAGCGAAAACGCAGAACATTATGGTACCTTCTAAAATATGTAGGATAGTGTTATAAATTTAGTACAGACATGTACAAAAGTTAAAAAAAAAACTACATGATTATTCAAGATTTTTTATTGAAAGGTAAAATAATCATTTCAATTGAACTTTTACTCCCTTACTTATAAAAACTTGTGTTGCTTAGCAACCGATTAAACATCACCCGTCCTTGTCATTTCTATTTCAAAATGCAGTTCAAAAATCATCTAAAAGGTTACAAAAGTAACCTTCTGGCAAGACTGAGTGCGTTATGCAAACAATGTATTACCCCTTCACCCCACTCCTCCTGCGTCCTACCGAACGGCATGCTCTAGCGGTGATTTTTGATAATTTTGTGGAAGTGGAAGATAATGTTTTCTTTTATATTATTATTATATAGGTATTAAACAGTGTACGCGTCTGTACCAAAATTGTAAGGTGTATTATACTAAAGATTTCAAAAGATAGTACAATGTTCTGCGTTTTCGCTTTTTCGTAACCACCTAAACTTGGTCGGCTTACCACGGTCATTCACTTCCTAATGACTTTCATAGTATTATCTCATTAATTATCCAATGTATTGAGCTGAAATTTTACTGATATACAACTGATCTAAACAACTAATTATTGACATAACATTCAGTTCATATATCCAATCCAGTGGCCAAATAACACCGAGTGCATTAAGACCGTGCTCGTGAAGAACTGAATATCATCATAACTTGTTAAATACTTACGGGATACTAATGAAACTTGACATACATTTGAAGGCAATTACAAGCTTTAATATTACGTTTAAAGTAAGTCTTTAGAATTCTTATTGAGAGTGCTGGGGCCAATTGAAGTGTTTTTCTATTTAATGAAAAAACCTTTAAAATATGCATTATTTTGGTTTTGTTATTGCACAACAAATTTAAACTAAGTCCTCGGAAGTCGTGTATAAAATATGATAAGAATCCGCTTAACCATTTCAAAGATCTAGCAAAACCAAAAACGTTACCGCAGCAAAATCTCGAATAACTTCGCAACCGAAGAAAGAACAAATACAAAATAAGGCACAACATTTACTTTATCTAGACAACTAATTTTATAGCTAATATTTATTTAAATATTCCCATTAGAAATAAAAAGGTCTGGCTGTGGTAACGTTACGCCAGCAGGAAATGTTTTTGTGAAATAATTAAAAAACTATAAGCGCAACAAATTTAAAAATGTGCGCAACAATTACAGAAGCCGCACAACTAATTATCTATAAGATTCAAATGACCATTGTCGACAACATCTGGCCTGGGTAACGGACACTTTCAGAGGCCCAATCCCTAAACCTCCAAATCCTTAATCCCCAAAACTAACCCCTCTGTTGTTGCGGGTATTCATGGGCAGCGCTGATTGCTTACTATCAGGTAATCCACCTGCTCGTATCACATAAAAATATATTTTTTAATAGCGGCCCGCCCCCGCTTCGCACGGTTCCGACTATCTCGCTATCAATGGGTCACTTTTTCCTAATCTTCCCATCTACTTTTCTAATATTTCCTTTGATAAGAACCTTCTCCTGACAATAACAAACACAACAAAAAAGAATTAGCAAAATTGGTCCAGGCGTTGTTGAGTTATGCGCTTACCAACACATTTTGCGATCCATTTTTATATCTTTATATATAAAAGTGGATCGCAAAATGTGTTGGTAAGCGCATGACCGCTAGTATAAAGATAATCTTAGGTGTGAGTGGCATTGCGGGTCAAGCGCAATGAGGCATTGCAGCCTCGGCCTAAAGCAGGAGAAGGAACGGGGGAGTTTTAAGTCAGTAAGAGTCTGACACTTCATCTCGCCTTACCCTGGGCGGGAGAAGTCATTTACAGTGTGAATGAGTCACAGAGATACTGTGTAGTTGCTCTTTGGCTAAATAACAACACTGTTTTTTTCTACTTTTTTAGAATGATACTACACTCTCATAGAAAACCGGTGTGACATAACGATAGCGTTGTGTTTCGCAGTGTGATTAAGTTTAATTTTGAATTGAGTGTGACAAACACATAAATACCTATGTACGTACATTATTAGTATTTTTGCGATTAGTAGTTTTGCGTGAAATAATAACATACAGTACAGTACGAGAATGTATGTATTTACAAGTACATAAATACATACATTCTCACAAACTTTCACAACTTTATATTATTATATAAAAATGTCGTGTCACGTGTTTGTCCGCTATGGACTCCTAAACTACTAAACCGATTTTAAATTTTATTTGCATTCCGTGTGCATTTTGATCCAACTTGAAAGATAGGATAGCTTACATCTAAATTTATAGTCACAATATTGACCTTAGCCACAGCAACACGTGGCTTTTTTTGTCAAGGGAAAATCATCAAATGACTTCTTCCGCCCAGGGCCGGGCGGGAGGGAGTGTCAGACTCGTATTGACTAAAAACCCCCCTGTTCCTTCTCCTGCTCTGGGCCGAGGTCGCGGTGCCTTATTGCGCTTACCCCGCAACCCCGGCTGAATATCAGCCCTATAGGGCCCCGTCTGTGGTGGTCTATTGGCTTTTTGAGGCGCGCGCGGAACGCTACGCGCCGTAACAGCAACGCGTGGCTGGGTCTGCTAGTTTATTATATAAGTAGGATAAGTAGAAAAAGAGTTTAAAATAATTTGAATGGGACATCCTGTGCACCAGGATCTACAGTAGATACAACCATGAAAACAACGGAACACTGAAGTCCGCCGCGTCCCAGGAACGTGAATGACTGACGAAATTAATCAAAAGATATTATTTGAGGAGAGAGTACGTGAAATGTTGCAGCATTTCGCGTACTTTCTGTATCTTGGTGTATCACAAATGATTGTGTGGAAGCTGCTGCACAACGAAGACATGCACCCTTCCATTTTAGATCCGTGCAGGAACTTGGGGTTAATATCATGACCATGAACCTCGAAACATCGCTTTAGTGTAAATGTGTGGGCAGGTATTTAATAACAGTTTAATAGGCCCTTATTTTATTGATGGACGACTTGACATTGTATCGTAGGTATTTAAACATTTTAAATAATGTAGTAGTGAGTGAAATGCTGGAAAAAGTGCCTTTAAATATTTACCAGAACTTGTACTAACAACATGACGGAGCGCCCGCGTACTATAGCGCGTACGTGAGTACCTAAACATTTGTAGCGACATCTAGCGCACTACATTAACAACAGCACCAATCACGTGCAAGAGTCTACATCGCGCTATAAGAGTTTACCACGCAATTAGCACCCATACAGATATCCCGACAACAACCGTCGGGCAGTAGCCCACCAGGCACGAACACCTCGCCTGGTCGGAGGATCCTCCCTTTTCAATGGAGGATGTGGAACTTTCCACCCTGTTCCTCATACCTCTAAACATTCATTTTTTAAATACGCCAAAAATACGATGGTGCATCACGTCTTATGAAAATTTGTATTGAATAATGTTTATTGTTTGATGTACCTAGATATTTTTGCTTGTCTTAAGCCAGATTATCATACCTACGTCGTCGGCGTCGGTCGTTGACCGCGCATATGTTTTGCGATAAGCGCTAGGGTGTCGAAACGTTGCGAAATTTTTATCACTTTTTTGGAACGGTTTTGTTCGTCATTCATCAGGTTTTTTTTATTGTTTATATGTTTATTGGTGAAGTCTATGCCTAAACTATTGGGGATTTAAATAAGTCCCTCGTTCAAATATACATACTGTATAATATGTATATTACAGTATTGTATCCAAACGTAGGTACCTCGTTATATACGTCATAACTATCGTTTATGATAAATGTAGGTATGCAACATATCGATTTTATTATCTCAAGTGTAAACCGATAACGAAGGGGATTTTTTCTACTCTATAGGTATATATGTTTTTACATAAGACTCCGGCAACCGAGCAGACAGATTACCTGATGGTAAGCAATCAGCGCCGCCCATGGACACCCGCAGCGGAGGAGTTACGAGTGCGTTGCCGATCTTTTAGGGATTAGGTTTTTGGAGATTTAGGGATTGGGGAGGGATCGGGGGAGGAGAAGGATTGGGACTCCAGTAACCTCACTCACACGGAGAAACACAACGCTGTGGTTGTTTCACGCCGGTTTTCTGTGAGGCCGTGCTATCACTCCGGTCGAGCCGACCCATTTGTGCCGAAGCATGGCTCTCCCACACTTAAATATTACTATGTAGTATCAAACAAAGTCGCTTTCTCTGTCCCTATCTCCAGTGCTGTAACTAGGACGGTGCCAACAGTGCCCAGGCACAGATTATATTACCTAGTTTTACCTCGTACATATAACTAATAGGTATACTTTTTGTTTCGTTGCTAACATGCTATAGACGCGGCCTATTGTACTATCTACATCTAAATAGCAATTTTCAAGCGATCTTGCGAGAGATCATTCAGTAAACTTTTAAATTAATAAAAACGCTCGACGAGAACATAAACACAAAGCCGAAAACATAATAATTAACTTAGTATGTCTCACGAAAGTTATATGTAATAAAAATTTGTTTTTATCATTGATAAAACTGCATTTTTTTTATCTCTACCTAAATATGTAGGTACGTAGGTAAACTAATATTATAAATAAAGAGGAAATATTTGATTGTTTGTTCGTTTGTTTATTAGGATTGCGATGCGGATTTAATAGACACCGAAAAAAAAAATTTGTTCAGCCGGGGTTGCGGGGTAAGCGCAATGAGGTACCGCGACCTCGGCACAGAACAGGAGAAGGAACAGGGGGGTTTTTAGTCAGTAAGAGTCTGACACTCCCTCCTGCCCGGCCCTGGGCGGGAGAAGTCATTTGATGATTTTCCCCTCACAAAAAAAAAACCGAAAAAAATTATTCATTGCAAAGTTTTTTTGTTAATGTTGGAAAGTGTTTTTATGAAATAGGAGGCAAACGAGCAGCCGGATCACCTGATGGTAAGTGATCAGCGTCGCCCATGGACACCCGAAACATCAGAGGAGTCACAGGCGCGTTGCCAGCTTTTTAGAGTACGCTCGTTTCTTGAAGGTTTGGAAGTTGTATCGGTTCGGAAATAACGCCCTAAAAATCATTGAAGGTAAGGTTTTGCTGCGCGAGGCATAAAGTTTCGCGAAAATCGTTGTTTACTGCCGACCATATATGATAGGGATGATAATGTTGTCACCTTTGGCACTTCGACCAAGGAATTATTTAAAGCATTATTTTTCCAAAACTGTATTTTCTCCTGGGTGGTTAGTGCACATTCACGTTGCAAGCTACCTACATTGTAGGTATGTGCTGACAAAACTATTGATATTGTCAATAGTTTTGTCTCATTATTCTATAAAAAAAAGTCCGCGATTGTGTATGTTACGTCATTACAGTGTGGGAGAGCCAAGCCAAACTGTTATTACATTATTATTCGCTACATAGTATAAAAACAAATACACTTTCTCTGTTCCTATATTCCTATGTAAGCTTAAATCTTTAGAACTATGCAACCAATTTTGTTGCAGTTCTTTAATAGATAGAGAAAGGAGGATGGTTTAAAATATGTATAATAACATCCATTAAATAGTTGAGAGATTTAGTGTCAGCACTGCACCAATGCAAAGCCGGGGCGGTCGCTACTATATTATAAAATACACAACTTACAATTTATCCACCTCCATTTTGTAAGAACAAAAAAACATAAAATAATCAAAATGGGCACATTGTCACCCCTCAACTGGTTAAGACAAGCCACTACAAGTTGGTCACAAAATATAATGCACGATCCAATAGATCCTACAGTTTCATAATCAGCTGAATGCAAATGATTGGTGCACTGCAGGTAAGATAAGATAAAATGCCATTTAGTAATGCCTTTAAGGTACATGTATTGTTATGATTTTTCATATAAATTATTAAGTTTACTGGAGACAATTTTAAAAGTTTGAGTAAAAAACAAGTCATCATGTATCTTCTCTCGTCTAGAGTGATGTGAGAGGAAGTGTTAGACTCTTACTGACTAAAAACAGCTTCGTTCCTCCTCCTGCTCCACCAGACTGAGGCCATAGTAGCTTATAGCGCTTGCCCTGCAACCCGTGCTATCCTCAAATTACAAGGACCCGCACTTTATTCGACAGTGTGATAGTAATATAACTTATTACTCATACGCAACATAACAAAGTCTAAAAAGGTCTACATTTTTGAAAGAGTTAAGAAAAAGAGTCAATTTTAAATTTTAATTAAAAAAAAAAAAATTTCATACATACTTATAATAATGTATAACTTCTTACTAAACCAATATTATTGTATAAAATAAAGAAGAGAATAAAGTTTTTAGACTTGTGAATGTATATTGCGTACAAGTACCAAGTTTTATTAAAATCGGTTTAATAGTTTCGATGATTTTTAACTGAAATGTTTGTATGAAAAGATTTGCCGCGTGAACGCTCTTTCCACTAGAAAACGATACTAACATCTATCTAAAATCCTTGATCTATTAGATAATTAGGTACATCATTTCTTACCAGAAACTGATATCTCATAGGATTTTTCAAATGATATCTTTCACTTTTTAGTTTCACAACTTTTCTTACAAAAAATGTAAACAAAACAAGTTTCGACAAGTCAAATTTTTCCCCGGTAGCCAAATGTCACTGTCACATGCATGTACCTATATAAATGTCAATCAGACAGCTGACCAAAATGTTGCTAGGGTAGACTATAAAAGTCTACTAAAGAAACTCCAATTTATTTTGAAGCTCGTATCAAATATGACAAACTATTTAATATGTAGAAGCTTTGAAGATAATATTTTATTTGTTATTTGTAATTTTCTTAATATTACTAAGGGTAAACAAATATCTCATGTGAGAAAAAGTTACGAATATCTATATTTTTTTCCAAAATTACTGGATACTCGATATGTTCCATTTCTGTACATGATTGCAGAAATGGGCATGTGCTAAAAAAAAGTAAAGAGAGTCATCTGAACACTTAGTTCGTGTTCGTATAGGTACCTTGTTTCATTGCTTTGTTAAGCATAGGACAAAGGACATAAATGTCATGCTCCATTAGCCATTATGAGTAGGCGAGTAAGGGCAGCTCGCTGCCCGACCAAAACCAGGCCCGAGCGTACAGCGCGTAGCGTCAAAGAGCCAATAGACCACCATAGACGGGCCCTATAGGGCTGATGTTTAGCCGGGGTTGCGGGGTAAGCGCAATAAGGAACCGCGACCTTGGCCCAGAGCAGGAGAAGGAACAGGGGGGTTTTAAGTCATGACACTCCCTCCCACCCGGCACTCGGCGGGAGAAGTCATTTGAATATTTTCCCCTCACAAAAAAAAGCCATGAGTATGAGTCATGATTTCATCAATATTAACAAAGTTTGGAAACACATCATCGCCAAAGCATGAGTGTAGACATTGAATTCAAAACGATTCAATACGTTATTGGTTTTGTAATTTATACCCAAATATATTATTTATATTTTCTACTATTTTATCAGTAGGTACTAGTAAGTAGCAACATAAAAAAAAATCCGTTTGAAACTCAGCTGACACGTATACAGATAAAAACAAATTACGGTAATTTCTTATTGATTACTAGTTTTTTCTATTAAACATTTCTGCTTAGTTTTGTTACATGTCGTGGTAACTTGACGAACATAGTATATGTTAATACTATTGTTTTAAAACATCTTATTCTGTAAATCAACCGTTATCGTAAGTAATATTTATATTTTTCCGTCTTTATTTGCGTGAAACTAAACGCAAAAGATTACGATTATAATCCAACTAAAACAAAAGGTATACAAAACCATTATGTGGTTCAAACATAACAATACTACGCAATTTGTTTGTGTATCAATATGACAATTCATCAGATCGGTCGATATTTTCAATGATTTACAGTCTTGAAATTATTCAAATTATTTTTATATAAATATAAATTACCCTTAAGGTATTCAAGCTGGCACCACGAAGAATTATTTGGTTGGGAATACAATATTTTTCTCCTTTGTTACATCGTCCGACAACAAATAGGTTAGAATTCTGAATTATTTGTATTTTTTTGCGTAATTTGTAAATATCAATGTGAAGGGTGCTTGAAAATGCTATACATAATACGTATTATGTTATTTTGAATTCATTTTCCATAATTATGTATCATTGCATCGGTAGAAAATGTATAAATTGGTTTTTAATTGACCATAAGCTTTCAAGGACTGATTTTACTTTATAAGTTCTTCAGAAATGTTTATGAAAAACATATTATGTCACGTTTGAAAATATTTTTGGGCTCTTTATCTTTTTAATGTCTTGTTACAATTTACATAGTTCTTGTTTCTTATGTGTTGTAAACAGACATTTTATATGTTGTTGCATAAAAACTTCTTTCAAATTCTAATTCAATTGATTATGTCTTATTATTTAAAGAAGTAGTGTTACTACTTGGCTGTAAGGAAGATAATACTGTAAAAAAAAACTTAACAAAGATTAATTGGATTAAAACCTTATTTTTACCACCCTCCTCAGTCTTTTCATTAGACCAACTAACCGATAATTAGTGGAATATCCCCGATGGGTATAAACTGGGTGTTTTTAAAGCCCAAGTGAACAATGAATGGGTATGCTTCATCATAGGTTGTATTATTGTTAACTACCAGGCAAGCTTGCCCATTCCAAAAAATAAAAATACTTATTCTGTCAATATTTCTTATAAGTGCCTCTGCCTTATATTTTCATGTGAGTATCTTAAGGTGCAAAACAATACAAGTATTATTTATAGTCAATACTTCATCAATATATGCTTAATAAAAATTTGAATATTTTTAAAAACTTATAAGCAACCACTTTTTAGGTTTAAAATAACATTCTTGTATGAAGCAAATCTTACTAGAATAGAAATATGTTTTTTTTTTATTTGAAAGTTGTTACTTTATTTTTATAATATTCCAATCCTCCTCGTTTTCAATGTAGCTAGGTGTGCAGGAAAGGGATGGGGAGAAGGGGAGGAATTAGGCTTCCGGTAACCTCAATCACAATGCTGTGGTTCTGTAAGGCCATGATCAATCTGGTTAAGCCGACCCATTTGTGCCGAAGCTTGGCTCTCCCACACTTAAAAACCGCCTACAATAGCCACTTTGGACGCTTTCTTCTAACACAAATTTCTATGTTTCCAGATACGGTGGTAGTAAAAAGAATTTTTCAAATATGTCGTCACAATATTCTCCTAAAGAGGCCGCGGCGCACGGGTCCCCGCCTGGATCTCCGGGGCTACAGTCTTCAGGCCCCGGCGGGGGGCCCACCAATCCCGGTGTACTCAAACGTTATGATAATATCGTTAAATCACCGGAAGACAAGAGGAGTTACAGGTAATTATTATCATCAGATTATCATCTTTTTTTGTTTTTGAACGGAATACCTGATGGTAAGCAATTAGCATTGCCAGAAGAGTTCCAAGAGTGTTGCTGGCCTTTTGGGATAAAAGATATAGGGATTCGGCAGGGGGAAGTGGAAGTGAGTGAGGGTCACGACCCTCAGCATTGAGGACTTTGTGGAAGCAGTGTACTTAAAATCGGTTAGTAAGTTTGGTTATTTTTGAATATTAAAAACTTGAAACAATATGGTACTAGTTTCCAACTAGTCAAATTCAATATCTAATTTTTTCGACATGTCAGTAACGACAATTTTCTAATAATCATGTATGAAATAGCACGTTGTGACGTCATAATATTTTTGCGTCAAATAGCGTACTTCTCTTGAAATATCAAAAAAATATGAATATTAAGTGTAGCGAAAAATAATTACTTAGTGCAGGCGTGGTAATTTTTTGGTATCTTTATGGTTTATAAGTTGAAATAATTTATTTTTGGCTGAAGAAACTAGCCAATTTGACTAAGGGCTGATTTTCAATAGTCAGATAAATGTTACCTGCGGAATAATTATGATGTTGTCGCGTCAGAATGTTTGTATAAGACAGTGACGGCAACAATTTTATTCCTCAGATAACATTTATCTGACTATTGAAAAATCAGCCCTTAGAAAAATACCAAATAACTTATAATTAGATAATAAGCTACGCGCTTATTCAGCCGAGAAAACAAAACCAAACATTTGTCTAAAATCTGGCTTTGTTAGTTAGTCTTTAAGCTCAAGCTGTAGTCTAGACAGCCGACGGATGCATACAAATGACCTGCTTTGACTGAACCGTTATTGTGGCGACCTTTCGTGCCTGACCTCAGTCAAGGTCACGGTGTCAACCGAGAGGAACTAGCCGTCACCTCTTTCTGCAAAGCAGTTATGCTCGCATATAAGGAAAGGACGTGCTTGAAGGAACTATCCTTTTCAAGCCCTAGCCGCTACAGGATATACTCCGGGCGTCGGGTTCGCGTCACGATCTCGGGTGTGAGTCTGGAGCTGCGGACGGTGAGCCAGGGAAGATGGCCGTGCCGAGGTTGCTGGTTAAGTGCAATGAGTCACCGCGGCCTCGGTCCAGAGCAGGAGAAGGAACGGGGGGGTTTTTAGTCAGTAAGAGTCTGACGCTTTCTCTCCCCTTACCTTGGGCGGGAGAAGTCATTTGACGATTTCCCCCTGACAAAAACAAAGGGTAGATGGCCGTCCAACCAATACCAGACCTTTGGGCTCTACAATGCTGATGTTCAGCCGGCGGCAGGAAAACGAACGCTGGTTTCACGCCAGTCATTTGACGATTTTCTCCTTCAACAAGATTCTCGAGAGGGAGTGCTAGACTCTTACTGACTAAACCCTCCGTTCCTACGGTACTTGATTGCGCTTGCCCCCCCCCCCCCTCGCTAAACATAAGCGCTGTAGAGCTCTATGTGCATAAGTTACGTTTGCATGAAAAAAAGTATCGTTACTTTTTGACATTTAGTAAAAAAAGTATTGAATTTGAGTAGTTGGAAACTACCGTAGGAATTCAAATAAACAAAAACTTACCGATATAAAATGTTCTCGGTAATTTCCATAATATTTACTACACAATTTGATATCAGAAATAAATTGAAAACAAAAAAGAAATGTATTTTTCGCCAACCTTATGCACTGGTGATTCGGTTGACACTAACGCAAGCAAATGCGTAGCTAGGTACCAATTATGATTCTTGCAGAATTTTATTACGGACTAGCTTCCGTCCGCGGCTTCGTACCGGTATAAAAGTAATGTATGTAACCCGGGACTGTATAAAAAGACTCGACTAAAATACGCAAATCAATAATTTATATAATTTATAGCACTCAGGAACATTGTAGCTATCTATCAGTGAAAGAATTTTGGCAATCCGACCAGCGGTTCCACAGATTTTCCCCTACATACAAACTTGCAAGTGTTACCTCTTTATAATATTAGTATAGATATCACCATTCAGTTCGAGCGATGTGCCATCTATGTAGTCAATAATTGTTATATTATTTAAATTAGACTGACGCATGCATTTTTATGAATCCGACCACATTCTGGTGAAGGATTGGGCCTCCGGTAACCTCACTATCACTGCGAAAAACAACGCTGTGGTTTTTTCACGCCGGTTTTCTGTAAGGCCGTGGTATCACTTCCATCGAGCCGACCCATTCGTGCCGAAGCTTGGCTCTCGCACACTTAAACCTAACTATGAAAGTTTATTTTCAGAGGTCTAGTGCTGTCTAATCGTCTGAGAGTGATGCTGGTTAGCGATTTGAGCACAGACAAGTCGGCCGCAGCTTTAGACGTCAATGTTGGTAAGTATTAAATAAAGGCTTTTGTTTAACTTACCACCAGATATTTTATGGAATAGGTCGGCCTTAGAGCAGACGTCTCCTCCCTTGCGAGCATCATGGCGGCGACCTCTCGCGCCCAGCCTTAGTCGAAGCCATAGTGCGAAGCGAGGGGAACTGGGAAGCAGTCTCCTTTTTCCGCGAAACAGTGATGCTTGCAAGTGAGAAGGCGGAGCACGTGAGGGAACTATCCTCCTCTCGCCCCAGCCACCGCTGAACCTGAAAGTCCGAGTCAGAATCGATCTACGATCTCCGGCCATTATAAGCGCGAGTCTGTGGACGGCGATCAAGGGTATAGCTTGCCGCGAAGCCAGATCAGAGTTTGCGGCCCGTGGCGTGGCCACAAAGGTATAAATAAATACTACCTGATGGTAAGCAATCGGCGTCGCCCATGGATACTAGTAGCTATTTATTGGGGGTTCTGGCTCACAGGTGGCGAAATGGTGGAACTAAAAAACGTGTATGTAAATGTATGGACAGTGGCGCCACGAGCTAATTATTAAGAAATAAGTAAGCTATTTGACGCAAAAATACTATGACGTCATACCTCAGTTTCACATACAAATTTCATAGTAAAGTATCGTTTTTGACATTTGGATAAAAGTATTGAATTTGACTAGTTGGAAACTACCGTATTGTGTTTTGCCGTGTGAGTGAGGTTACCGGAGGCCCCATCCTTCTCCAATCCCTAAATCTCCAGAATCCTAATCCGTAGCGAGCGTAACTCTTTTGGTATAACGAGTATCAGTAGCTATTTATTGGGGGTTCTGGCTCACAGGTGGCGAAATGGTGGAACTAAAAAACGTGTATGTAAATGTATGGACAGTGGCGCCACGAGTATTTTACCAACCGCAAAAAGGGCAAAAAAAGCAGTTAAGTTTGTAATTGTGTTGTGACGTAGTGGATCGAGTGTGCGTTGGTGTGGGGGGGCTCCGGAGTGGCTCGGCCTAGGGCTCCGGGGTGCTCCGCGTTGGGCTCCATGGTGCTCCGCGTTGGGCTCCATGGTGCTCCGCGTTTGGGGGGGAGGGGTGATGAAGGGTGTTTTGGGGGTGCGTCATTGGTGTTGCCGATGGTGTATGTCTTCGGTGGCTGCTGCGTCATTGGTGTCGCCGATGTTATGTCTTGTAGTAGTAGCAGCTATGTATTGGGGGTTCTGGCTCACCGGAAGCGTTCAGCGTAACTTGACCCGTGTGTATGTGTGATTGTGTAAGAGCAGTGAGTCCAGGTTATGTTGGTCGATTCGAAAGTTAGATGGTACAATGTTGGGTGTAACAAAGTTGCGTTGGTCTCACGGTGGGTGGATACGCGATAAGCGAATTCTCACGGTGGAGTTTCCGTTGCTAGACTAGGTGTTTTGCGCGGTTTGACCTTTTGGCTATGTGCGCGGTTTGGTCTGTTTGTTTGCGCGTGAAGAAGTAACAAACATACAAAGTTACTAGGTTTAATTGTGTAATATATTAATATAATGTAACGATTTTTTCGCGCTTGGGTACGGAAAATAACTAGGTTAAATTGCAATATCAATATATTGCAATTTAACGGAAAATAACTAAGTTAAATTGCAATATCAATATATTGCAATTTAACCTAGTTATTTTCCGTATAGGAAATCTGTGTCATTCAGGATGTGTGGTAACTGTGATAGATCAAACCTAGTCATAGGAAATCCTCATCCTCTGATATGCATTGATTGCAATAAGGGTTTAAAAGAGTTTATTTTTCATTAATTGTATGCATTTTGAGAGCAGTTGTAGTACAGTTAAAATGCTCTTTACAAATTTATTACCGTGCATGGTAATGTTCTATTTACAAAGAGACAATGGTTCTGAAGTGGTGATGAGAAACATGACAAAATCCTTAAGTGAAGATTCGAATGGTTTATGCAGCGATCAACTATGGAATCTTAAAAAGGTGCAACTGTTTAATGAACGAGGAAATTTGATGAAAAGATGGACAATGAAGCTTTTCTTTAACAATGAAGATGTGAACAGAAGTGAAAACCGCAATATGATTCCTACTTCATTTGTGACTGTAAGAAGCAATATGAAGAAAAGATAGTTAAATTTACGTTTATGCAGTGATGATAATACCTTACTGTTGAATAAAGTGGAAATCATAAGGTTTTTAAGATATCGCTCGAAACGAAGCAGTGGTATGAATAATATATATTAATACTTTATATCAATCTTGGTCAATTGATTTGTTTAAACAGACATACAAAGATGAAATGGGTTTGGAAATTGTTGTAACATTGCCTAGAGCTGGTGGTGGTAATCAATATAAATCTAGAAGCGAAGCAGATGATATGGTTACGAAGGTAATGAATATTGAAACAACATTTCCATTGACAACAATGAAGCCTTTGAGTGAAACATGTTAGAGATTTGAAGTTTTACTTCAAAGTGTGCAATACTGGACAGAAATGCGATTGAAAAAGTTGAAAAATCGTGAGGTAACTGAAGATGATTGGTTGGCTCATATACCAATTAAATAATTGTATTATATTTTTCACATGAAACAAAGTTGTTGCGGTGAGTGTCGTCTGTGATAACTCTTGTATGGGAACGACATATAAATCCGGGTTTCCACCGCAAGCGGAGCCGACCCATTAATGATTGGGGCTGTGTGAAAAAAAAATGATAAGAATTGAGTATATATCACGATTAATTTAGTTTAATATTACATTCAATTAGTACTGCGTAAAGTTGACGCTTGTGTCCCTACACCATAAATCGAAATAATCTGCTGTAAGTGTTACATTTCTTTTTTGTCAGAAATTATAAGTTAAAATGTCTTCATCAAATCAGGTATAAAACAGTAATACTGCACTAGCTCAATTAAATAATCGAGGCAATAGAACTTGGAGGAAAATTTGTGATTAGGAAATAGAAAGAAGAAAGAAAGAAAGAAAAAGTATTTATTCGCGTCTGGGACGCATAAAAGACACAAAACGAACAAGATAATAAAATAAAGTTAAAATAAAAATACATTGAGCAAGGTAAAAACAATATCACAAAAGTAGAGGGTAGGAGAAAAATATGCGTCTAAGCACGCGAAATGGCCCACGCTCAGCGTAATGCAGCGACCCCGTACGAGACGGGTTCGCGGCGCTGATTTTCAGCGATGGCCGTCACTAACGCATGACGCCAATCTGCGCAGAGACTTAAGATAAAATAAATAAACCTTATAAAATTGTGGAAGCCAGTAGAATGTCTTCAAAATACATAGCAAACGCAATGCAAACAGTAGTGCAACTAGATAACGGGTTCATAGTTACGCTCCCATCCAGATTTAATGATATTAGTGAAGATCTACTAATGCAATTAAATGGTGTCAACCTGATCAATAAGGGACCAAGCGGGAATACCTGGATCATCAACTTCTCAGTGGACTAATCTGTGAAGGGACGATGATAAAGTATTGTGTTTTTGTGTTGCAGAGACTGAGCTACTGGTATAATCAATTATACATAAAATGATGGCACTAGTTGAAGCTATGTCTTATGAAAATAAGAAGAATTTGCTAACATTTTTATCTTCAAACAGGTTATTACGAGTTTGGACTAGACCCATACCACTAGCCTAATTAAATGGAGATGTGAATAACCTTCTTAAAAGTGTATACAAACGCAGTTTGGATGATCCAGAATTATACACCCTAATAGAATCACTCATAAATATCTGGGACGATATCACTTCGCATTTAGAGGATAAGTGTGGGAGAGCCATGCTTCGGCACGAATGGGTCGGCTCGACCGGAGTGATACCACGGCCTCACAGAAAACCGGCGTGAAACAACCACAGCGTTGTGTTTCGCCGTGTGAGTGAGGTTACCGGAGGCCCAATCCTTCCCCTCCCCCAATCCCTCCAATCCCTAATCTCCAAATCCCTAATCCCTAAAAGGTCGGCAACGCACTCGTAACTCCTCCGTTGCGAGTGTCCATGGGCGGCGCTGATTGCTTACCATCAGGTAATCCGTCTGCTCGTTTGCCGACCTATTACATAAAAAAAAAAAAATTTAGAGGATACTGTCGGTGATATAAATGTTGAAGTGGAGGAGTGGCTTCAATTGTTGGGTAATGTACCCCTAGAGTGTTTTATGCATTTTGTGTTCAGTGAAAAAAGTGCAAACTATCTCCTTAACTTTATAATTTGTGAATATTTTAAGATTGTGCTATTTGTGATTTTATAGATATATAACTGTTAATATGGATCCTAAAAGTATAAGGTTTGTCATAGATATAGATGGCTTCATGATAATGAAACAAATGTTCTAAAAAGAAATTGCAATTTATGATATTTGGAGCAAGGTGCTTTATTTTATTCCACTTAAAACTCCCAGAATGGGTGTTGAACAGAGGAACAGATAAATTAATAATAAATTAAGAAATTGTCACGGGATGTTGTTAAGAAACTATAATAACGACATCCATTATAGAAATTTTATTGAAGAAATAAAAGACCTTGATCCTGATAAAATTTATTTATGGGCATATAAGGGTGGACATGTCGAAAAGGACTTGCTACATAGTTTAAATCTAAATTCAATTAATATAGAAACTTTGGGATGTCCAAAATTAGAAAAAGTAATGGATCAATTGAAATTGAATAATTTGTTTCTAAATTGTAACAGACATATTGCTTTCAAAAGAAAGCCTCCTCACACCTGTCATTGTAGTGGTGTTGAGGTGCAATATGTATAATATATTTTATTGTAGTTGTAAAATGTTGTGTATTCCATCATATTTATTCTAATATACAATGAAACAATGAAACAATGAATTTATTTTTGCAAATAGGCCATAAAACGGCACTTTTACACGTCAAATTATATGTGAAAAACTAGATGAAGCCGGCATTTCCTATCTGACTACTCTGAGAAGAAATGCCGAAACAAACTCAGAGGTCAGTCTCTTTTCAAGTCCAGAATATAAAATAACATAATGTGAGAGAACCGCGCAAGTTCATTCTGTAGTGGTCTTTTGAGGAAAGAACCACACCAGTTTAAGTGGACCCGTTCTGAAGACAGGCACGCAAGTGTCAGTTTGCAACCAGTATAGCTAGTGCTGTTGAGTTGTCCGACGAACAATACCGATCAAAAGAACATTTGGGTGGGTCGCGCAAGTACTCAAACTGTCAGAACGCAGATGACTGGTGATCAAAAAGCACGACAAGTCTCACTCGGTCCTTACACTAACAATAATATAAAATAATAAAAATGTCAACAAATAAATAAAAAATATAGTAATAAGATTATGTGCTCCAAATAATGTACACTCTCTTCTCTACTTTAATTATAAGTTTATTTTACGGCAGTGTGCTCAGTACCTATTTATATATATTTATATCAATAAAACACAATTTAATTTATTTTGTTTTCTTTATTTATCCAACTAGTTGAATTTAAACCAAACCACTTAACTAGAACTCTATCACCTTTCCTCTTCAACACTTTTTCAACCAAATACACATCAGGATATTTAACTTTTTGTAGCTCATATTCATAAAATCCACCCAAGGTTTTGGGGGTGCGTCATTGGTGTTGGTCTCACGGTGGGTGGATACGTGATAAGCGAATTCTCACGGTGGAGTTTCCACCACCATTTCATCAGCCCTCCCCCCCAAACGCGGAGCACCATGGAGCCCAACGCGGAGCACCATGGAGCCCAACGCGGAGCACCATGGAGCCCAACGCGGAGCACCATGGAGCCCAACGCGGAGCACCCTGGAGCCCTAGGCCGAGCCACTCCGGAGCCCCCCCACACCAACGCACACTCGATCCACTACGTCACAACACAATTACAAACTTAACTGCTTTTTTTTGCCCTTTTTGCGGTTGGTAAAATACTCGTGGCGCCACTGTCCATACATTTACATACACGTTTTTTAGTTCCACCATTTCGCCACCTGTGAGCCAGAACCCCCAATAAATAGCTACTGATACTCGTTATACCAAAAGAGTTACGCTCGCTACGGATTAGGATTCTGGAGATTTAGGGATTGGAGAAGGATGGGGCCTCCGGTAACCTCACTCACACGGCAAAACACAATACGGTAGTTTCCAACTAGTCAAATTCAATACTTTTATCCAAATGTCAAAAACGATACTTTACTATGAAATTTGTATGTGAAACTGAGGTATGACGTCATAGTATTTTTGCGTCAAATAGCTTACTTATTTCTTAATAATTAGCTACAAAATATCTAAAACTAACACCCGGTCTCTGAAAAGCTTGTCAACGCTAAAATTAACTAATCTCCTGTTAAATCTCTTGTCAAGTCATCTGATTGGTTGTTGATAATTCAGTCAACCAATCAGATGGCTTGACAACAGAAATTGATTTTAACATTGATCGGCCTTTCAGAAATTGGGTTAAAGTGTATCGATCGATCGATGAATAAAAATATAGTTATTTTTCAATATTTTATTGTATTGAAAAGTCGAATTCTGTGCTTGTTTCACGCCGGTTTTCTCTAAGGATACACTTTTCCTATTGTACTAGCTCTCCATTCAATGAAGTGCTAATATAAATAAAAATGTATTTTTCAGGATATCTAAGCGATCCCGAAGAGTTACCAGGTCTAGCACATTTCTGCGAACACATGCTGTTCCTTGGAACTAAGAAATATCCTGAGGTATTATTGTTATAATTTTTTACTTTTCTTATATTATTATACTAATACATATTATAAATGCGAAAGTTACGATGTTTGGATGTTTACACGTTTGTTACTCAATCACGCCAAAACGAAAGAAACGATTACAATAAATCTATAAATTAAATCGGTCCGGTAATCTATACTTATAATAAATCTGTAGAGAGGTCAGTTCTGTATATTAAATTGCATTTTTTGAAATTGAAAATGCAATCAGTAAATTTTTGTCTGTCTGTCTGTCTGTCTGTGTCTGTGTCTGTGTATGTATGTATGTATGTATGTATGTATGTTCCTTATAGAAAAAAAAACTGCTCGACGGATTTTAACGAAACTTGGTACATTTATTCTTTATATTCCTGGGCAGGTTACAGGATACTTTTGAATTACTGAACCGATAAAAATTTGTGCAGACAGTTTGAAAGTCAGGAAAGGACATAGGATAGTTTTTATCCCGGGAATTAAAAAGGAGAACTTCCGGAAAATCCTATGAGATCGAGAACTATGTGGAGAAAATCTGCCATCCACGCGGACGAAGTCGCTGGCAGAAGCTAGTTTATAGAATAAGGCGTTACTTTGCGGAAATACATGACATTCAATGTTAGGAAAAATATTTAGTTTTAATTCCGCGACAAAAATTCAGGCTTGTTGCAGGATGTAATCCCACTCCTATGCAATCATGCATATGCACATGCAGCAAGGGTACATGCATATGCACACATACAAAAAACGGAAAACCATGCCACGCAATCAAACCTATACTCGACACGTGTTTCCACAGGACATCCTTAGGAGATGCCTGGAGATGCACATCTACTGCATCTCCTGCAACAAGCCTGGTTTTTGTCGCGGAATTAAAACTAAATATTTTTCCTAACATTTAAATCGGTCCGATTTGGATGACCGACAAACATACATCCACACATTTTTATAATACTAGTTATGTAAGTAGCTTAATCACAAATTGTTTTGAAATAATAGATTTTGACTTTGACTTTGATTTTAATACATTTTTCTAGGAGAACGAGTACAATAAGTTCCTGGCTGAACATGGTGGGTCGTCCAACGCGTCGACATCATCAGACCACACCACATATTACTTCGACGTGTTGCCTGAACATCTCCATAAGGCCTTAGACATGTGAGTACACATGTGACATGTCGGATTGCGATATCTCCGGCCACCGTAAGCGCGGGTCTGTGGTCGGCGAGTAAGGGTAGCTTGCCGCCCGACCAGAACCAGGCCCGAGCGTACGGCGCGTAGCGTTCCGCGCGCGCCTCAAAGAGTCAATAGCCCACCACAGACGGGGCCCTATAGGGCTGATGTTCAGTCGGGGTTGTGGGGTAAGCTCAATGAGTCACCGCGGCCTCGGCCCAGATCAGGAGAAGGAACGGGGGTTTTTTTTTAGTCAGTAAGAGTCTGACACTCTTTCCCGGGGGCCGGGCGCCCTGGGCGAGAGAAGTCATTTTATGATTTTCCCTTGACAAAAAAAACGTGTCGGATTAGACAAAATTGGTACCAGTTCCACCTTATTTAAAAATTACTTTTATCTAGTAGTAATTTCTCCTGTGTCGTTGGTGCGTTTACAAACATCCAATTACACAGACTCACGGAACAGCTATTTGTGGAACACAGAGTTGTTCCGTGCGGGAATCGAACCCGCGACACATTGCACGGCAGCCAGTTGCCCAGCTACGGCGCCAACCGTGCAGTCGAATTCATCCATCCACCTAATCCTAATATTTATATATACTTAATTTCACTCATATTAAAAAAAAACGTTTTTTTTTATATCATTATATTGCCCATTCCTTCACGCTTTACAGCCGTGGCGTGGGCTCGAAACGAAAAATACCTAATCAACAATATACAACCACAGCGTTGTGTTTCACGGTGTGAGTGAGGTTACTGGAGGACCAATCATTCCCCTCCCCAAATCCCTCTTCGATCACTTAACATTTGCCGACCTATCACATAAAAAAAAAAATACAAATATAAATGTGACTAGACTGGCTGGGCGACTTACAATGCAACTCTTTCTGTAATCCACAAACAGTTGTTCCGTGAGTCTGGGTGTGATGTGTATGTGAAATTGTATGTTTGTAAACGCACCCACGACAAAAGACAATCCTAATGTCGCACAAATAGAGCATTTTTTTGAAGGTTACCTTTTTATCAATTCTAGTTTTGCCCAGTTCTTCATATCACCTCTATTCACGGAGTCGGCGACAGGCCGGGAACTGAGCGCCGTCCACTCGGAACACGAGAAGAATACATCCTCAGATACTTGGAGATTGGACCAGCTCAACAAGAGTACAGCATCTCCAACACACCCTTTCCACAAGTTCGGTACAGGTTAGTCTGAAACTCTGACACCTGGTATCCGAAAGGCCGATCAATGTTAAAATCAATTTAATCTGTTGTCAAGTCATCTGATTGCTTGACTGAATTATCAACAATCAATCAGATGACTTGAGATTTGACACCTAGTTAGTTGATTTTAACATTGATCGGCTTTTCGGAAACCGGACATAAGTGTTCTTTCAGTCCAAATTTGATCAATTTTTTGTTATGGTATAAGTCGGCATTGGTACTTGCCAGTTTTCGAACCCACACCCTCATGCATGAGAAGCGGTCTCTATGATTATTTAGACACCACTGATATACGGTGAAGGTAAACATCGTGAGGAAACCTGGACTGCTGGTTAATGGTCGAAAACCTTCTCCGTGTGAGAAGAGGCCTTTGCTCAGCATTGGGCACTTACAGGCTGATGATGATGATATGTCGGCAAATTAGCTGATGGTAAGCAATCAGCTCCGTCCATGGAGGCCCACAACATTAAAGGAGTTACGAGTGCGTTGTCGGTCTATTAGGGATGAAAAGACGGATATTTACTAAGGATTGGGAAGGGATAGGGGAAGGGGAGGGGTTGGGCCTCCGGTAACCTCACTTACACGGCGAAACACAACACTGTGGGTTGTTTCACGCCGGTTTTCTGTGAGGCCGTGGTTGTCATCCGGTCGAGCCGACCCATTCGTGCCGTAGTATGGCTCTCCAATATTTTTAATCATCATTTAATAATTATTATTATTCCACAGGTAACAGGGAGACTCTTGAAACGATACCCAAGTCAAAAGGTATAGATGTGAGGAAGGAATTACTGAAGTTTCACGAGAAATGGTATTCAGCTAATATAATGACCCTCGTTGTTATGGGCAAAGGTAATTATTGCATATTTTACTTACTTTTACTTTATTTATTTTATATTTCTAAAGTCAAGGTCAAAGTCAAAATCATTTATTCGAACTAAACCATAAATAGGTACTTTTGAAACGTCAAAATAGAATAGTGGTATGTCAGTCTGTTCGTTAGTAAAGCTAGGTGCTCGTTCCAAATTGTAGATTCGAATGGAGAAGAACGAGCAAGAAACTCCATCTCCATCCAACCTCCTCATCTCCATCTCCAAAGCCTAGACGACTTTTTTTACCTCCGATGGAAAAATAGGGATGTTATAAGTTTGACGTGTCTGTCTGTCTGTCTGTGGCATCCTGGACGGATGAAGCGATTTCAATTTAGGTTTTTTTTTTGTATTAAAGGTGACTTACGTGCGTGTGTTCTTAGACATGTGTGACGAAAATTTGGTTGAACCGTTTAGAAGTTATGGGGGTGTGAGTGGGGAAAGGTAACCGAATATCTGCAAATATACTCGAGTGGGGTCTCAAATGAAAATGCACTGAAAGGGAATGTTGATGAATTAATCAAGAGTGCTCTTAGCAATATAAAATGATATGAAATACATAGAAATAGTATACAATTTAAAAAATCCTGACAAAAAATGCTATTTTTATTTTATTTTAAATTGATCTTAGTTTAACTAAAATCGCGGGTTACTCACGTGTATATATTGAGAAAAGCTCTACTAGTTTCGAACCACAGAGGGGTTCTTCCTCATGAGCAGCGTCCGCGGACGCGGCGACGTCGCGCAGCCTACATATACATGTGAGTAACCCGCGATTTTTAGGTAATTTAGTATGTCTCACGATAGTTATTATAAAAACATGATCTTAGTTTTTTTGTTTCTGTAAAATAACCTTGTTAGATTTGACCACTACGGACGGGGTAGATGTTCAGCTGGGGTGGCGGGGCAAGCCCCATAAGGTACCGCGGCTCCGGCCTAAAGCAGGAGAAGGAACGGTGTTGGTTTTTAGTCAGTAGGAGTCTGACATTCCCACTCTCAGGGTAGGAGAAGACATTTGATGATTTTAACACCTCCAAAAGTTCTGTTTAGTTAAACGTCATCTCCGAAACTAATGGTTCGAATAAAACAATTGCATTTGTGTTGGATAGTCCATTTATCGAAGAAGGCTATTGGCTAAAAAACATCAAGCTACGACCAATTGGAGCTTAGCAGTGGGTAAAAAATATGTAGGAAAGGCTAGTTCAATAATAATAATATTTTTTTAAACTTTTTACAGAATCTCTGGACGATTTGGAAGCGATTGTAGTACCACTATTCTCAGAAGTACAAGATACATCAGTAACGCCCCCCTCCTGGCCTGAACATCCGTTTCCGCCGGAACTAAGGCGGAAACGAGCGTACTGTCTTCCGGTTAAAGATCTACGGTCGTTGTCTATAGATTTCCCCATTCCTGATACTAGGAAACATTATAAAAGTGGGGTAAGTACATTCAAGTGACTGCTGAGCAAAGGCCTCCTCTCACACGGAGAAGGTTTGAGCATTAACCACCACGCTTGCTCAAGGCAGATGGGCAATTTCAAACTTATAGTTAGAAATTATAAGTCCAGGTTTCCTCACGATGTTTTCCTTCACCGTATGTCAGTGGTGTCTAAATAATCATAGAAAGTACATATAACTCGGAAAAAAACTATGTAGTTACCAGTTTTTGAAACTGCTCTCTTATTTATAAAAAGCGCCTCTATGTCGAGGCCACTACGACATATTTTTCTTCATGTAGACAGATTACCTGATGGTAAGCAATCGGCGCCGTCCATCGATACTCGCTACAGAAAAAGGAGTTACGAGTGTATTGTCAATATCTTGGTAAAAATAATTCAAAAATATGATTTTGTAAAAGGGTATGATGGGGTTGTCACATACGAGATAACACCGTTAAAAAAAAAAGAGAGTGCGTTGTCGACCTTATGGAGATCAGGATTTTGGCAATTCAGGGATTGAAAAGCGATGGGTGAGGGAAAGGATAGGGCCTCCGGTAACCTCACTCACACGGAGAAACACAACGCTGTTGTTGTTTCACGCCCGTTTTCTGTGAGGCCGTGGTTGTCATCCGGTCGAGCCGACCCATTCGTGCCGAAGCATGGCTCTCCCATATTTTTAATCATCATTTAATAATAATTATTATTTCACAGGTAACAGAGAAACTCTTGAAACGATACCACACTTGAATGAATACTTTTACTTATATAATATTTTGGTTTTCAGCCCGGACATTATCTATCACATCTTCTGGGACACGAAGGACCTGGAAGTCTACTATCAGCTCTTAAAGAACGAGGTTGGTGTAATAGGTGAGTTGTGTAGTTTTTGTGATTAGCAGTGTGATTCTGTAAGACGTCATTCTAAACTTCGAATCTGAATCCGCTGTGAGAAGTAGTACACTAACGCTACACTTGCGAGTTGAACTAAATTGACCGCAACATTTTGATAGATAAAGTATGACGCGCGGTTTCACCCTCTGCTCGGCTTCATTTAATCGTAGCGTGATGTTTTATAGCCTATATCATCCTATATATAGCACTCAGGAACATTGTAGCTATCTATCAGTGATAGAATTTTGGCAATCCAACCAGCGGATCCAAAGGTTACCCCCTACATACAAACTTACAAACTTACAAATTTTACCTCTTGTATAGATGTCGGCATTGGTACTTGCCAGGTTTCAACCCCGCACCCTCATGCATGAGAAGCGGGCGCTTTAACTACAGATTAGTCAAAGTAATTCATTTGTGACCTAGAAAACTACTCAACAACATAAAAAAAATATACTGAATAGTTAAAAAAAAATGCTTTTAATTTGATATTATAATATTGTCCACAGTTTAGTAGGAGGTACACGTATTGGAGCGAGAGGGTTCGGCTTCTTCGGAGTGCAAGTGGACCTCACGGAGGACGGAGTCAGTCATATCGATGATATCATCAAGCTGGTGTTTCAGGTATGTATTTTTTTTAAATATGCTCCTTACTAGGGGTTTCTAAACGATATATGTGTCGCCACAGACTCGCCCTCGTTGTATGTTGCCGATATGTTAATTTATTAATCCAGGGTATCACCTATTCGTTGTATGCGCGATGACAGCACTCCTAGTGGCCGCAACTATTCAGGACTTGTCAACTAGATGATAAGATATTTTTGTAATATTGATTTTCGACTAGCTTTTCAACGAAATTGAAAAAAATAGTGTAAAAAGCGAGTGTGTATACATATATAACGCCTAGTAATTTTCTTCCTCGTGAAAAATATGGATAATACGACCGGGTTGTGAATTTTAATTGTCTTCACAGCAGCTATCCATTTTTGTCTTTGCTGTAACGTCCACTTTGATGTTGGAAACGAATATATCTGGCACGAACTGTTTTTCCCATTGTTTTTACAATTTACGACACAGTATGTACTATGACCCATATCGCAAATTTTTACCTTTTTACTTAAAATTATAAAGGAAGTTATGAAAATAAAGCGATTTGACACATGACAGCCCAGAATTAATCCACACTTCTGCCACGTCGTGCGCTACGATCGATTTGCCATTCCCCACCACCCACTACGCACATAGCGAATATACAACAAATTTCAGAAAAATCTTTCCAGCCGTTTTCGCGTGAAAGAATTACAAACACACAACCATACATTCTCACAAATTTTCACATTTATAACAGGTAGATAGGAGGATCTATAATATTATGGTAGGATAGTAGGATAGTAGGATTGTAGTATAGTAGGATTGTAGTATAGTAGGATTGTAGGATAGTAGGATTTATACTAACGCAATCATTATTATTTTCCAGTACATATCGATGTTAAAAGCCGAGGGTCCGCAGCGTTGGGTGTGGGAGGAGCAACGAGACCTGATGGCGCTGGAGTTTCGGTTCAAGGATGCGATGGAACCTCGCGGCCTTGTCACCGGACACGTTCATCTTCTACAGGTTGGTTAGTTTTTTTTGTGGTAGGACGGTAAACGAGCAGACGGATTACCTGATGGTAAGCAATCAGCGCCGCCCTTGGACATCCGCAACAACAGCGGAGTTACGAGTGCGTTGCCGGCCTTTTGGGGATTAGGGTTTGGGGGCGGGAACGATAAGGTCTCCGGTAACCTCACTCACACGGCGAAACAACGCTGTGGTTGTTTCATTCCGGTCTGTCCCTACCCTTAATCCTCAAAGCCGCTATCCGTATCCGAAAGGCCGGCAACGCACTTATAGTAACTCCTTTAGTACTACGAGTATCCATGGGCGGCGCTGATTGCTTACCATCAGGTAATCCGTCTTGTCCTTATCGCTCCTTCTTCTCGCAGAAATTTAGTCAAAATCATTTTAAAATTTGAATTAATTTTAAGGAGTTTCCAATGGAGGATGTTCTGTGCGCGTACTACGTGATGACTGATTGGAAACCGGAGCTGATTGAGGAGCTTCTCTGTCTGCTTACACCGGAAAATGTTCGCGTCGGCATCGTTGCCAAGTGAGTATAGTATAGTGTACACATACAGTTATCATCATCATCATCATCAGCCTATAAGTGCCCGCTGCTGAGCAAAGGCCTCTTCTCATACCGAGAAGGTTTGAGCCACCACGCTTGCTCAATGCGGGTTGGCGATTTCAAACTTATAATTAGAAATTATAAGTCCAGGTTTCCTCACGATGTTTACCTTCACCGTACGTCAGTGGTGTCTAAATAATCATATAAAGTACATATGTGCGAGTATAACTTGGAAAAAGTCACATTGGTACTTGTCAGGTTTCGAACCCACACCCTCATGCATGAGAAGCGGGCTCCTTAACCTCCGGGCCACCACGACATTTACACACACATACAGTTATAGCTAAGCCAGTTTAGTATAAAATGTAGGAGAGAGAGAGAGAGAGAGAGGAGTCGGGCTCGACCGGAGTGATACCACGGCCTCACAGAATACCGGCGTGAAATAACAGCGTTGTGTTTCGCCGTGTGAGTGAGGTTACCGGAGACTCAATCTCTCCCCGCAACCGTTATCCCCAAAAGGCCGGCAACGCACTCGTAACTCCTTTGGTGTTGCGGGTGTCCATGGGCGGCGTCGATTGCTTACTATCAGGTAATCCGTCTGCTCGTTTGCCGACCTATTACATTATAAAAATATAATATAGGATCAGGAGTTACTTTATGGAAATCTATGACATTAAATGTTTTCAAAAATATCTAGTTTTTATATCGCGACAAAAAATTCACAAATCCAGGCAGGCAGGTGGACCCTATGCAGTCATCCACCTAGAGCGCGGGTCTGCGGACGGCGAGTTAGGGTAGCTCGCCGCCGTTTTCGCGGCGCGCTACACTTTATTTATTGTCGTCCATATTGCAATTTGAAGCAATGAAAAGCTTTTCAAAAAAGAATAGGCTCACACAATAGTTACGAAACATTCGTTTAAAAACATTTCGGTTAAAGTTTTTTATGTATTGTTTTTTTAATGAGCTTAGAAGCTAGACTATTTATAATTATTATCGATACTCTATACTAATATTATAAAGAGGTAAAGTTTGTAAGTTTGTATGTAGGCGGTAATCTTTGGAACCACTGGTCGGATTGCCAAAATTCTTTCACTGATAGATAGCTACAATGTTCTGCTATTTAGGCTATTAAACATCACGCTACGATTAAATGGAGCCGAGCAGCGGACAAAACCGTGCGAGAGTAGCTAGTTATTCTATATAACATACAATTTTTCAGGGTATTCGGAGACAAATGCACGATGACTGAACCCTGGTATGGTACCAAGTATCTGCAAGAAGATATTGAAGACGCCAAAATACAGGTAAATATATTTTTTTTTAAATATTGCCCTCTAAATATCCCACGGAGCAAAGGCCTCTTTTCACACGGAGAAGGTTTGAGCATTAACCACATCGCTTTCTCAAGGCGGATTGGCGTTCAAAATTACTAGTGATTTCAAACTTATCTATACTATAATATTATAAAGAGGTAAAATTTGTAAGTTTGTATGTAGGGGGTAATCTTGGGAACCGCTGGTCGGATTTCCAAAATTCTTTCACTGATAGATAGCTACAATGTTCCCGAGTACTATAGGTTATAAAATATCACGCTACAATCAAATGGAGCCAAGCAGCGAGTGAAACCGCGCGGTAATAGCTAGTGTATAATAATTAGAAACGTGCAGGTTTCATCTTGAAGTCTTCTTCCTTCACCGTATGTCAGTGGTGTCTAAATAATCATAGAAAGTACATGTAACTCGGAAAAAGTCACATTGGTACTTGACAGGTTTTGAACCCTCAGAAGAGGACGACTTAACCTCCTTGCAACCACGATCTGTACTTTGAATCGAGATTAAATTGTTATAATGGTTACACAGGAATGGAAATCAGTGCAGCCGACTAAAGAATTGCATCTGCCGCCTCCCAACGAGTTTATACCATCACGGCTAAGTCTTGAAACTGGGGAAGACAGTACTGCTGATTCGATCGCACCGGCCGTCATAAAGGTAAGATGTAGTTTTTTAAATTAAGAACTCAAAATAATATATTGTTAAGCGTTTTCGCATTGGATTTTTTTAATAACCTGGAATTTAAAAAAATAAGCGTAGTGGTACTGGTTATTTTTCTTTTTAAAAACGTTGTCCAAACACTAAGACATTTTTCTGTGCCGTGGGTGTTTTCAAAAACATACAAATTCACATACACAAGCCACCCAGACCCGAAATAATAAATTGTGGATGACACAAGCTGTTTTTTCTAACGGGAATCGAACCGAGAATCGAGGCACAGCAGCGAGGTGCCCATTACACCAACTGTGTAGTCAAATTGAATTATTTAACAAAAAAATGTTTAGTAACGGCGAAAAAATTCAATATAAATGACTGGTTTCCAACATAGTTTGTTTTTTCTACAATAGTATACAAAAAGAATGATGGTCTTACTAATTGATTTAATGTCAAGCTTACTTTTAGTTTTTTTTTTTTTAAAAAAAGGAATCGAATGTATTTCACACGTTGTGTTTTGCCGTGTTAGCGAGGTTATCCCTCCATCCATCCCCAAAATTTGGAAAAATTTGGAGATAAGGGGATCTTCGAAATGCCAGCAAAGCCCCAAGTGCGTTCTCTTTTAGTGCTGCGGGATTACGGTAGTTTCCAACTAGTTAAATTCAATACTTTTATCCAAATGTCAAAAACGTTAATTTTCTATGAAATTTGTATGAAAAACTGAGTTATGACGTCATAGTATTTTTGCGTCAAATAGCTTAGGTAGGTTAAAAAATAAGTACTTTTTTAAAAATTAGCTAAAAATATCTATACTCGGAATTTTAATTCCCTTCCAGATTTGACAATTTCAGTGTTGCAATGTTATGACCCGTAATAAATAGTGACGTTGCGAAATTATTCGATGTGGAAATCGAATATTTCTGAATCGATTCCTCTCGTTTATAAATTTACTCTCGTAGACTAAGTTTATCAGGAAATAAAATATTTCTGAACCGATAATTTAGTTTTGACAATTAATTAACGATCTGAGACTTTTCTTTTGTAATTGATTGATAAAAAATGTGATCATGAAGGAACGTGACAAATAAAACAGACATTTTATAAATTGTCGCCGGCATCGCTATCGCTATCGCCGTTACTCTATGTAACATTTATTATGAATTGTGTCTTTGATATTTATTGTCAATTAACATATCCAGCTTACTCATTTTTTCCTCTTCTTTGAAAACATGGGATACACATTTAGACCATTCGGTAGCCGTAATTTTTTGAATGCCTTCCTGAAACTGATTCACTGATTGTTTATCGATTTTTGTGTTCATCACTACACTGTTATATGTGGTATCATTATTTCACAAAATGACAGTGGTCAATGTCAAATCAGGAATCGAATTAAAAGTCTGACTATAGAATTAATGTATCGACAGATCGATGAATAATAGTATAGTTCATTTTCAATATTTTATTGTATTCAAATGTCGAATTAATTAATTTTTGACTTAGGAAACTCTATTTACGGGGCGAATGTAGTTTGTTTTTTTATAAATTGCCGTTTTGCATGAAAAAATTTAAACGAATTTTTTTATTTGAAATGCGATGAAAATGTAACACTAATCAATAAACAAATGACTACTTTTGGAAAAAGAGTCCCATGTTTTTAAAACAAAGTTAATTAGCCTTAGCCTAACAAAAACTATTTTGAATGGCAATTTCATAGGTTTTTTTATTAAAATTATTCTCAAAATTCAACGTAAGGCCTTCTTCCCTTCCAGGACACTCCGCTAATGAGGTTATGGTTCAAGAAGGACAATGAGTTCCACCTTCCCAAAGCTGTGATGACCTTCGATTTAGTCAGGTAAGAATTCCTAATATGTACCTTCCTCCCTCACAAGACGACTTTTTGTGATTGGAAAATCATCGAATGACTTCTCCCGCCGGGGTGTGATGAGAGGTAGTGTCAGATTGATGATCAGACTCTTACTGACTAAAACCCTCGTTTTTTATGTGATAGGTCAGGTAACGAGCAGATGGTAAGCAATCAGCGCCGCCCATGGACACCCGCAACAATAGAAGAGTTACGAGTGTGTTGCCAACCTTTTAGGGATTAGGGTTTTGGAGATTTAGGGATTAGGGAGGGGAAGGATTGAGCCTCCGGTGACCTCACTCATACGGCGAAACACAACGCTGTAGTTATTTCACACCGGTTTTCTACGAGGCCGTGGTATCACTCCGGTCGAGCCGACCCATTCGTGCCGAAGCATGGCTCACCCACACTTAAAATTCGTTGCGCTTACCCCGCAACCCCGGCTGAACATCAGCCCTATAGGGCCCGTCTGTGGTGGTCTATTGGCTCTTTGAGGCGCGCGCGGAACGCTACGCGCCGTACGCTCGGGTCTGGTTCTGGTCGGGCGGCGAGCTTCCTTTATTCACTTTTGCTCGCAAAAGCTTGAAATACATGATTATCAAGAGTTACGGTATTGAAGTGAAGAGCCATGCTTCGGCACGAATGGGTCGGGTCGACCGGAGTGATACCACGGCCTCACAGAAAACCAACGTGAAATAACCACAGCGTTTTCTTTCGCCGTGTGAGTGAGGTTACCGGGTTCTCCCCGAAACCCTTTACCCCAACAGGTCGGCAACGCACTAGATAACTCCTTTGGTGTTGCGGGTGTCTATGGGCAGCGCCGATTGCTTACCATCAGGTAATTCGTCAGCTCGTTTGCCGTAAAAAACTAATTATTGTAATTTCCTTCCAGTCCCCTGGCGTACGCAGATCCTCTAAGCTGCAACCTAACTTCAGTGTGGGTTCTTCTACTCAGAGATAGCCTACAACAGTTTGCTTACGCCGCGGAATTGGCTGGTTTACGATGGAGCATTGGCAACGCTAAATACGGGATTAGTGTAAGTGCAAAATTTAAGTTGAGATTACGAGAAAAGTGTTTTTGTTACATTTTTCGGTCCCCTGCGTCAACCCCCTTTAAGTTACCCCTTTTTGTTTTGTCGTAGTGGAGAATGAAATGGAACGTGATGCGGGTTAGTCACAATTTTATTTTTATTATTTTTGTAGTAAAATCAACTTTATTTTCAAAGGTTTCGAGTAGATATTCCTATGATATAAAAATCGAAAATAAACACTGAATTTTTTTATTATTTTTGTCGTAAAGACATCCTTATTTTCTAAGGGTTTGAGTAGATATTCCCATGATATAAAAATAAAAAAATAAACACTGCATATTTTATTATTTTTATAGTAAAATCAACTTTATTTTCGAAAGTTTTGAGTAGATATTCCTATGATGTAAAAATCGAAAAAATAAACCCTATATTTTTCCGATTAATATGACTACATAGTATAAAACAAAGTCGCTTTCTTTCTCCCTATATTGAAAGAAGAAAGAAAGAAAGAAAATTTTGATGCGGTTTTTTTAATAGATAGAGTGATTGAAGTGGAAGGTTTATATATGTATAATAACATCCATTGAATAGTGGAGAAATTTAGTATCAGCATTGCATCCGTGCGAAGCCGGGGCGGGTCGCTAGTACCTTTATTTTGTCAATTAATTAATTATATATAAAAATGGATCGCGAAATGAGTTGGTAAGCGCATAACTCAACAACGCCTGGACCAATTATACTAACTCTTTTTTTGTTGTGTTTGATATTGTCAGGAGAAGGTTCTTATCAAAGAAAATATTAGAAAAGTAGAGGGGAAGATTAGGCAAAAGTGACCCTTTGATAGCGAGATAGTTGGACCCTTGCGAAGCGGGGTGGGCCGCTAGTATCAAATATTAATTATAGCTGTGCCTCGCGGTTTTACGGCGAATTTTATAGTCTATGTTCACTGGGAATAGAGTAGCTTTTCATCAGTGAAACTTCTTCGAAATCGGTCAAATAGTTTCGCAGGCTTATCAATACGAATACCAAAAACGAATCTTTTAGAAGCTTTATGCGTGCTCAAATTTTGTAATCTTTTTCTTTTACATGTAAATATTTTTTGTATGAATCTTCATTATTTTGTAATTACGTATGGACATCGATCTGAAATTAAGGCTTAATTATTATTATTTTATCTTTATAATATTAGTTTAGATAATTTATAGAATAAGGCGTTACTTTGCGGAAATCCATGACATTAAATGTTAGAAAAAATATTTAGTTTTAATTCCGCTACAAAAATCCAGTCTTGTCGCAGGATGCAATCCCACTCCTATGCAATCATGCATATGCACATGCAGCAAAGGTAACATGCATATGCACACATACAAAAAACGGCAAAACATGCCTCATATAGAGTATAGATTTGATTGCGATTTTTGTCGCGGAATTAAAACTAAATGATTTTCCTAACATTTAATATTAGATTAGATCAAAAATTTTTTTTAATCGGTTTATTACTTTCGTTGGTTTTTTAATACAAACGAACAAATCTTTCGTCTTTGTTAAGATTATAACCATTCGAATCACAAGTTACGATCAAATCGAGCAGAGCAGCGAGTGAAAACGCGCGAGAGTAGCTATACTCGGAATTTTAATTCCATTCCAGATTTGACAATTTCAGTGTTGCAACGTTATGACACGTAATAAATAGTGACGTTGCGAAATTATTCGATATGGAAATCGAATATTTCTGAATCGATTCCTCTCGTTTATAAATTTACTCTCGTAAACTAAGTTTATCAGGAAATAAAATATTTCTGAACCGATAATTTAGTTTTGACAATTAATTAACGATCTGAGACTTTTTTTTTGTAATTGTGTGTGAAATTAATAAAAAATGTGATCATGAAGGAACGTGACAAATAAAACAGACATTTTATAAATTGTCGCCGTCATCGCTATCGCTATCGCCGTTACTCTATGTAACATTTATTATGAATTGTGTCTTTGATTTTATTGTCAATTAACATATCTAGCTTACTCATTTTTTCTTCTTCTTTGAAAACATGGGATACACATTTAGACCATTCGGTAGCCGTAATTTTTTGAATGCCTTCCTGAAACTGATTCACTGATTGTTTATCGATTTTTGTGTTCATCACTACACTGTTATATGTGGTATCATTATTTCACAAAATGACAGTGGTCAATGTCAAATCAGGAATCGAATTAAAAGTCTGACTATAGTTTTTGAGTATGGCTCAAGATAGTTACTATTAAAAAAAAGAGATGGGATATTTAATTTTTTTTTACTTTGTTTTTTATTTATATTTCCCTAGGTCACAATCGATGGCTACGACGACAAGCAAAGTGTTCTTCTAGATAAAATAGTTGATCACATGATCAACTTCACTGCTGACCCCAAAAGGTTTCATATCATGAAGGAGAATCATATCAGAGCTATAAGAAATTTCGAAGCGGAACAGCCCTATCAGGTAAGGTTTTTGTTGTATATTTTTTATGTAATAGGTCGTCAAACGAGCAGACGGATTACCTGATGGTAAGCGATTAGCCACAACAGAAGAGTAACGAGTGCGTTGTCAACCTTTTTTGGGTTTAGGGCTTTGGAGATTTAGGTCTTTGGAGGGTAGGGGAAGGATTTGTCCTCCGGTAACCTCAATCACATGGTGAAAAACATCGCTGTGGTTGTTTCACGCCGGTTTTCTGTAAGACCGTGGTATCACTCCGGTCGAGCCGACCCATTCGTGCCGAAGGCTCGGATGGCTCTCAGATTTGGAATTACACAAAACGGGTGGATATATACACAAAAGGGGTGAGTGAATGTTGGCGAATTTTTCTAGTATGAGCAGAGCTGAACCTTAAATTCATTGGCGTACAACTCAAAAGACTATCACCCGGTTTCTGAAAGGCTTGTCAACGCTAAAATTAACTAATCTCCTGTTAAATATCTTGTCAAGTCATCTGATTGGTTGTTGATAATTCAATCAAGCAATCAGATGACTTGACAAGAGATTAAATTGATTTCAACATTGATCGGACTTTCGGAAACCGATATCGATTTCTATTCACCTCGTTTTACCACTACCCCTTGAGGAATTATATGTTTTACTAGCTCTTACCCGCGGCGTCGCTCCCGTCATTTGACTACCTACCCTACTCTGCCTACCCTACCTACCCTACTCTACTTACCCTTCCTACCCTACTTTACCTCCCCTACTTTACCTACCCTACTATACCTACCCTACTATACCTACCCTACTCTTTCTACCCTACTCTACCTACCCTACTCTACCTACCCTACTCTACCTACCCTACTCTACCTACCCTACTCTACATACACTACCCTACACTGCTCTACCTACCCTACCCCACTCTACCTACCCTACTCTACCTACCCTACTCTACCTACCCTACTCTACCTACCCTACTCTACCTACCCTACTCTACCTACCCTACTCTACCTTCCCTACTCTACCTAACCTACTCTATTCTATCCTATGTCCTTCTCCTGGCTCTAAACTACCTCCCTGCCAATTTTCAGCTAAATCGGTTCAGCCGTTCTCGAGTTATAAGTGGTGTAACTAACACGACTTTCTTTTATATATATAGATATTAATTCATATATGTATGTATTTTTTGCAGCACGCAGTCTACCAACAAGCTCTATGCTTGGCAGACGTGGTCTGGACAAGATGCCAGCTTTTGGAAGCTGCTGATGGTATAGTATTTTTTTTTAAGCTATTTGACCCAAAAATAGTATGACGTCATAATTTGGAGTTTCATACAGATTTTAAAAGAATAGTTTTTGACAATTTATGGATATTTTTTAGACGGATTACCTGATGGTAAGCAATCAGCGCCACCCATGAACACCCGCAACGGAGGAGCTCTGAGTGCGTTGCCGTCCTTTTAGGGATTCGGGTGTTGGAGATTAAGGGATTGGGGAGGGATCGGGGGAGGGGAAGGATTGGGTCTCCGGTAATCTGACTCACACGGCGAAACACAACGCTGTGGTGGTTTCACGCTAGTTTTCTGTGAGGCCGTGGTATCACTCCGGTCGAGCCTACCAATTCGTGTCGAAGCATATTCGATTCAATTCTATCCCATCTTTTCCATTGTATATTCCATTTGATCATACGCTTTCCCTTGTTCCAGATATGACCCCGGATATGTTGAACGATTTCGCATCCAGGTTGATACGCAAGTTGCATATAGAGGGCTTCATGTATGGCAACCTCAGCCGGGAGAGGGCGCTGCATATAGCCGAGAGTATGGAGAAAAAGTGAGTTCAATTTAAATACTCTTAAGCGTTCAGTAATCTTGTCAGTCGTGGTGGCCCGTTGGGTTCGAAACCTGACAAGTACCAATGTGACTTCTTCCGAGTTATATGTACTTTCTATGATTATTTAGACACCACTGACATACGGTGAAGGTAAACATCGTGAGGAAACCTGGACTTATAATTCCTTATAAGTTTCAAATCGCCAATCCGCCTTGAGCAAGCGTGGTGGTTAATGCTCAAAACCTTCTCCGTGTGAGAAGAGGCCTTTGCTCAGCAGTGGGATGGGGGCTACTTATAGGCTGATGATGATGAGGATATATTTCATACCTCTAAGGGCTAATTGTTCAATAGTCAGATAAATGTTATCTGAGGAATAAAATTGTTGCTGTCACTGTCTTATACAAACATTCTGACGCGACAGCATCATGATAATTCCCCAGGTAACTTTTATCTAACCATTGAAAAATCAGCCCGAAGTGATAAGAGTTTCTGACCCTAAACATTAAAAACAGGCAGCGTTTGCCGGGTTAGCTAGTATTACTATAATACTAGGTTCTGTCATGCGGTTTCACTCGCTGTTATAATACTAGCCTGTTGTCGCGCGGCTTCACTCACTGCTCGACGCCTACATATGTAGCGTGATGTTTTACAGCCTAAAGCCTTCCTCGATTGATGTACTAACAAACACAAAAAGAATCATTCAATTCAAACCAGCAGTTCTTGAGATTAGCACGTTCAAACAAACAAACTCTCCAGCTTTATAATATTACGAGCTTTTGCCCGCGACTCCGTTCGCGTGGAGTAGTGACTTCCTGCAGCTTTCTGTTCCAAACTATGTCTGTACCAAATTTCACAGAAATCGGTTCAGTACTATAGGCGTTTTTTTTTTGTGAGGGGAAAATTATCAAATGACTTCTTCCGGCAGGAAGTGTCAGACTCTTACTGACTAAAAACCCCCTGTTCCTTCTCCTACTCTGGGCCGAGGTCGCGGTGCCTCATTGCGCTTACCCCGCAACCCCGGCTGAACAACAGCCCTATAGGGCCCCGTCTGTGGTGGTCTATTAGGTCATTGAGGCGCGCGCGGAACGCTACGCGCCGTACGCTCGTAGGCGTGAAGAAAAGACAGACAGACAGACAGACAGAGTTACTTTCGCAGTTATAATATTAGTATAGAATTATAGCTTGTCAAAAACTAAAATGTTTGTTACAGATTACCAAAAGATGGAACGCCGCTGTGTGCCCAGCAATTACTGTTACATAGAGAAATTGAAATCGAAAAAGGTAAGGAAGATGAAAAAAAGAAAACACATTTATTCGACAAATAGGCACACAAATACAAGTATATAAAAAATACATATTAAGAACACAGATATTTATATAATAAAACAATAATATAATAAAGTTTAACTCTGGGAGAGCCATGCTTCGGCACGAATGAGTCGGGTCGACCCGAGTGATACCACGGCCTCACAGAAAACCGACGTGAAACAACCACAGCGTTGTGTTTCGCCGTGTGATTGGGGTTACCGGAGACACAATACTTTTAATTTTTTGGGGCCGTGGTATCACTACAGTGAAGGACTCTTTCGTCACAAAGTTTGGCTCTCTCGTTTCTTTTTTAATTTAATATAATGATGATGATGATGATGATGATTTATTTATTTTATACTTCATGCACAATTTGACATGTACATTAGGTGGACTTAATGCATTGAACATTCAAATAATGATGATGAGCACTCAAATGATGATGATGATGATATTTTGTCCTCAGGTGCATGGCATCTTCGTGAGACGACAAACAGCGTGCACAAGTCGTCGTGCGCGTCCCTGTACTACGCGTGCGGCGTGCGACAGTGCAGGACCAACGTTACGCTCGAACTATTAGCACATACACTCGCGGAGCCATGCTTCAACATGCTACGGACTAAGGTAAAGAAATAAAGAAGGAAAAGCGTTTCAATGTTAACTAAAAATCGCGGGTTACTCACGTGTATATATTGAGAAAAGCTCTACTAGTTTCGAACCAGTACTCAGTAGGCTGAGCGACGTCGCCACGTCCGCGCACGCTGCTCATGAGGAAGAACCCCTCTGTGGTTCGAAACTAGTAGAGCTTTTCTCAATATATACACGTGAATAACCCGCGGTTTTTAGTTAATTTAGTATGTCTCACGATAGTTATTATAAAAACGTTTCAATGTTGGTCAGGATAAAAAAAAAATAAGGTCGTGGTTGCCCGAAGGTAAAGGCGCCCGCTTCTCATACATGAGGGTTCGAAACCTGCCTTCCAAATATGACTTTTTCCGAGTTATATGTACTTTCTATGATTATTTAGACACCTCTGACATATGGTGAAGGTAAACGTCGTGAGGAAACCTGGACTTATAATTTGTAATTATAAGTTTTAAATCGCCAATCCGCTTTGAGCAAGCGTGGTGGTTAATGCTCTAACCTTCTCCGACCACAAAGCTATACATGGGAATACCAACGGGGAGAGGAAATTGACTGTCTTCACGCCCGTAGCGTCGAATGCACCGAGTGCCATATCTATCACTAGCTACTCTCGCGCTTTTTCACTCGCTGCTCGGCTCCTACAGATCGTAGCGTGATGTTATATAGCCTATAGCACTCAGGAACCTTGTAGCTATCTATCAGTGAAAGAATTTTGGAAATCCGACCAGCGGTTCCAAAGATTACCACCTACATACAAACTTACAAATTTTACCTCTTTATAATATTAGTATAGTTAAAGATTATTACGGAGGAGGACGGAGCATCTACCATCTCTTTCTAACTTAATTTTTTTACAGGAACAATTAGGATACATTGTGTTCAGTGGACTGCGGCGTTCCAACGGAGTGCAGGGGTTCAGGGTCATCGTCCAGAGCGACAGACATCCCGAATACTTGGAAGAGAGGATAGAGAACTTCCTACAAGGATCACTGGTGAGTGGAACCCTTCGTTTTTTTGTATCTTTCTTTTATGGAATAGATCGGCAAACGAGCATACGGATTACCTGATGGTAAGCAATCAGTGCCGCCCATGGACAAGCAACGGAAGAGTTACGAGTGCGCCGACCTTTTGGGGATTAGGGATTTAGGGATTGAGGAGGGATTGGAGGAGGGGAAGGACTGCGCCTCCGGTAACCTCACTCACACGGCAAAACACAACGCAAATCTAAGTCCAAATCATTTATTTCAATTAGACCCACACAGGCACTTTTGAACGACAAACTAAATTTTAAAGATATAAAGTGTCAGTCTGTCGGTCAGTCCTCTTAGTGAAGCTTTTTTGTATTTAGCACTACATAGTATAAAACAAAGTCGCTTTCTCTGTCCCTGTAACAATGAAACAATGAATTCATTTTTGTAAAAAGGCCTTAAACAACTCTTTTACATGTCAAACTATATGTGAAAAACTAGATGAAGCCGGCATTTCCTATCTGACTACTCTGAGAAGAAATGCCGATATACCTAGATGTATGTGTGCTTAAATCTTTAAAACTACGCAACGGATTTTGATGCGGTTTTTTAATAGATAGTGATTGAAGAAGAGGGTTTATATGTATAATAATATACATAAAATAGTGGAGAAATTTTGTATCAGCGTTGCACCCGTCCTAAGCTAGGGTCGCTAGTATACAAATTTATTGATGTTCATTTGTCAGACTGTGTGTCAGACTCTTTCTGACTAAAAACTTCTCCGTTCCTTCTCCTGTTTAAGGCCCCGTCTGTGGGGCCCTATAGGGCTGATGTTCAGCCGGGGTTGCGGGGTAAGCGCAATGAGGCACCGCGGTCTCAGCCCAGAGCAGGAGAAGGAACTGGGCGTGAGAAGTCATTTGATGATTTTCCCATCACAAAAAAAGTATAGGGCCCCGTCTGTGGTGGTCTATTGGCTCATTAAGGCTGACGATGTATTTTTGTTTACAGGAATACCTTCAAAATATGTCTGACGTAGAGTTCTCGAAGCATAGAGCTGCTTTAGCGGCTCAGAAGCTAGAGAAACCTAAGCGTATGTCCAGCAGGGCTTCGCTAATGTGGAGCGAGATTACTGCGCAGGTAAATTACAATAATATATTTTCAATTAATAAATAAAATAATAGATTTCTTGATTGATAATGACAGCTAACGAACAGACGGGTTCATCATCATCAGCCTATAAGTGCCCACTACGGAGCAAAGGCCTCTTCTCACACGGAGAAGGTTTGAGCATTAACCACCACGCTTGCTCAGTGCTGGTTGGCAATTTCAAACTTATAATTAGAAATTATAAGCCCAGGATTCCTCACGATATTTACCTTCACCGTTTGTCAGTGGTGTCTAAATAATCATAGAAAGTACATATAACTCGGAAAAAGTCACATTGGTACTTGCCAGGTTTCGAACACACACCCTCATGCAGACGGATTACCTGATTGTAAGCAATCGGCGCCGCCCCTAGACTCCCGTAACGCCAAAAGAGTTACGAGTGCGTTACCGACCTTTTAAGGGATATAAGGGTTTAGGAGATTTATGGATTGGGAACGGATAGGGTAGGTGGAGGGGCTGGACCTCCGGTGACTTCTCTCATACGGCATAACACAACGTAGTGATTGTGTCACGCCGGTTTTCTGTGAAGCCGTGGTATCACTCCAGTCGAGCAGACGCATTTATGCCGAAGAATGCCTCCAAGGCCTCCAAAAATTATTTATTAAGCTCCGCATATGGATACCCAGAAGAGCAACGAATGCGTCCCCGTTCTATTGAAGATAAGGATCTAGGAGATAAATGGATTAAGGAGTGGTCGAGGACAGATTTTTTGCCTCCGCTAACTTCAATCTCACCTCGCCTCATCTACGGCGGGAGGAGACATTTATATTATGTAGGTATTTTCCCCTACAAAAAAAGGTATCTGCTTAACTCCCAACGGGTAATTAGCGTGAGTATTCATGTATAACAGTCTAGAAGTTATGACAGCCACCTCCTCTCCAGGTTTATAACTTCGACCGGCCCAGGGTGGAAGTGGAACAGCTGAACACTATAACAAAAGAAGAACTGATACAGTTTTATAAGGTAAAGTGATTAATTCTCTTCTTTGAACCGTAACCGAGGTCGGAACTACCATCGTTGCTGTTGTAACAATGCGCTAGTTTTCAACTAGTCAAATTCAATATTTTTATCCAAATGTCAACAAAAACGATACTTTTCTATGAAATTTGTTTAGTTTTTCCGCCAAATAGCTTGCAAATTTATATAAATATTATTATAAAAAATATCGAAAATCTATTGTATCGACAGATGCACGAATAAAAGTATAGTTATTTTTCAATATTTTATTGTATCGAAACGTCGAATTAATTTATTTTTCACCAAGGAAACTAGGTAATTAAAGTCATCGTACTTGTGAACTCAACTATATGTTGTGTATTATGTTCGCAAGTAGTGACAAAATTAATGTTAAATTTAATTATTTTTCTTATCATATATTTCTTATCACTGTATATACCTATATACTATTGCATGGTTGATGCAGTGGCTGGGCAACTAGCTGTTTGCGGGTTCTAATTCCCGCACGGAACAACTCTTTGAACCACAAATTATTGTTCCGTGTCTGGGTGTGATGTGTATATTTGTAAACGCACATGAAATTGTATGTTTGTAAACGCACCCACGACACAGGAGAAAATCCTAGTGTGGGGTAACGTTAAATAAAGTTAATTGATTTAAGGCTGATATTTCAATGGTTAGATAAAAGTTACCTGCGGAATAACTATGATGCTGTCGCGTCTGAATGTTTGTATAAGACAGTGATAGCAACAATTTTATTCATCAGACAACATTTATATGACTATTGAAAAATCAGCCCTTCTTTCTTACGGTTTGTTTTTTATAGCGTCATATAGCAGCTGACTCGCCGGAGCGACAGAAGCTCTCAGTGTACATAGTGTCGACGGCAGAGGGCGGCGCTGGCCACGGCGTGGACTACACCAAGGAGAGCGAAGAGAATGACAACCCCCCCGCCTGCGGAACTGATGATGATGATGAGAAACCGAAAAAGGTATGTTTAAATATTATGAGATAAACGAGCAGACGGATTACCTGATGGTAAGCAATCAGTGCCGCCCGTGGACACCTGCAACAAAAGAGGAGTTATGAGTGCATTGCCGACCTTTTAAGGGAGGGATTGGGGGGAATGGAAGGATTGGCCCTCCACTAACCTCAATCATACGGCGAAACACAACGCTGTGGTTGTTTCACGCCGGATTTCTGTAAGGCCGTGGTGTCACCCCGGTCGAGCCGACCCATTCGTGCCGAAGCAAGTAAATGGGCGGGCACTTGCCCGCTATCACGCCTGGTGGTAAGCTATAAGGCGACCTACTATGGAACACATCTACTCATAAGTAACCTATTCACCCAGGCCTTGAAGAGAGAGAGGTTATACATACTCCCTTCGGGGTCACAGACACCGGCAAAGAATTCCACTCCTTAGCGGTTCTGATAATGAAACTGGAGACGAACCGCCGAATTATTCCTTAGCGACGAAATGCGAGCAATTTTGATTTCCAACTATCCTATGCCTTCGTATTCTTCCACGTTGAAAGCACTCTGAGCAGAATTTGTTCGTTCCAATTTCTACAAAATAACATAACATCCAAACCAGTCCATCAGTTTTGGAGATAGGCGGAAACAAACAGATGTAGTTTTTTTATTTTCTCCGTATTTCGCCTAGCTTCTTGTTTAAGATTGAAATATATTGATTTAAAGATACTTTTCCTGATAAGAAATAAATATTGTGACTATAAATTGAGATGTAAGCTATCCTATCTTTCAAGTTGGATCAAAATGCACACGGAATGCCAATCAAATTTAAAATCGGTTAAGTAGTGTAGGAGTAAAGATATACAATATGCGTATTATATTATATTATATTAATGAATTTATTTTTTTATTTTGTTTCAGCCAACGAGAATCGTAGATTTAGTGGATTTCAAATGCCGCAGACCTCTATATCCACATCCGTCGCCGTTTATAAATATACCAAGAAAAGGTTCACAATGCAAACTATAAAATACGTAAATATACGTAACAAATCAACTCATGTAGTGTAGAGATTGTCCAGTCAACTGATGGTAGCGAGGTTCACTGTCCAGTGATACACGTACGCTGGTATCGTCATGAGCTAATGTTGACATGTAAACAGCGACTCATGTAGTGTAGAGATTGTCCAGTCAACTGATGGTAGCGAGGTTCACTGTCCAGTGACACACGTACGCTGGTATCGTCATGAGCTAATGTTGACATGTAAACAGCGACTCATGTAGTGTAGAGATTGTCCAGTCAACTGATGGTAGCGAGGTTCACTGTCCAGTGACACACGTACGCTGGTATCGTCATGAGCTAATATTGACATGTAAACAGCGACTCGTGTAGTGTAGAGACATTCATAGCTGTTTACGACAAGCCTAATAAATTAATACAGTAACAATAGAAAAGACAGTAATTTATTAATTTAGAAAATATAATGTACTAGCTACTCTCACGCGGTTTCCCTCTGCTCGGCTCCATTTGATCGTAGCGTGATGTTTTATAGCCTATATCACTCAGGAGCATTGTAGCTATCTATCAGTGAAAGAATTTTGGAAATCCGACCAGAGCGGTTCCAAAGATTACCCCCTACATATAAACTTACAAATTTTACCTCTTTATAATATTAGTTTAGATAATGAAAAATAAGTAAAAAATTTTAATAACTTTTACTCTGAAATCTTTACTAAAATATCTTATCATCTTCACAATTATAAATGTATTTTTTTAAGGAATTTCTTGAAATCTTACCCCCCCACTCCCGTACACCCCCCTACAAGGGAAACATATTACACAGTTCCCTAAACACACACACACACATACAAAAATATTCATTTGTTTTTCTGGACAGGCAATACGACGTCGTTACGTCTGTTCTCGCGTAGTAGTACTCAAAATTATAGGTCCCAACGTAGCTTGAAACTAGTCGGGCTAGCCCGTCAAATATTTACGACAGTAAATCGTAGTACCGTATAAATGAATTTCAATTTAATTCACACTAGCCTCCGTTCCCGGCTTCGTTCGCGTGATACGTCGATGAAAGCACCCAATGAAAAAAAAAGGTGTAGATAGGTTACAAGCGCTCAGCAAGTGACACATTAAAATGTGACTAACTAGCCACATTGTTTCATATTTGTCTCTTTTTCACTCGCGATTATTGAATCATGCCATCTCACTTTGACGTCTAAACATACGAATTGTTCATGTGTGTATCAGTGTGTCGTTTTTTAATATAGAATTTTGTTTATGTAACCTGTCTGTCAGCTCATTCTCTCAGTCAGTTTTCTTCAAATCCTTTTAAAAATCTTATGCTAATTTTACGCTCAAAAAATAAACGCACATTTAGAGAAAATTGTTTTTGTACTTCCACCTAACATGGCCAGGATCGTCTTTTTTTATGTAATAGGTCGGCAAACGAGCAGACGGATTACCTGATGGTAAGCAATCAGTGTCGAGTATGGACACACGCTACAACAGAGGAGTTACGAATGCGTTGCCGGCCTTTTAGGGATAATCAATTACACAATTCATTTTTGTTACATCATTCAGTCGGTTCAATAGAACCAATGCCAAGTGTGGAAGAGCCATGCTTCAGCACGAATGGGTCGGCTCCAACGGAGTGATACCACGGCCTCACAGAAAACCGGCGTGAAACAACCACAGCGTTGTGTTTCGCCGTGTGAGTGAGGTTACCGGAGGCCCAATCCTTCCCCTTCCCGGACTCTTCCCCAATCCCTAAATCTCCAAATCCCTAATCCCTAAAAGGTCGGCAACGCACTCATAACTCCTCCGCTGCGAGTGTCCATGGGCAGCGTTCATTGCTTACCATCAGGTAATCCGTCTGCTCGTTTGCCGACTTATTACAATAAAAAAATGCACTGTTATTAAATAATAGTGTCAGAACAGTCATAGCATCGGAAAAAGAAAATAACATCGAGGGCAAATATTCAGACAGTCTTGCGTTGACCGGTCCCAATTGACGGCGTCCGTTCACGAACATGACATGTACACCAGCACCGCCCAACTCAACCATATTATAGGAAATCGAGCGAGTCAGTGCCCGTGCAATGAGACCTCTGAGTGAGCATGACAACTCCAAGCTGACACAATAAATAATATAATTATACTCCATTACAAAGCTGAGAATATGGGTCATAATTATAGCGTATTTTTGTCTATAGAAGTATTTCTAAGTCTGGTTGACTGTAGTATTAGATTTGAACGACGTGAAAAAAATGTTGCTTATGTTCCGACGTCGAAGCATATGGCACTGCCATGCCTGTGTGTGCATAATTCTCTTCACGGATAAATAAATTAATGGATTTTGAACCCTATCGCTTTAGTAATAAAAATGTCATTTCACGCCAAGATCTATGCAGCTAATCATATTAATAATGTCAAAAAGCTTGACTTATTTATAATGACTTGGATAATCTACTAAATAAATTGTAATATAAATCTAACTTAAGTGAAATATTCGAGGAAAGCTCGTCTAGTTACAAGTCACGACGAGACTCTTATACTTTAGTTGAGCATTTTTCGATTATTTCACGTAAGTAATTGTATTTAAATTAAATTAATATTCTTAGCGATAGTTATGACCGTTTTAAAATTCTAACTGTGTAGTCTGTAAAAGTAATGTTTTTAAAGGTTATTTTGTAAGAGCTGATTTTTAATAGTAATAAAAATGTTATCTGAGTAATAAAATTGTTGCTGTCACTGTCTTATACAAGCATTCAGACGCGACAGCATCATAATTCACATCATATTCCGCAGATAACTTTTATGTAACTATTGAAAAATCAGCCCTAATTGAATCTAAAAGCTGGGGTCTGGGGTAAGCGCAATGTGGCATTGCGGTCTCGGCCCAAAACAGGAGAAGGGACGGGGGGGTTTTTAGTCTGTAAAAGTCTGACACTCTCTCGCCTTATCCTGGGCGGGAGAAGTCATTTGATGATTTTCCCCCACTTAAACAACTGTTTGGAAATCCTTTTAGCCAAGTTATTCTGTATTTAAGTAAGAATTATAAGTTTGAAATCGCTAATCCGCCTTGAGGAAGCGTTGTGGTTAATGCTCAAACCTTCTCCGTGTGAGAAGAGGCCTTTGCTCAGCAGTGGCTACTTATAGGCTGATGATGAATCAATAAAGATCAATTCAGTAGAGAAACAGTAACTATTGTTACATTTAACTAGCTTTAGCCCGCGACGCATTCGTTCGCGTGGAATAGTGAATTCCTGCAGATTTTTAGTATAAAAACTATCCTATGACCTTTCTCGAGTTCCAAACTATGTCTGTACCAAATTTCGCAGAAATCGGTTCCGTAGTTTCGGTGTGGAGAAAAGACAGACAGACAGCGTTACTTTCGAATTTATAATATTAGTTTGGATTGTATGGTTGATAACGAAGCTATATCCTGTATTATCATTGGTAGCGAACCATTAAAACCAACCTATGGTTACTCTCTGTCGACTCAATCGATCTTTATTAACTTCATCATCAGCCTATAAGTGCCCAGTACCGAGCAAAGGCTTCTTCTCACACGGAGAAGGTTTGAGCATTAATCACAACGCTTGCTCAAAGAGGATTGGCGATTTCAAACTTATTATATAAAACTAGCTACTACTACACTGCTTCAAGTCGAAGCGTGATGTTTTATAACCTAAAGCCTTCCTCAATAAATGGACTATTAAACACAAAAAGAATTTTCCAATTCGAACCGGTAGTTTCTGAGATTGGCACGTTCAAACAAACAATAATTTCTTATTATAATAATATTTTCTTCACCGTATGTCAGTGGATATATAGGGCAATGGCAATATAAACAAAGCTTTTCTGAAACCTGAAAAAAGGCTCAATGTAAGTTATTCTGAACGTTATATTCGTTGGCGATGTTTTCACAAAAAGACCGATCTGTTTTTTTTTGTTTATATTATTAGTTATTTTTTTGACTATTTTTTTTTATTCAGTGTTTGTAGCTAGGGTGATGTTTCTTGTTATTTTATAAGGATCATTAAAATATTGATTATTTTATCTGTGTGTTTTTATTTTAATCCTTTTACCTATACTTAAGTTCTTGCCTGATTCGATTACCTGATGGTAAGCAATCAACGCCGCATGGACACTCGGAGTACCAAAGGAGTTACAAGTGTGTTGTGGGTTATTTGGGATTCAAGGATAGGGGCTTTGAAGATTGAGGATGGGGAGACGGGCGCCCCCTAAGTCAACAACACCATGTTTGGTATTGTCGGGAGAAGGTTCTTATGAAGGAAAATTTTAGAAAAGCTGAGACAAATCGGGTAGAAGCACCTTTCATAGTTTGGCGTAAGCAAGGTTGTTGGATACATGTTTGTGCAAAGCAGTAGCGGGTGTACCGCTAGTATGTAATGAACATGAACTTTTGGAATAAATAGGGCAGATCATTCATATAAACCAAAAATAGAAATGGACCGAATATTGAGCCCTGCGGTACTCCAATAGATATGCTGGCACCCTGTGAGTTCACTCTGTTTACTTGTACTGTAAGTAGTCTTTCTCAAAGGTATGACTTTAATAAATTAACAGATACTCCCGAACGCCGTAGTGTTCCAACTTCAGCAATAGTGTCTCGTTCTCAACACAGTCAAAAGCCTTCGAAAGATCACAAAATATTCCAACAGCAACCTGTTCTTTTTCACACGATTTGAAAACTTATTTTATACTCCTGCGTCCGTAGTGCAACGTCCCTTGGTGAACCCATATTGTGGTTCGATAGAATTCGTGTTAAAGTGACTCAGCATTTGAGTAAGCATCAACCTTTCAAACACTTGAGCACTGGCAAATTAGAGACCGGGCTATACTTACCTGATTTAAGTAATGCAACTACTTTTGCTATGTTTCATTTAATCCGGGAAAACCCCTTGATCTTTACTTCTATTAAAAATGAAAGTTAAGTACGACCCTATAGTCTGTATGAAAGACCTGCACACTCGAACAGACATTCCCCAAAGATCTTCAGTCGACATTACTTTGATATCCTTAAACGCCTTCATTACTGCCTGGGGGCTTGTATACTTGTTTAAACCTAATGTCAGAAGGACATTCTTTGACGTTACTCCTGAGAAACTCGACGGCAAGTGCTAGAGATGATTTCATTGTTTCCGTAATTTTAAAAGGAATATTTTTAAAGAATTTTCGAATTCCTGGTCAACTAATTGAATTGAATTTGTAGGTA